GTAACCTCAAATATCTTTGTAAAATTCACTTCCGGTCGCGTGTTTTTCTGTCCTCAAAATGAGAAGTTGTCTGAGCAAGATCTCGGAAACGGTGAGAGATTAAAACTCCAAACTTATATGACCAACAGACCTTAAGATGTAGGCAAGACCATTTGGGTTCAGAGCGTCAGCCGTCACTTCCGGTCGTAACAGGAAGTGATCAAAGAAATCGAAAATTTCAACTTTTCTTTTTTTAATTAAAAATTGTATCACTTTATTGCATCTTTTTCGCACATTCAAAAGATGTTGGTTCCACCGGAAACAAATACGACAACTTCCGGTTAGACGAGAAAAACTAAATAATTTGAGTTTTTTTAATTTCCAGTAAAAATTCTTTATAGATAAAGTATTTGAAATGAATTTTAAATGTGCCATTCAGAGTGCAAATGTCTAGAGTAACCTTAAATATTTTTTTCAAAAATTCACTTCCGGTCGCGTGTTTTCCTGTCCTCAAAATGAGAAGTTGTCTGAACGAGATCTCAAAAACAGGTAAAAGATTAAAACACCAAAATTTTAAGAGTAATGGACGTTGAGGGGTAGGTGAAATCATTTGGGTTAAACGCGTCAGTCGTCACTTCCGCTTGTCACAAGAAGTGATCAAAGAAATCAAAAATTTTAACTTTTCTTTTTTAAATCAAAACTTACATGACTTTATTGGATTTCTTTTGCTGTTTTGAAATATGTTAGATTCCACCGGAAACAAAAACGTCAACTTCCAGTTTTAGGAGATAAACTACGTTATTCTTATATTTAACTTTCTCATAAATATCCCTTATCAATGAAGTACCTGAAATGATTTTATGCATGTTGTAGATACTGCAAATGTCTAGAGAACAGTCAGAGATTTTTATAAAATTCACTTCCGGTTGTGTGTTTACCTGTTCTCAAAATTAGAATTTAGTCCCACAATGTTGTTCAGCAACAGTAAACGACTGAGGACTAAAACTTTCAGGACTGATATTCAGTCATCAGATTATTTGAATCGTGAGAAAATCTTGCATCGCCGTTACTTCCGGTCGTGAAAGGAAGTGATGTAAAAAAGTGAATGGTTAATGGTCAGCACGTTGGATTTTCATGCTGACGATTAGGATTAAATCTCCAGAGTGTCTGAATTTCTTTTATCACTTTTTCAGCTTGAATTTTCGTTTTTATTTTCAGAATCGGACGGAAGACCCCTCATTGCTCGCAATGAGTTTCTAGTTATTATTATTATTCTTATTTTTTAGACAAATTTTTATTATTATTTTTTAGACAAAATTTTGTGCACGCGATATCTCGAATACTATTCAGTGATTTTCTGTGAAACTTTCAGCATTTGTGAGCAATGATATGTTCTTGTGGCATGGCCAAGAAAATTTGGAAAATTCCCTCCTGGTTCCAAGTAATGGGCAATTTCCTGATTTTAAAATGAAATGTTGTCCGCTAATTTTCTCAAGAGTGGCTAAAGAGAGGAACTGGAGACTTGTCAAAGATAAAAGAGCATGAGTTGTAGATTTGTGGAACGATTTTTTTATGAGTCGTCAGTACTTCCGGTCGTCACAGGAAGTGATCAAAGAAATCGAAAATTTCAACTTTTCTTTTTTTAATCAAATCTTGCATCACATTATTGCAACTCTTTCGCAATTCGAAATATGTTGGTCCCACCGGAATCAAAAACGACAACTTTCGGTTATAAGAGAAAAACTACATAATTTTGGTATTTTATTTTCCCATAAATATCTTTTATAGATAAAGTATTTGAAATGATTTTTGGATATGTTATTCAGACTGCAAATGTCTAGAGTAACGTCAAATATCTTTGCAAAAATTCACTTCCGGTCACGTGTTTTCCTGTCCTCAAAATGAAAAATATCTGAGTGAGATCTCAGAAACGGTAAGAGATTAAGACACCAAACTTATACAAGTAATAGATCTTGAAGAGAAGGCAAAACCATTTGGGTTAAACTGTCAGCCGTCACTTCCGGTCGTCACAGGAAGTGATAAAAAAAATCAAAAATTTCAACTTTTCTTTTTTAAATTAAAACTTGCATCACCTTATTGCATCTTTTTCGCTGTTTTGAAATATGCTAGACTCCACCGGAAACAAAAACGTCAACTTCCGGTTTTAGGAGATAAAATATGCTATTTCGATATTTAACTTTCTCATAAATATCGCTTATAGAAAAAGTATTGAAATGTTTTAATACATGTTGTAGATACTGCAAATGTTTAGAGACACGTCAGAGATTTTTTTTTTTATAAAATTCACTTCCGGTCACGTGTTTTCCTGTCCTCAAAATTAGAATTTGTTCTCACAATTGCTCAGCAACAATAAAAGACTGAAGTCTAAAACTTTCAGGACTGATAGTTCGTCATCAGTTTATTTGCATCGTATGAAAATCGTGTGTCGCCGTTACTTCCGGTCGTAACAGGAAGTGATGCAAAAAAGTTAATGGTTAATGGTTAGCACGTTCGATTTTCACGCTGACGACCAGGGTTAAATCTCCAGTGTCTGAATTTCTTTTATCGCTTTTTGAGCTTGAAATTTCGTTTTTTTATTTTCAGAATTTCTATGTAAAACTTTGATCCCCCATTGTGGCCCCACCCTACCCCCGGGGGACATGATTTGAACAAACTTAAATCTACACTACCTGAGGATGTTTCCAAATAAGTTTCATCTTTCCTGGCCCAGAGGTTCTTGAGAAGAAGATTTTTAAATGATGCCATTATTTTTTCACTAATTCCTAATTATCTCCTCTTGAAAGAGGGTGTGGCCCTTCATTTGAACAAACTTGAATCCCCTTCAACCAAGGATACTTTGTGGCAAGTTTGGTTAAATTTGGCCCAGTGGTTCTTGAGAAGAAGTCGAAAATGTGAAAAGTTTACAGACGGACGACGGACAAAATGTGATCAGAAAAGCTCACTTGAGCCTTCGGCTCAGGTGAGCTTAAAATAGTATATTTTGGCCAAACTTCTAAGTTCAAAGGTTTAAAAAAATAATAAACAAGAGGCCTATGGGTCACATGGCTCACTTGATCACCTTGGCTGGGGAAATGCAGAAATAGGTGCAGTAATGAATAGTTTAAACATAAATGCTGGTTGGGAAGGGGGGAGGGGGACTGGAATCTACATTACCTGAGGATGCTTCCATATTTCTTTGAATAATCATGGCCTTTGAAGATTTTTCAAGATTTTTTCCTACACACTTCATCATCTATTGTGGCCCCGTAAGACTAATAGTGTTTTTTTTGTTCCTGAGAAGATTTTTAATGATTTTTCCTATGTATATCTCTGAATGCCGATTGTGGTCCCTGCCTACCCCTGGGTCATGATTTGAACTAACTTGAAGCTTCACCACCTGAGGATGCTTCCATATAATTATGACCAATCATGGTTTTGTTGTTCTTGAGAATATTTATACAGATTTTTCATATGAATTCCAATGCAAGACTTTGATCGCCCATTGTGGCATGATTTGAACAAACTTGATTCTACAATACCTGAGAATACTTCCATATTGATATAAATATGACCAAATATGGCTTTGATGTTCTTGAGATAAAGATTTTAATAAAATTTCCTATGTATTCCAATGTAAACTATTGATCACCTATTGTAACCCCACCTTACTCAAGGGGGTCATGATTTAAACAAACTTGATTGTTCACTACCTGAGAGTGCTTCCATATAATTATGACTAATCATGGCTTAGCTGTTCTTGATAAGAAGATTTTTAAAGACTTTTCTGATGTATCCTTATGTAAAACTTTGATTACCCAATTTGAACCTACCCTACCTCTGTGGTTCATGATTTGAACAAACTTAAATCAAGACTACCTGGGAATGCTTCAACATAAGATTCATATTTTCTGGCCCAGTGGTTCTTGAAAAAAAAAAGGAAAGATTTTTAAAAGATGCCATTATTTTTTCACTTATTCAAAATCATCCCACCTTCTAAGAATGCATGCTCGTTCATTTGAAGAAACTTGAATCCCCTTTACCCTAGGATAATTTGTGGCAAGTTTTGTTGAAATTGGCCCAGTGTTTCTTGAGAGGAAGATGAAATTGTAAAATGTTAACAACGACAGACAACAGACATATTTTGATCAGAAAAGCTCACTGGAGCTTTCGGCTCAGGTGAGCTAATAATTGAGTGTTCCAAGGGATGCTTGAGTATTCTGTTACATAGCATCATTAAAGATGCAGATAAATATAACAGTAGTCTGGTTAGCTCTTTATTTGCTACTAGCATTATAGCTCATACATGGATAGTAAGACTGTGATAAAATCAGAAATATGATTCCCAATCCTCAATTAGAGGATAATTAGAAATAATAAATTATCATTTTATTATGTGTTTAATCCAACAATCCTCAAAAAGAAATTTCAGTATGTCTTTACTGCAAACGTCAGTCTACAACCATCAATTTTGGAATACTGAACCCATTGTATTCACATAGTATTTTAAGTTCACTTTGTATGGTAATTGTATAAATACAGTGTCATGAGCTCATAAGCATGAGATTATGCTATTTATCAAAACCCTTCTTCTACAAATTCAAAACACATAAGTTGAATTTACCGTCCAGAGTATTTTTGCAAAGTAGGTCAAAGGTCAAGGTAAAGTGAACTGTAACTGGTATTTATCATAATATTAAAGACAAATCGTATGCACGCTAAATAGCCTATACTTATCTCTTTAATGTCAAAATACGCTGTATATCAGCAGTTTGAACTATTTTGAAAAATTGGTCAAAGGTCAAGTTCAAAGGTCACAAGGTTGGTAACCATGGTAATTTACAAAAGCCATATCACCAAGCAATATATGTGCAAAATATCAAATTCATACCTCTTACAAGTTCTTGAGATACAAGGTGTGACAGACAGACAGTTAGACAGACAAACCGACAGACAGACAGTTGCAGGTTTAAGTGATCCCTAAGTGTCGCTCAGCTCTGCAGGTGACACAAAAATTGTCTTACTTCAACTGATAAATTCCACTCATGCTTATAACTTCTTCTTTTCCTGAAATATTTAAAAACAAAATTAAAGCAAACCAAATCTCTAGGTCACACTGATTTATAGATACATGTACATGTATTTATAATATCAAGTATGAAAACTTACCCCAGTTGTTGTATGAGCTAGGCTGTATTTCTCTTGTGAATTTGTCTATCCCTACACTGATTCTGTCTTGACAGTAATCCAGACTGAGGTGGATAGTTACATGTTTCATCAGAGGTTCAGCATACAAGCAGCACACCACATCAGAACAGGAGGCCCCCAGATTACAGCTGATAGCTCCCCTTACAACAGGTACATTTGTTGGCAGTGGAACAGGACAGTCTTAATATGTATAAATTACAGTTAAGATAAAACATGGACAAAATATGATTTATGGTTATTAGACAGAATGAGAAAATCAAAAAGCAACATATTGTTACGTTCCGATAAGTTTACCTGTGAAATTCGGATTAACTGTTGTTGACAAGTTCCGAATAAACGGACCCTGAACCCGATGTATATAAACTACTAAAATATTTGTCAATGAACAATAACGAAAGAATTGAACAATAATTAATTTATTTGAACTTTATCAATTTGATTTATGTATTGTAATGACAAAGCGTTATATTGTATATGTTCTATATAGGTACGTTATTTAGTAATTTTAGTGGTTAAAACCCGCTAACTTACAAATCAGATATTAATTGTGACGTTATTGGTTTCTGATGTTTCTACGTCATCATAACAACTTTTGTCTATAAAAGACAGCTGTTTTGTGTTTAGAAGTCAGTCTGCAGTAGGTAGCGACTCCGTATACTTCGGGTGTAAGACAGTGGTATGTACAAACAGTACCAAGTCTATGTATACGAAATCATTAGTGAAGAGTCACATAGAGTAGAAACGTCCTAGATTGACCATTGGTTCGTCATCTTGGTATTAACCAAATAACGATGTACCAACAAACTACAGTTTTATATTGTTTTCCATTGTGCTTATAACTGAACCATTTGATGACGATCGTCTTAATAAATATCATAAACTTTACAACGTGTTATTCATCACGGTTCTAAAGCAGATATTATAGTGAACTAAAATTTGGTCATTTCGCCAATTATTTAGTGGACCAAAAATTGGTCGTTATTCCGATTTTATCTAAATTTTGTGGACAACCATTTCAACCTTGACCAGTTACCAGAAACCAACAGCGGCCCACGATAAAATGACTAAGTAATAACCTTATACCCTCTGTTTCGTTACAGTATGAAGATCAAAATTGGAGAACATATAAAACAACATCTGTGTACATTTATTTTGCAGTTTAAATCAATCCAAGAACCTAGAGGTTTTTGAGTCTAATTGCTCATCTTGATAAATAATCTAAACTTTTATGGGAGCCCAAAATTAGCAAAGACCATTATATCCTTTTCAGTTTCAGGGGTCAAGGACAGGTCAAAGAAACAATTTATAACCCACAGCATTCCTACATAATAGCATCAATACAGTGACCTCACTCATTCTTGCATTAACATCAGTAATGTACCCACCCTTGCATTGGAAACTTGACTTCAAAGTACTTAACCTACATGTAATGAGGGATGCATGCCTGCTTGCATATTTACTTGTTATATCCTTACTGCTGAAAGAAGACTTGAAGAATAAATTCAGCAAAAAATGAGTCTAATCTTCCTTTGCAAGACATTGATAATATACAGGTAGAAAATTATTTCCTTAGGTATTGACTACCATTTACAGGGAAATTTTTCACAAATTGTTTTAATTTCATTCCTTTTGCCCTCATTGCCACAAAGACAATCTCTTTAACACATCTGTGTCTAGTGAATTTAAAAGGGGGCAAATTTAAATCATTTGGTCTGAAAAGGCAAAAACAAGGGGCTCAAGGGCCTAGAATCCCTCCGAATCTGTACAAAACTCTCACTTCTAATCTAAGCCTCTTAAAATCCTAAATATTTAGATAAGTCCTTGAAATTCCAAAAGTAGGTCATATGACCTACTTTTAGGTTATACTCTGAGAACCAAGATGCACCAAATGACAAAGTTTGATGATTCTAAGCCAATTATCAGAAATATTTAAATATACCCATGAAATATACCCAAAAAATAGGTCATGGTGACTTACAAAGTTTGATGATTCTAACCCACTTATTATCCAAAATATTTAGATATGGCCATGAAATTCAAAAATTAGGTCACAGTGAACTACTTTTTGGTTTACATATTCCAAGAACAAAAGATGCATTAACTGGAAAAATTTTATGTTTCTAAGCCTCTTATTATTTGAAATGTTCAGATATAGCCATGAAATTCCAAAAAAAAAAGGTCACCATAACCTAGTTTTTAGTCTACACTCTCAGAGGACACAAGATGCATCATCTGACAAAGTATGATAATTCTAGGCCAATTATTATCTGGTATATTTAAAGATACCTTTGAAATTCCAAAAGTGGGTCATGGTTACCTACTTTTTGGTTGACACACTCCAGGGACTTAAGATGCATCAACTCACAAAGTCTGATGATTCTTAGCCAGTAGCAAGTAGTCAGCATGATCTACTTTTTGGTTAATATACTCTGAGGCCTTAGGATGTATCAACTAACAAGGTTTGATGATCCTATACTTCAAAGTGTCCAAAATATGCCTTGAAAACAATATGAATATCTGCAAAATTCAAAAAATAGGTCACTGTGACCTACTTTTTGTCAAGTCTGTTTCAAGGCCCCAAGATGCATCAACTTACAAAGTTTGATGATTCTTAACCTCTTGGTATCTGAAATAATGACCTTAAATGATTTGAAAATGATGAGACATAAAATTCAGAAAGTAGGTCATGGTGACCTACTTTTTGGTTTACACACTTCAAAGACCCATTATGCATGACCTGACAGGTTTTGATTATCATAGGCTTCAAAGTGTCCAAGATATGTATCAAAACCAAACTGAAAATGAATACCTGTAAAATTCATACATAACCATGACCGACTTTTGAGTTAACATGACATGAGGTCCTAAGATGAATCAATTGACAAGATTTGATGATCCTAGTCCTTCTTATGGACAAAATATCAAAGCTTTAACAAAACATTATTTTGGTCAACTTTGAAGTGACCTTGAGACCAAGCCATTTGCTCCAGGGTGATGTCTTGAAATTTTTTTTTATTCTACAACATGTCCTCATCCTTATGCAACAAGTTTGATGATAATTTGTAAAGTACTCATATTAACAAGAGGCCCATGTGCCACATCACTCACCAGAACACTGTGGCTAGGAGTTCAATTTTTGAAAAGTTTAAATTCATAAGTGGCCCCAACCTACCCCTAAGGGGAGGGGGATGATTTGAACAAACTTAAATCTACACTAATTGATGATGCTTCTATAACTAATCATGGCTTTAGAAACTTTTTAAAGATTATTTTCCTATAAGTTTTATCTTCTATTGTGACCATAACCTATCTTCAGGGGCCATGATTTAAATAAACTCAAATCTACACTAACTGAGGATGCTTCTGTATTAATATGACAAATCATGGGTTTGCTGTTTTTGAGAAGATTTTTCAAGATTTTTCCTATGTACTCCTACATTAAATCTTGCTTGTTCATTGTGGCCTCACCCTACCCCCAGGGTAATGCTTTGAAAAAACCTTAAATCTACACTACCTGATTATGCTTCCATATAAATATAAACAATCATGGCTTTGCTGTTCTTGATAAGATTTTTACAGATTTTTCCTATGTATTCCTATGTAAACTTTGTTTGTCCATTGCCCCACCCTACCACAGGGGGTCAGTCATGATTTTTACAAACTTGAATGTACAATATGTACAAAAGGTTTCACATAAGTCAGGGTTCGACACTAACGTTAGTCCGTTAGTCTCAGACTAATACATTTTCATTCAGACAAATAAAATATGGGGCTAATTAGTCCGAACGGACCAATAAAAATTTAAGATTACTGCTATAATCTTAGTTTATATACATGTAAATCTGTCATTATAATCTTCAGTCGTTAAACTATGTCAATATGGATATTCTGTGTTATCATAGAGATATGCCCTATCAGGGCCTATCTGTTGTTTATTTATAACTTAGCCTTGTTTTCAGTTTCACCATCTTAGTGTCAGTAGCCATTGTGGAAATTTTTTCAACTTTCTATCAACTACCATCGTTCCATTTACAAAGGGAATTACTGCAAGATCATGATTTTTCAGTTTCAGTAACATTAGTTTCGTCTTTTTGTGGAAAGTTTTTACGCATCCATGAGTTATTTTGTGATTTGCTGAACTTTAACGTTTGACCTGGAAGTTATGTCTACGGTTCGTCGAACTTGGAAACAAACAAACTTAACCATGTCTAATAACGACAACCCTAATAATTGGACAGTCGCAGAATTGAAGAAAAAACTTTCAGAGATTGGAATAAACATTAATATGCATTTAAATCACAGTGTACTCAAAAGAATTTATTTAGATAACGTCCAGTCTGTACAGGGTCAACAATCAGACGATCAGGAAATTCAGCCAGCGAACTTTACCGATGGTATTTAAGGTGTTGATAATTGCGATAACTTTCAATCAGTTCGTAATTCTTTGCCATTTGTTGCACCTGTTACTACAGTTAGTTCCATTATTGGGGGCACGCGCGCTGCGAGCATTGAGGCTTATCCGGAACCAGGAGTGCCAAGCGCCAGACTTTTAGCTTCTAATCCACTTCCGCCTAGCTCTACACTTCCTACAACAGCAGTGATGTCAGAATCGGTCATCCTCAGTACTTTGCAGTTATGTCAGCAAGCAATTAGCTCTTTAACTCAATCGAACAAAATTAACGAAGCAAAGTATAGTCTTCAAACTGCTATGATTTCTACAACAAACACCGGGACTCCAGCTGTTAACATTTCTGACGTGGATATGGTTTCGCCAGAAATATGTGCCGATATTCTGGCAGGTAAGGATGTTAATTTAAACATTCTCCTGATCCCGAATTATACCACTCCTTCACAGAAGAAAATTAAAGAAAACGATGAACGTCTTACACGCAGTCTATCTTTAGATGAGTTTATCGTTGCCTTTGGAAGGTACAAAAAAATCATGTGTTCTGCCTTTCCTAACAGGTCTAATGAGCTAGATGGTTATCTTTCACATATTATAGAGACTGCTAATGTATGACAAATTCTATGAGTATCATCAAATGTTTTCGAGTAAATGCGCAGCTATGCTTCTACAGCACAACATAACCAGAAGTCTCTGATGAGACTGTAGCTCTACTGGTCTGTACATATACATGTAACAAAGAAAAAGTAGCACTTGGATTCGAAACTTTGCAACATGCAGCAATAAATAGAATTATACATCTTCATATAGTCTACTTGTGTGCCAAGTTAAATTGAAATCAAATAAAAACTGAAGGAGGAGTAGCGTTCTAAAAGAAATTCACAGAAATTTCTATTTTTAGTAACCAAGGCAACATCGTTCATCAAAATAAAAAAACTGATGCTCTGAATTATGTATCATAGTGTAGTCTACTTGTGTGCCAAGTTATATTGAAACCAGACCAAAACTGTATGAGGAATTTCATTTTGAAGGAATTTCACAGAAATTTCTATTTTTAGTAACCATGGCAACATCGTTCATAGAAGTCAAAAACCGATGCACTAAATTATGTATCTTAGTGTAGTCTACTCGTGTGCCAAGTTATATTGAAACCAGACCAAAACTGTAGGAAGAGTAGCATTTTAAAGGAATTTCACAGAAATTTCTATTTTTAGTAACCATGGCAACACCGCTCATCCAAATCAAAAACCGATGCACTAAATTATGAATCTTAATAGAGTCTACTTGTATGCCAAATCACATTGAAATCAGACCAAAACTGTAGTAGGAGTAGCGTTTAAAAGGAATTTCACAGAAATTTCTATTTTTAGTAACCATGGCAACACCGCTCATCCAAATCAAAAACCGATGCACTAGATTATGTATCTTAGTGTAGTCTACTTGTGTGCTAAGTTATATTGAAATCAGACCAAAACTGTATGAGGAGTAGGGTTTTAAAGGAATTTCACAGAAATTTCTATTTTTAGTAACCATGGCAACACCGCTCATCCAAATCAAAAACCGATGCACTAGATTATGTATCTTAGTGTAGTCTACTTGTTTGCCAAGTTATATTGAAATCAGACCAAAACTGTATGAGGAGTAGGGTTTTAAAGGAATTTCACAGAAATTTCTATTTTTAGTAACCATGGCAACACTGCTCATCCAAATCAAAAACCGATGCACTAGATTATGTATCTTAGTGTAGTCTACTTGTGTGCCAAGTTATACTGAAATCAGACCAAAACTGTATGAGGAGTAGCGTTTTAAAGGAATTTCACAGAAATTTCTATTTTTAGTAACCATGGCAACACCGCTCATCCAAATCAAAAACCAATGCACTAGATTATGTATCTTAGTGTAGTCTACCTGTGTGCCAAGTTTTATTGAAATCAGACCAAAACTGTAGGAGGAGTAGCATTTTGAAAAATTGTTTACAGACAGACGGACAGACAGACAGACGCCGGACACCTTACTATCGCATAAGCTCTTCTGGTCTCTGACCAGTAGAGCTAAAAATTGACTGGGCTAAGGGAGATTTCGAATTGAGAACCTTAATATGTGCTGGGTCCTCTGTGAAATTGTGTGAAACTTAATTGTGGCTCTAACATTCACTCCTCAGGTATGTGCCCACATAGAAATGTAAGAAAACAAAACACTCGTCCTTATTCAGGTCTAAAAGGGTAGGGGTGAAACGATACACCTCCTTCACGGTTCGATACGTATTGTATAATTTTGTCTCGGTTCGGTTATTTTCGATACATTTTGATAGAAGGAAACAAATTCAACATTGTTTTATGCTTTCTTTTTCTAAATCTAGTCACATATTTTACGAATTTTATTTGCAAATTGACTAGAAGAAATTGATTAAAATTATTTGACTGTCAAAAATTATTTTACAAGCTATCAGTCATCAAAATTTTATGTTTTCTATACTTATTTATACTGAGTAACGTGTTTTACCTTATGGCAAACCAGACTGAATAACGATCCCGACCGAAAAATGAACCGAACCGAAAATTAGAGATTTTGCACCGTGTATCAAACCGAGAAAAAATACCGCGGTGAATCGATACCGCGGTGAACCGTTTCACTCCTATAAAAGGGTATCGGCAACAGAAAGATATCCATGGCAGGGAAATTTCATTCCATGATGGTGAACAAATCTGTAATAATTACAACTCCACAAAAGGCTGCAGCAAACCATATTGTAGATACGCGCACATTTGTACAGCATGCAAGGCTAATGGACATCCCAAAATTCTATGTGCTCAAACATCTAAAGTGATGAATGAACCTAAACAAAAAGATACTAGCAGTAAATCTAAACCAAATACCAAATGACTAACTGAGCCATTGACTAGCATAAATCTTGACAAGCTTAGATTTGAACTTTCTCAATACCCAGACAAAAGTTTTGTGAATTACTTGTGTTCTAGTTTAGAACAAGGTTTTGATACCTTAGTTGTTGATAACAATTTACAAACTTTTGAATGCAAAAATTCCTTGTCTGCTCGACAGAATCCAGTCATAGTTGATGAACTTTTAAAAACTGAACTTGACAAGGGATATGTTAAAGGACCCTTTTCGCTTCCTCCCTTTAACTCCTACAGAGTCAGCACATTAGGAATAGCAACTCACAAATATTCGGGTAAAAAACGTTTGATCTTTGATTTGTCCTCACCACTTAACAATTCAGAACCAAGTGTGAATGATCTTATCAAAAAGGAACAGTGTTCTTTGTCATACGTGAAGATAGATGATGCAATTCAAATTATTCAAAAATTAGGCAGAGGTAGTCTCATGTGCAAAACAGACATGATAGACGCTTTTAAGCAAATTCCTATTAGTCCTAATCAATGGCACCTCTTCTGCTTCAAATGGAAAAAGAACTATTACCACTATGTGCGGTTGCCATTTGGTTGCAGATCAAGCCCCAAATTATTCGACAATCTTTCGTCAGCTATTTGTTGGATTGCGAAGAATAATTATGGAATTGAAAATATCCTACACTTATTAGATGACTTTTTAACAGTAGATAAGCCAGAGAGTTGCGGTGAAAGAACTATGGCTTTATTGTGTACAATTTTTCACAGACTTAATTTGCCCTTATCACCCAAAAAAACCGTAGGACCAACTTGTGAATTAGAATATTTGGGGATAATTCTTGACACCATCAACATGCAAGCCAGATTACCCCTTGATAAAATTGATAGAATTACGTCATGCATTAGAAACATTCTATCAATGAAAAGTTGCACAAAAAAGGAATTAGAACAACTACTAGGACATTTAAACTTTGCCTCCAGAGTAATCTTACCCGGCCGGTCATTTGTCTCTTATCTCTACAAACTCATGTCCTCAGTCAAAGAGAGTTACCACCATATACATTTGAACAAAGAGTGTAAGGCAGATTTTTACATGTGGTTAGAATTCTTATCAAGCTGGAATGGTATTTCCATCTTTTATGATCCGTGTAAGGTAATGGCAGACTCTATACAGTTATTTACTGATGCCTCTTCTACAATTGGATATGGAGGCTACTTTGAAGGACATTGGTTCTGCGATAGATGGCCAGTCGACCTACCTCATGTTGTTAATGAAACATTATCAATGACCTTTCTAGAATTGTATCCCATAGTGGTTGCTAGTATTTTATGGAGTAAACAATGGAGTGGCAAAAGAATTGTTTTTAATTGTGACAATCAAGCAACTGTGCAAATTATCACCAAAGGTCGCTCAAAGGAACCCGTAATTATGAAATTAATGAGACGATTGACTATGTGTGCAGCTCATAATAATTTCGCTATATACAGTACATTTGTTCCTGGTGTGAAAAACAATACTGCTGATAGTTTATCTCGTTTGCAGATGAATCGTTTCAAGAACTTGGCTCCAGAAGCAGATCGTCTCCGTACACCATGTCCACCTTTATCAGAAGTGATTTGGACAGTGTTGTAGAAAATCTCTGGGATCACTCCATTTCCTTGAGAACGCGCAGCCAATACAAAGTTGGTCTGGACAGTTACATCAAATTCACTTTGCTGAGAGGACTGCATGATAATGTTAGTGACTTACCACCAATTTCAGAACAGTTATTAATTTACTTTGTTGCGTTTTGTGATGAACACCTTAAATTGGCTTATTCAACTATAAAATCGTACTTAAGTGGAATAAGATACTTTTATTTAAGATTGAAAGGGTTTAATCCCTTTCATATTTCTGTGGGTCAAAATTCATTTTGTTTGCAATCAATTTTAACTGGTGTAAAGAAGAAACAAAGCAGGTATGCCATTCCTAAACGTAGTAGACTTCCTATCACCATGTCAATTCTAACAAAAATTTGTCAATGACTCAGATCCGGAATTTTTGATATGTTTACATCATATATGTTTGAAGCAGCTTGTAGAGTTGCATTTTTTGCTTTTTTGTGCTGTGGTGAATTCACTGTTCCCAGTAATTCTCATTATGATGATTATGTCTCTATCCAAGATGTGATTTGTCATGATTCTTTCATTACAGTTACTTTAAAGAAATCGAAAACAGACCCATTCAGAAATGGTGTTCAGATTAAATTATTTAAGACACAGACAGATGTTTGTCCAGTGAATGCTGTTTCAAAATATCTGTATTTAAGATCAAAAGTTTTCAAGACACAACCTGTGCCTTTCTTTGTTACTAAAGAGGGTTCCATTTTAACCAGAGCTATTTTCATTGACACACTCAAAGACATTTTATCTCGATTAGGCCTGAATTCTGATCTCTATATATAACGGTCATTCCTTTAGAATTGGAGCGGCTACAACTGCTCAAGAAGCACGCATTGAAGATCATTTAATTAAAACTTTAGGTAGATGGTCTTCTAATTGCTACACTACCTATATTCACACATCTCTTTCAGTGATTCAAAATGCACAACAACAAATAGCCTCTACTGGTTTGTAGAAATCAACAACTTCACCTCTCTGTTTCATTTTTTCTTACAATCATGTGGTTTTATCATGCAGTAAAATTTCATTATTGTTGTAATTTCACAAGGTGTGTTATTATATGTCTGTGTTGTGTATATATTTATATATAAATATGTATATATGTTATATTTCCTTTCTATATAATTTTTTTTTCCTTCTAATTACATCGGAAACTTGGGGCTACAACTCCTTACAGTTGTATTTGGCTGTTTTGGTGTACAAATATTACAAATGCTTGAAAATTTTCCATATTTTAACCAATAACCCCCAAGTTTTCTCCAGGGGGTTAATGTTTGTTTTCTACGTGTATGTTGTTTACTACATGTATATATTTTATCAGTTGTGCATCTCTTATTACTTTGTTTGCTTCTTATGTGTTACCATGTATACTTTGCCTATCTCCAATGCCCTGGAGATAGATCAGTTAAATTAACGCACTGTAAGTCAGTTGTCAGTCCCCATGATCCAATATGTGTTTTTGTAGATAATAAACTTTGTAACTGTAACATTGTTGAGTTTTATATAAATTTCTGAAAAACAATATGAATAAATTACCGATGCATGTCCAATTCTCAACAACTTTTACTGGAAAACCCCACGTGTATTTTTAGATTTCAAGCTTTCGGCAGGTTATTACGCAATGCTGGGTCAATTCAGCACTTAATTTTTCGACTGATCTTTATGAAGTATAAGGTTTTAGCGATCATGATTTAGTATGACACTTTTAAGAAAGGTGTTGGACGTTTTGAATGTAATGTAAAGACAAAAAAAAAGAAAAAAAGAAGAGAGATCGGGAATACGATCATCGTACTTGCTGATTGCAAGATTTCAATGAATCTGTGGAATAATATAGTTCACGTAAATATGTTGTTTATTTCAAAAAATAATACATATATTAATTGTCACGTTAAATTAATGTTAAAAAACATTGACGTTTCTATTTTTTTTGACAGACTAATAAAATCGCTTGCAGACTAGTAAAAGTAATGAAGCACTAGTCTGGCTGGACTAAAGCCTTAAAAGGTTAGTGTCAAACCCTGTAAGTTTCAACTTTTTTGGTTCAGTGGTTCTTTAAAAGATTTTAAAAGATACCACCAAATTTTTACTAATTCTTAATTATCTCCACTTGAAAGAGGACATGGGACTTCATTTGAATAAAACTGAACCTCCCTTTGTAGCAAGTTTGGTTGAATTGGCCCAGTTGTTCTGGAGAAGAATTTGAAAATGTGAAAAGTTTACAGACAGACAGACGGACTACAGACAAAATGTGATCAGAAAAGCTCACTTGAGCTTTCAGCTTAGGTGAGCAAAAAATGATTATAATTTCTAATTCACATATTTCTAAAATGTTTACAGAATAAAATAAATTCTTTAAAAGAATCTGAAATACAAAAATAATATGCATAAACTACCATTTGTCCATCCAGCAGAAGAGGAAGCAAATATTCCTGATGTCCTATCACAGACTTGGGTGGAGTTATACAGGTACCCATGCATCCCTAGTTCTTCCTCCAGTCTAGCAATGCTGTGTTCTTCCATTGTTGTGTACTTGTTCTGTGTCTTCCACATGGTGAATGAAAAATCTATTTAAAAAAATATCAAGAAACCATGGCAGAAATACTCTCTTTGAACCAGAAATCTCTGAATAGACTGTAGCTTCACTGGTTAGTACATATATCAGATGAGGAGAAAATATCCATGCAAAGTTGCAGTACTTGTAGTTTTATATAAAAGAGTAAATACAGACCTTGATGTTTTCTAAAATTTACTAATTTTCAATATAATTGGAACAAAGCTGAAGTAGGAGTAGCATTTTGAAAGATTGTTTTCAGTAACCATGGAAACATAATTCTTTTGGATTGAAAACAGGTATATAGAACTTAGCACCTTGAATATTGAAGTGGAACAAAACTGTATTTTTACACATTATTCTACTTTAAGTTACCATGACTACACTATTCACTAAAATAAAAAAAAAGATTTCAAAAAATAATGAATCTTTGTGTAGTCTCAACATGTACCAAGCCAAAACTGGAACAAACCTTAAGAGGAGTACATGTAGCATTTCAAAGGAACCTCAAAGAAAATTTCTTTCTTTAATAACCATAGCAAAATGTTGGTTGGAATTAAAAACTGAACTGATAAAAAGAATTAAAGGTACAGTTACTGAGCTCACAAAATTATATCCCCACTGCAGTCCTTCCAATATTTTTTTCCTGTAAAGTTATGGACATTGGTCAGGGTCATGACACACCCTCAGGTCATGAGCAATTTTTGTGCCAAGTTTGAGCTTCAAATGTTTCTCCTTTAAAAGATAATGGCTAGGACAGAAACTATAAATTATTTTTAAAATGACCTTGAGCTTGTACAATGACCTTTGGTTAAGGTCACATCACATCCTCTGGTCAAAAGTAAATTTTTGTGTGAAGAATGAATTTCCAATGGTTATCCATTAGACTAGAAACTAGAAGAGTTATTGACTAGAAACACATTTATACACTTCTGCCAATATCCTTGAAATTGCCAAAATGACCTAGGGACAAGATCAGGATACACTCTTTGATCATAAAACTTTTATTGTTTTTCCTTTATAAAGTTATAGACCAGACATGAATCATTCACTTTTTCTGTCAGTGACCTTGCATTTGTTTAAATAACTTTGGTTCAAGGTCATGACACATTCTCAGGTCATAATCAATTGTTGTGTCAAGTTTAAGTCTATTATGAATTCAAAATCCAGACACAATTGCACAGATAGATATCTAGGCAGACAAGGTGATTCCCATATATCCCCCAAGCTTTGTGTGTGTGTGGAGGGGGTGGGGTAGGGGGTTAAAGGGATGGGGTGTATATAACTATGCATCTCCTATATCAATTAAGTTTTACTGTGAACTTATTGTAATCACAGAAAATTCTTGAGGAATATTGGTTCAAACATATTTGAAAAACAATCTTATTTTAGAAATTACAGCAACATCATTCATCAATCAAAAACCAATTTAAGAATTTTACATCATGGTTAGTCTACTTGTGTATCACTTATTAAAATTCAATCTTACAGTAGTACTGTTTCAAAAGAATTAATAAATTTTATTTTTAGTAAGTTTCAAAATTCTGCATGGAGAATTTTGTAGATCTTGGTGTATCTTAGTGTAGTTTATTTGTGTACCAAGTTTAATGTCATATTTAGACCCAAACTAGAATCTTCACAGACAAACAGTTAAATAAAGAGGACAGACACTTAGCTCTTCTGAACTATGACTAGTAAAGCTTAAAATACTCCTACCCTGAACTGTGGTTTCAATCTTCCAATTACAAGATGATTTTGGGAGAAGTGTGTTATTTAGCACTGTAACTTCTTGTTCACAAGGTAATCCATCTTCTAGGCAGATCATAAATTTAAGAGTCACTCTGAAAGTGTTTGCTCCTTGAAGGTGTGTGACCATAAATCTGTAATACTTTGCTCAGTTTGTATTTGCATACACAATCATACAAGAATTAAAGCCGTCAGACCAAATAATAAAATATGTAGAAAATCAAACGACATTTCATTTAATGAAGATTTGTTATTTTCCATTTTGATGAAAAAAAGGCCATATTATTTCTACATTACCTTAGCCTGTATACCCCCTTCATCCAGTAATCATGCCATTCATCAAACTTGAAATCATACATAATGGTTGGTCTTATGCTAAACTTATCAATTCCATACTCAATCACCCATTCACATGAGTCCATCATAAGATAAAACTGGACTGACTGAGATTTTAGTCTGGTAATGTTCATACAACATCTAACACTGGTACAGCTGGACATCATATGACAGGTCACATAGTCAGGCAAAGAGGACAGTTCTGGGGTTATCATGGTGGGACATTCTTGTAAAGAAACAATTAAAAATTTATTACGATTTCACTTAATATTCAATTTACTTCTCACTCTCAGATCTACACCATTTTTGTATAAATCAATAGTATGTATTTGATAAACTGTGATGTTTTACCATTATTCCATCCATTGATAGCATACATAGATTCATTCTTTGGTATCTTGCATGAGGAATTTGATATGTAACTAGATATCCCAATATAATCATACAGATAGACCAAATCTTTTTCTGTCAGATTGTTCAAATCAAGTTGATTATCTAGGCTGTAGTTTGACAGAGAAAATCCTGCAATTAACAAAAAAGTTTTAAACTTTGGCTAAAGACCTAATTAAATAAGGCACTTGCATGAAAATCTATGTAAATCTACCTTGTTCTTCTTGTAAACAAACCTGGTTTGTCATAGTTCAGCTGACCCGCACAACTTCTCTTTGGGAGGACAGAGTTTTTGAAAATTTCTGCAACAAAGCTGCAGGGTTTGTAACTTTCCCAGCATAGTGACACTTTAAGATCCACAAGGAATAGACTCTCATCATACAGATCAATAACCTTGTAACTGACAAAATAAAAAATAAACATTGATATAATGAGCAAGAAAATATTATACCCTCATTACATTGAGAGAAGACTATAATTTTAGTGTATGGAACTTGTGTCCATTCCTACTGTCATTATTATATAGTAAATATATTCAGAACAAAGCTTTAAATCCCATTTTCCTAATGAATTTTACCAACATTTGGGTCAAGTAATGACATTGGTGGAAGTTAGTGTTGTATCTTTCACTTTAAAATTCTGACTTTAAAAGCTGGTAACCTTTAAAAATCCCCAAAACTTTGTGTCACTGTCTTGACATATACTCAGATCATATATAATCTTTTAATCAAAAATATGAACATATAATTCTTTCAACTATATATACACAAATTTTCATTTTTTTCTGTAGGCAACCTTGAACTTGTCAAAAAGTTGTTTTAAGTCAATATAATGACACATTCCTCATTCCACAAAAAAATATTAATATCACTAAAATTATCTTCTACCCTAAAAAAGATCTGGCCTGCATGGGAATTATATATTTTTAACCATGCAGTGACCTTGAACTTGTGAAAATAACCTTGGATCAAGTTCAAGACAAATTTCAAATCATAACAGTCTGTGTGTTAAGCTTTAGTTTCTAATTTCTTTTTTCCTACTGAGTTATGGACTAGACATATATTTTTTCTCCTTCCATTGATCTTGACCTTGTAAAATTGACCTTGACTAAAGTCCAAAACACATCACCAGGTTACAGAAAATCTTAATGTCAAAAATAAGATTCCAACAATTCTTTCTTACAAAGTTATAAAATGGATTCAAATTTAACTCTCTTGACCTTGAACTTGCCCAAGTATTCTTTGGTCAAGTAAGTACCTACAAGACACACTTGTATGCAACATTTTTTTCGAGCATTACATCCAATATGTCTTCCTCTTTAAGCTATGCCTTATCATAATTGCATGGACAGATGAATAGATGGACAGGATGATTCTTTTATATCACCCAAACTTTGTTTGCAATATGTATGATTAATTCTGTCCATAGGTCACCTATAAAATGTCATCTTGTTTTTGTGAGTGAATTAAATTAATCTACTTGACAACACATGTGTACTTACTCCAATCGAATCACTCCAAGCAAATAATACTGTTGTTCTTTTCCTGAATAATAAAAAAAAATAAAATTATTATATAATTATGTATTGAAGTACATTCATTAACACTAAATTGCAAGAACACAAGGAAAGGTTACAATATAATTTTAGCAATTCACAGCAAATAAACAAAAAATTGAAATCTCTAAACCCAACTTACACATTTCAATTTCAAATTGGTGCAAGAAGTTCCAGTATCATTTACAAGAAATTTAGCCAACAAAAGTTGTTATCAATTTGTACAACTGATCAACCTTTGTTTTTTTTGCTATGTGATATCCCCAAAAATTGTTTGCTTAAAATTTTTAAAATACTGTTCTAATTTTTTATCCAAGAAACTTTTTCTACATATATATTCATTGTGGCTTTCATTCAAGTGGCAGTGACCTTGAAGTCACAAGGACTATACTTCTATCCTCTTGATGCACATTCCTTGTCAATTAAGTCAAGCTCTGATAGATTAAGAGATATATCATCTGGGAAAACCATTATGTTTATTACTAAATGTTCTCCAATCATCAAATCATGCATCAAACTAAACTTGTTCAACTCTAAAAATATGTTTGGTGACTATTATACAGTTTTCCATGAATCATTTTTTCAACATGTTCAGTATAATTTACAACTTTTCAATCATAGTAAAATAACAAAATTACCCCATTGTACATCTGTGAAAGGTATTACAGCTTGAAGTTTCTCAATATTAAGAAAAAGCATTTTGATGCAAGGATCAATTTCCATGGAGACTTCAAAAGTAGAATTTGTTAACTCCGACTCCACGCAACAGATGACTTTGTTACAGGTTCTATGAAGATCACAGGTCAAAGGGTATGAGGTTAAGGGAGGTAAGGCTTTCTGCTCCAAACAGTCTGGATTTTAAAGAAAATACTTCATCAAATAAATAAATACATACATAAATAAATAAATAAATAAAGACTGGTTTTGTCAGATGTGCACCTTGAAAAATTATGATCTTATTGGGATACTGGTAAATATCAGAAGTTGTATAGTACATTTTATCCACTAAATTATTAATACTGCAATTTTCTATTATACATAGATTTATCTTATGTCACTCAAATTACCATTAAGCCAGCCAGTTCCATCAGCAGCAGATTTAATTGTACTACATATGGAGTCATTTTTGAGATAAGGTCTGAGGGAAAGGGTTTCAAAAAGTTCATCTGACTGGTATTTCTGTAAAACTTCGCTCTCTGGTATATACTTCTCACTCAACCATTTGCTTAGTGAAAAATCTTCAATGTAATTTTGAAATCACTTAGAATTCCAGATAATTTGTTATTACATTTTTTATATGCAATCAACCAAATCTTTGTATAATTTACTACTTTTTGGTATTAGATGAATGAATATGCACATGTCCATATACCTCTTACTGAAAACAGACTATCCCAACTTTTTAGAGTCTTAGGTATCAACACACTATCAAGAATGACAATGCTAATTTCACAGGGTCCAGCATCATCAAAGCATGCTTCTGCTGACATTGAAATATCCAGCATATTACTGTATAAAAGGTCATTTATCTTGTACCTACAACAACAACAAAAAATTAACAAGAGTTTCATTCAATCATATAAAAGTATCTTGCAAACTGTTTTTCCAAAGGCAAAAATAATTGCAGTCCTTTAAAATTACTTTTAACCAAAGATACCATGTCTTCAAAGCATGAAAATGCCTCCCCCTTATCCAAAATTTGTTAATTTTTAAACGGTCCTAAATAAAATTTGATCTTGTACTGTCCAACACTTCAACTTCAATTTGTATCAATATTTATTCATTACATTAATTTTATTACATTAATATGAACATTTGACATCCAAAAACCTTACATTAAGCTATAGAGAATGCATGTTCTCTCAGTTACTCTCACCCAAGTCTGCATGTTCCTGATTAAGTCAGGGTTTGGGAGTCTTGTATGTAGAGTGCAAGGCAACTCATGTAAAACAAAGAATGACAGTAACAAAAATCACCATTCTTTTTTTTTGGGGGGGGGGGGAGAGAGAGAGAGAAAATCATACCTTAACTTAAATACACCAGCAATGCTAAGGCTTTCCTCTGTTCCGTAGCTATATCCCTTGAGCAAATATGTACGACACAAATTCTCAACATGCACCATTATCCTGTCATATGAGTAATTGAGACTAATACCAACTTCAAATGTTCTGTTGAGCAATGGTACCTCAATGCAGCATTTTATCTCAGTGCAAGTTGCTGACACTGTGCAAAAGGCTTTGTTTTTAATCTGGTTTAAGGATATCTGTACTCCCGATGGACAGTCTGAAGTAAGATATAAAAGAAAAACTTTTAAAGGTTTTTCAAATAATTTTTTTCAAATTTACATTGTCAATGAAAAAATTAATTAAACAAGGGGCCAATGGATCACACTGCTCACCTGAGTAACTTTAGACCTGCTGTTCTTCACCAGATTTTCCCCTTCTATTACTTATTGTGGCCCCATCCTACCCCCAGTGTCATGACTTGAACAATCTAGAATCTACATTACCACAGAAAGCTTCTATATAAGTTTCACCTTTTCTGGTCTAATGGTTTCTGAGAAGATTTTTTTAAAAAAATTTCCTATACATTTCAATGTAAAACTTTGATTCCCTATTACCCCATGGGGCCATGATTTAAATAATTAAGAATCTACACTACCTCAGGATGCTTCTGCATAAGTTTCAGCTTACCTGGTCCAGTGGTTCTTGAGAAGAAAATTTTTTTTAAAGATTTTTCCAATATATTTCAATGTAAAACTTTGATTCCCTATTGTGGCCCCATCCTATCCTCGGGGGTCAAGATTTGAACAATTTAGAATCAACACTACCTCAGGATGCTTCTGCATTAGTTTCAACTTTCATGGTCCACTGGTTCTTGAGAAGAGTTTTTAATTACTCTATCCTATTTTTGCCTTTTCTTGATTATCTCCCCTTGGAAGGGGGCTTGGCCCTTAATTTTAACAATTTAGAATCCCCTTTACCTAGGGATCCTTTGTACCTACTTTGGTTAAAATTGGCCCAGTGGTTCTTGAAAATGTGAAAGTTTACAGATGGACGGAGAGCTAGACAGACACCAGAAACCAGGTGATAAGAAAAGCTCACTTGAGCTTTCAGCTCAGGTGAGCTAAAAAGTAAGTATACAAAGGAATAAGAGGCCCATGGGCCTAGAGAGTCACCCGAGAATCAGACAATTACCACTTTGGTCCTATCTGGATCTTAGTGTGGTAATCATTATCACATTCATGCAGCTTGTTTCCTAGAATTTCATCAGTACACAGTACAATAAAGGAAAAGTTAGGCTAAGATCCTTTTTGGCATCAAATTTTGGGTATCTCTTAGAATGATGAAATAATTTGTAATCAAAAAAGGTCAGAAAATTTGTCAATATCCTTATTTTCTAATTTTCATTCAAAGTTTTATCAATTATTTTAAGGCAAAATTTGTTTCAGAAACCAGAGGGAAGCTTGGCTGTCTACCAAATTTACATACATGTATTTCATGCACTAGTATCAGATTTATCTTGTGTATGAAAATCTCAGGCAAGCTTGCATTCTGTTTCCTGGAGTGAAAAGGTATCTCAAATGTGACAAAATTCCACCAGAATGGAGGCAACTTGGTACATTGTTCTAATTTGTCACCCTCTTTGTACACAGAATGAATCAATGCTGGTTTTAAAACTAGCATCATTTAAAGTTTTTAATTCTCCTTTTTTTTTTTAGAAATTAATAGAAAAAGTTAAAAATAACATGCATTAACCTTTGAGAAGGAAATGCTGAAACCTATCTTAAACCAAAAAATAATTATGGAAGAGCCTGTAAATTTAAAAATTTGATACATTAAAATGTATTGCAATTTTTAAAAAAATATTGTGATGCATCTTAATACTACTGTAGATCACTATATTTTCGCGACACCTTATTTTCGTAAGATAGCTTTTTGGTATATATTAGCGAGACAAAATTTTTCACAAGCTATTCTTTTTGTTGTATATAATCCTTTATAATACAAATATATGTGAGAATAAAATGTTTGCGAGCAGACAAACTCCCGTAATAATGCTAAAATAAAGTTCTTGCGAATAAAAAGTGATTTACACTTTTTACAGTCTTTTTCCTCAACATATGTAGTCCTATACAGGAAGACAGAGACTATGAAATATTTGTTTTCCTTGACTTGTACATGTATGCTATATACCAAACTTGTTTGAAATTGTTCAAAAGTTTAAGACCAATGCACACAGTGATTCAGTAGACCTTTAAAGAAAAGAAGTGCTACTCTCACACTAAATTTAATAATTAAATTTTGTATATTCAAAAAAAAATCTCAATTCATCCAATCTTTCATTTTTATATATATATATATATATTTTTTTATATAGAATAAGGACTGCTTCAAAAGAAAATTTTCAGACACAGTAAAACACTTAACAAAATGCCAGGGATGGACAATTTTGCTTCATTATAAGCGTAATTTGTTACATCTGTTTAGTTTACAATATATTTTAACATCAAGGAAAATGAAAATCACTTTGCTGTAAGCGTCAGTTCATTATAAGTATGCTTGCTATAAGCGTGTTTTACTGCATATGTTTTAGAAATAAAACAATTGTTTTACTCATTTCTATAACATATTTTTTAAGTATCCAATGTCCTCAAGTGAATGTTTATAGATGATGTAGTTGTCCTAAGCAAAATTAAAGACTAAATAAATGTAAATCTGAATGAAAAACCCTTACATTTACTCCATCTGTCTGTAGCATCACTGTATCTAGAATCAGTTGGAGAGCAAGCAGAGTCAAACATGAAAGCAGCAACATTAAGATGATGAAGTAGATTGTCCACAATTCCACTTTCTAAAGGCAGTGTGTGTACCACTCCTTCAGCCTTTTCCCACTCATTTAAAGAAAACCCTATCAAGAAATGACAAAATTGTAATTAATGCCACAGGTTTCTGAATTAGTTTATGCCACAGATTTCTGAATAAGTTTAAAGAAAAAAGACTTGAGGAATTTTTCAACAAGAGGCCTATGGGCCTTTACGGTCACCTGAGTATAATACAATTTAGAATATCCATAGAGTATAAAATAAGCTGATAGATGAAGCTTTGTTGCTCAAAAGCAAGAGAAATAGGATGATCAGGATCAATGAAATAAGTAGTCTAATATACAGTAACAACTCATAAACTAAGTTCTAATCTGTCCCCCGGCGGCCGGGCATCTACTACTGGACTTTTGCAAGAAGCACTGACTTTTACAGTTGACGGCTTACTTTGATATTTAAACCTGCGTTATGTACGGTGGTACGCAATTGATAATATATAAGAAAACATTAATAATGGCTATAGTTATGGTATTAGGGACACTTACATTTTTTACCAACACAAAAGATAATTGGAGGTTGAATAAAATTGATTAAAATACCTTATTCATGAAAGACAGTATCTTCTTTTATTTTTATTTTCTTAAAGAACTAAACAAAGAAGAAACAATGCATCCTGGAAGGAAAACTTGGCAGGAGTTGGTCAAGGTGGGAAGGGAGGGGGTGGAGGGTAAGGTTGATGCCGTTCCCTTCCTAGACAACATAATAACGGTTTGAAATGGTCCATTTTCATCGTTTTATTTACAGTTAAGCTAAAAATTTATATCGCAAATGAGCTTTCGTATATTTTGCTGGTGTAAAAGTGAGCCGTCTATTGTAAAAGTCAGCGCTTCTCGCAAAAGTCCACTATCGCCATGCAGACTATAAACAAACTCTTAAAGCTTCTGTACTATTTTTAACCCAAATTATAAACTCTCACATTGGTCTCCCTTGGTCTTTGAAGAACATTTAATAAGATAAGTTATTTTTGTCTCATTTTTATTTATCTATTATTTACAAGTCTACCTGATCATTAAAACAAAGGAAGTACTTTTTGTATTACACAATAAAAATTCATGCATAATTCTCTTCTTCTATTAATCTTTCAAATACATTATTTATAGTGATTAATAGCGATTCTCTGTAATCACTTAAACTTCGTTGCCACGCATGGTCACCGATTTTGATGAAACTTTGCCCATTATTACAACTTAACACCAGAAACATATATCAAATAAAATTTCGTTGCTATGTGTCTTGGTTGCCATGGTAACAGGCAGAAAAGTTGAAAAAATTGAGATTTTCAGCTACTTTGAATCTTTATTAAGCCTTAATAAAGACTAAGAAAAACAAACAAACTATTCTCACAAAAACATGACACCTTGTTGCAACTTATGCTGTAAAGAAACTATTTAGAATTTATCCCTAAGTAGGTGGTAACCATGGGTACATTTGGAATACATTTAAGATGCTGAAAAATCGTGAAAAACGCTCAATATTCACTAATGATAGATGTTACATGATCAAACTCAATCAACAATTGAAGAAAAATGATAAAAATATTTGACCTTAAGTAATAAGGTATTGGCAATATCATTCTAAAAATAACTTTCATGGTTGCCATGGTAACACAGTGTAACGATGCAAAATTCGTTGCTAAGATTGGGTTAATGCTACTATCTTGAGGAAAAACAATAAAATTCATGACTGGCACATATACATCCTAAGGACCTTGCAACACCGACAACGTTAAGAAAAATTGGGATTAATTGTTACTTTGCAGTGTAACCATGGAAACAACGTACCAGTTGTTTAAAGTGATATTTTCTTACTGCTTTAGGAATTTACTTACCTTTTAATCAAGGAACATATGATTTGACTCACCTTGAATAGTACTTATCTGGTAGAACTAAAGTTGAATATCATATATTGATAAAGTTTGTTGAAAAATACAACTGTTGCTATGGTTACCAAGAAGGGAAAATGTTCGATTTCGTTAATTTTATTTCAAAATTAAATCCTATGTGCCAGCTTTTTGCATCCAGTTAGAGGTTGATTGGTAGTCAAAATTGAAAGTCAGGTTAGTTGTTCATATATATCAATCATAAAAGTTTTGGGAATCTACATACAAGGGTACGTATCCAAGGAAACAGAATATTTTTCAGATTTTTATGCATATTTTTTCGGCTAATTTCCATAGCAACGCTCTATTTAAAGAACCAAATTTGAATTTTTTGAAATGTGAAAATCAGGGTCACACCAACGCCTTTAAAAATTGATCATCATTTATATAGAAATATGCTTTGTAAAAAGATAGGATAAGATTAAAATACTAAGAGAGTAAATTTAAAATCCCTCTGTGGTATTAAAACCATGGCAACCATTGCCAACGTATAAGAAATATCATATTTCGTCCTTGGTATATGTTGCAAGGATCTCCTGTCTATTATTTGCTTGCATTTCAACCTATAATTGTTTTTATTCTTAAGTGTATGACTTTATAAAATTAAATGAACAAAATTATTACTTCTGAATACTTTGTTTCCATAGTAACGTATGTAATAGTTGATTTACCAAACATGTTTATCATGCATTTAAGACATCAGGCCTTCAACTTTCAGAAACAGTCATTGCCACTTGTTTGCTTTGCTGCAAACGTTAACTGTGGGACTCTGAACATGTTGAAAAATGCCATTTTTCAAAATTTAGGACATGTTGCTATGGTAACCATGACACGTAGCAACCAATTTTTGCCTGATTTGAGTTTACGGTATCAAAGACTTTTATCATAGAGAGTTTGGATAAAATCTGAGACTATGCGTGCCACAGTTCCTATATAAAAGTTAAAGTCATTACAGAGAATGGCTCTTAATTATCAAAAGTGAATGGCAAAGGGTAATAACTTCTCTCAATAGAATACAAATTAAAGACGTACAACACACTGGGGGAGATAACTCTTGCAATTTCAATTAAACGTTTAACTTGACGTCAAATTTGACGTTTATAATAAAGCATCAAAATGACGACCGAATCGATCCCGACGTAATTAAAAGAAAATGGGATTAGAAACTTGATGTGGTTTCTTTAGAAATACCAAATCTATCCTTGATTATTTGCGCTTTTGATTTAAAACCCGCCCCTCCCTCCATAAAAAGGGAAGAAAGGAAAGATTATGTCTTAAAATTTCTTTAATTTTATATGAAACTCGTATCCGTGATCAATATTAGCAGAACAATATTCTTTATTTTTTTTATGATACATTGCTTTCTTTTGTTACAGTTGGCTATGTAACATTCGCATTACCAGATCACGGGCCTATCTTAAAATTAAGAATTAGCCATATAAATACTGTGTTGTTCTCCTTTTAAGAAAAAAAAAAAAGTTTTACAACCCGTTTCCAAAAGTTCACTGTTCAAAGAGGAACAACTCTAAAAATGTGGGAGATTTTCCCCTCACCTTCTTGAGTTATTTCCTCCTGTTTGCCGAACAGTTAAGACACATTTTCAGTGAATTCTGAGGAACTCAGGAACTGAAAACTATAATATATACTAAGTAAGTACCAAAAAAGTAATAGAATTGTTTACTGAAATGGTCCGAATTCATGAATATCTTATATGCGGCAAAATGGCCATATCCGACCATCTAGAACTACAATCTAACACTGTCAACAATTTCAGTGCGCATTTCCTCGAATCAAAACAAAACGTTTGATACATGTATCACTGTATATCACATGAATATTTTGACACATGAATAATTTAAACATAGATGGAGAATTTACAGTTTGATAAACTGAAGTTACTGTAGACGAATACGATATTTCCATTTTATCTAGATAGAAGCAAAAGAAGGATGCATACAAGTGTGTGTGTGTGGGGGGGGGGGGGTACTTTTAGACCTCTCTTGTTTGAAATAAATTAGAAACAATATATTCCATTTACCAGACTGTTTACATCATAAAAGAGTTGAATCAACATTGTGCGTTCACTTTTAATGAAGAATGAGATTAAAATTCAATGTATTCAATGTAAGTTGAATTCATACGCAGGTATAAAATTAAATGCATTTCAGCCATGTGCATGTATGGACTGCATATTGGACATGTGGAATTAAAATCCTTAGAGAATATGTTTTACTTTTATTCTAGTAGTTGATAGTTAAACTCTTATTCTAGTTGTCAGAATTTTAATCTGCATGAATGAATGAATTAATTGGTACTTCAGGGATTTAAAAGATTATATATCTCGAGGGTAACCTGTGTTTCTTCAAGTTCTAATGACTGCGTCCAAAAAAAAAGGGGGGGGGGGCTTCGTCAAATATTGCCTATAGATACATCTGCATTTCAATGAACTGAAAAGATTTAAGATTTAAGAACTCTGATACATAATATAAATAAATTTTTTAAAGCAAAAAATATTTTCTAGCTTGGAATTTTTCATGTGTATTTGTAGATCTAACAATGTTTTTGTCCCACGTCTGACAGATGCTTGAGAAACGTGACTTAAAGAGAAAGGGGGGGGGGGGTGATTTTTTCCCTATAAATTCAAAACGGCTCGTTTAAAAAAATTACAAAAAATTATCAAGATTACTTTTGTAACCAGTTACATGAAAACAATATTTTTTCCAAAATTAAACGATAGGTTTTTTTTCATAAAAAAAAAATACTTAAATAAAAAAATACGCATTTTTTAAGGCTTAAATGAACCATAGTTTTTCAGTTTAAGTTCTTCAAAAAATATTTTGCCAATGTGTACCTCTACAAAAATACTTTATTTGTGTGCTTAATGTTTATATGAATGAGTCGATGAAATTTGACAGCCAGACTAGCTAAACTTTTTTGATAATCAAGGATTTTATAGCTAGCCGATTGAAAATTTCTTCTCCACTTGAACAAGCAAAGGGGGGTAATTTTTGGAACTTCCTGTCCAATACGACTCGAACGATTTTGTCCAAAATGAACATATGCATTGTATATATAGTCATGTATAATCTATACAAAAATAGCGAAAATTAAATGACAGGGAATTTTTGTTGGTGGGTGTGTTGTACGTCCTTAATAGAGCCCTGCCGAGGACCAGAATACTTGACGAAATGGTCCATGTTAAAAAATCCAGTAAAAATACCCTTGGTTATCAAAACTTTTACTCTGTTTGCCTCCAATATGCTTAAAAGCAGGGAAGAATTTTTTTCCAGGTACAATGCATTTTCACTACAGATTCAACACAGCCCTACCCTAATGCTAGAACCCATGACTCAGGGTCAAGAAATTCACAAATTTGGAAGAGGTACCCTCATCATTATAACTATGCAATTAGCTGAAGACTTTCAAAGAATTACCACATTTCTACTATATTATCAATAGCAGCCTTCCCAATCATAACTATGTATTTAATTAGTTTGTTAAATACCAAGGAGAAGAGAAGATTTTCAAAGAAATATTACACTTTCACCACATAGGGCCCGCCCTAAAACTAGAACCCCTGACCCAGGGGCCATGAAATTCACAATTTTGGAAGAGGTAGCCTTCTTCATCATAACTATGCACTTAGTTAGCTTTTTTAATACCCAGGAGCATAGAAGAAGATTTTTCAAACAATTAATGCACTTTCACTAAATAATCAATACAGTCCTACCCTAACACCAGAACCCCTGACCCAGGGGCCATGAAATTCGCAATTTTGGAAGAGGCACACTTACTCATCATAACTATGTACTTGCTTTGTTTTTTTAATACCCAGGAGAAGAGAAGAAGATTTTCAAAGAAATATTGTACTTTCACTATATGATCTATATAGCCCCAACTTAGCACCAGAACCCCTGACCCTAGGACCATAAATTTCATAATTTTTGTAAAGGGCTCAATGCTTATTGCAATTATGCCAACAGTTTGATTACTTGATGTCCAGGAGTAAAGAAGAAGATTTTTAAAGATGGCACTAATTTTGTTGGTTTTAGCCCCAACATGTTGGATTCATGACTGGGACCATGAAATTCTATTTTTCGTTCCCCTTTATCCATAGATGCTTTATGCCAAAATTGTTTGAAATTGGTTTAGTGGTTCCAGAGAAAGAGTTGAAAATGTTCAAATGTTAATGCACGGTGGACAATGGACGAAAAAAACAAATAGCAATAGGTCACCTGAGGGACTTGGGCGACCTAAAAATGTTAGAAACATTAAGATGACATCATTTTACCTGGAATGTTAAAAGAGGCATCCCATATACAGACTTTCCTGGGTAGATAATAATTGTTCAGTACTTCCACAGAAACATTGCAGCTAGGAACCTGGAGGGCTTCTAAACACACATCTAATCTCAAGTTTATAATGAAGTACCCATCTGTGTACATATCAAAAGCCTGGAACCTGTATGAATTTATATAAAATAAATTGATTTAGAGTAAATAAAAAATTTATTAAGTTTAACAAAAAACATAAATTTGTTTCTTTTCACAAAAACATAATTGGTATGTGGGATTTTTAAAACTGAACTATCTATACAAAATATACCCACGTCTTCACAATCACCTGAGTATAGAAAGCATTAAAACATACTATGACTCTCTGATGAGCCATCTTGAGCAGGTTCCTAATGCCTGCTTATCACAAATTTGCATGTATAATAATAAACCAGCACTCAGGAATCATGCATGAATTTCACCTTTCTGGAAGAACATTCAATCTTCTCATATTGATATATATAGTTTTCTGCTAAGATTGCATGAGTAAATCAGAGGCCCATGGGTTACAATGATCACCTGAGTCACCTTTGCCATGCTGTTCTTTGGTAAAAAGGATTAAAGTGGTTTGTCTAGTGACAGGAAACAATATATCTAAGGCTAAAACAAATGTCCTGATACTGATCAAGGTTACAAACTTACGTCATTCTGACTACTCCAAAGAGCCACATTTCTTCTTCTTGTCCCCATTCATAATCAAATAAGTTCTTGGAGAAGCTTAGTTGATCAATGCTGACAACCATTTGGAAAGTACAAGGGTCAATTTCTAGTTTTGTAAAGAAGGAGGAACTGATGGCAGGTACGTCCACACAACACTGGATGTCAGCACAGGAAGTGGAGATGTGACAGATCGCTGCGGTACCAGACAGGGATGGGAGAGGCTGGATCAGTGTCTGGTTACACTCTGAAAATAGTCAACAGATTCTCTAGTTACCAAAACCAATTACAAAGCATGTTCTGCAAGTCAAAATGCATGAGAATGATAGATGGTTAACTGTGAATTTTGTATATGACTATATTACCAGTAAATGGTTTCGAAACTTGTCCCTAACTTTATTAGCCATAAATGTTATTTCCCACCTCTTATTGCCTGTTTCAGATTTTTGTTAGCGAACTGTGACATCAATTTATGACTTGTAGTTTAATTGCTTCCTATAGAGCAATATTCTAATTATAGAAGTTTTCAATAATTCTGTGTTTCATCTTTATGTATATATAGTCCTCTGTCCTTTTTTGGTTTTATTTTATATTTGAAAGGTCACATATTAAAACGAAATGTTGGTTGTATGAATTGATCATAGAGTTAAAAATGAAATAAACACCATGGATGCCAAGGGATATAAAACTTTGATTTTGAAGAGTGTTTAACAAAATTTAAGTAAATTTATTGACTGAAAAATGTCTTGAAACAGTTAGTATATATGATGATAGACAATCATGGTTAAATACTGACTGGATATAATTTGTGCATATCTATATGATACATGTATTCTATAAGTTATAACATTGAACAGAAGTCCAACAGGCCTTGAAGGTCACCTGAGTATAGATCTAAAGTTTTTCTCGATATGAAATACTCAGTCCCACATGATTTTTCTTTTACCATTATTCCAATTTTCCACAGCTCCCAGAAATAGATGGTCCCCAGAATCACATTTCTTGTTTCCTTTGTACACAAATTCAGACAAACCAAGATCCTGCATGAGTTGTGCTAAGTCATATTCTGATAAGCCTGGAGTAGAAATCCTCTTTGCATGTCTCCAAATATTGTAGGAAAATCCTGTCATGCAGAAAATAATATTTGATTTCATAGTTTGGGTCTTGTTTGTTTTAATTACACATATACAACATATTTAACATCACTGCAAAAACATTTTAAAGCTTACTGTCATCAAGAAAATCTGTGGTCCAATCACAAGGTTTCTTTGGCAGTTTTGTGTTTGTGAACACATCTACATCAACAATACAAGCTTTGGATGTCTCAAAACAAATCTGCAGGTTTAGGTTTACAAGATATTTCCACTCACTTGAAAAATCCTCAATAGTGTATCTGAAGTACAAGACCAAAAAAAAAATTTGGCATGAACTACAAATTTCCATGCATTATGTAAACAGCTGTTTCATGTCAACATGTCATGTTTCACAAATAACAATTCTTTATGCATAGATTTTAAAAGATAAGTGGAGAAAAAAATCCTACCTTAGCCTCACCACTCCATTTACATTTATAGTTTGTTGTGTTCCAAAAGAGTATGTGTGAAGACTAATATTGACAGAGAACTTCTCAAACCCCACACTGAGTCTGTAGTTACAGTGGTCCAGTATCATCCAGGAATTGATAGACCTCCCCAATACAGGGAGATCAGAGCAGCATCTTACTCCAGTACAGAAGTCATAAAGGTGGCAGGTTGTGTTAGAGCTGATGGAAGTCAGTGATACATACTGATCACAGCCTGCAGATAAATATAGAATTAATACATACAAAGTATTCACAGAAATCTCTAATAATTTTTTCAGTAAAATGAAATTTTTGTAATAATGAAAACTTTCAAAAGGAAAAAGGAGACACAATTGATTAATTAAATATAAAAATATGGGCAAACCAAGAAACATATCATAGCAACAAATTAAAATTTCAAAAGGAAACTGATCAATATTAGAGTTATACCTCTTAGCACAGGGTTTAAGCCTCCTTAAGTTGACCCAAAAGGGGTTTAATGTTAGTAAAGTATGTCAACAAAATTATTTTTTATTATTCTATTTTATTACAGACCATTGTTCCAGCCATTTTTGCTAGGATAGAAAGGAATAGTTTTTCTGTTGCAGATGGAGTCTCCCATATACTGAATGATGTCAAGGTCATGCATCAACTCAGACACAGCATAGGAAGGTAGCTTGGCATCAACTCTGTAACCTTTCATGTCCAACCAACTCTCCAAGGAGAAATCTAACAAAGAGTATTAGAAACATTACTATTAAGACTTCTTTGCAAGAAAATTCCTATTCTTGAATCATGAATTCTTTATGGAATGCATATTCCACTTTTGTAAGATCTGTTTTCATACAAACCATTAATAACAAAGTCCCTGGTCCAGTTACATGAAGACTTTATGAGTTTGTTTTCCTTTAAAACAGGGATACTGATTTCACATGCTCCAGATGACTCAAAGCATACACTCAAGTTTAGGCTCACTCCGTAAGATGTTACCAAGTCTGTTATTATGTAGCTAAAACCCAATGTAAACGATATTGTAAGCAATGTCCACAGCAAATTCTACCCTAATAACAGTACTTATTTTTTTAAGAATTATATGCACACACATGGAAAGTTCATTACTTACTCCATATTAATCATTCCATACAAGGACACATGTCTCAACTCTCCGAATTTGTAACCCAGAAGTTTGTAGCTCCATTGGTATTTCTCAATTCCTACGTATATTTTACCATTACATGTATCAATGTTAATGAAAGTATTCAAATTCATTTCAAGGACATCTGAGTGCAGGCAGCATTTAACTTCACTACATGATCTGGATATCCCACATCTTGTCTGTGTTCCCAATGAACTCAAGCCCTTGGTTTCTGTTGCACAACCTACAAAAGATCACAGACTTTCTTTCATAGTCATACTTTTCTGATATTTCAAACATTCACCCTAGGATATGTAATTTCATCATCATACCATCGACCCATCCAGTAGAATTGGCTGCTTTATATGGGAATTCATTCCAGTCACACTTCTCTAATGGACTCAGTAGGTATGGACCCACACCAAGATCTTGAAACAGTTGTTTAACATGGTGGATATCCAAAGATGATCCCACTCCATGAGTAGTTTTCCATGTTTTCAGCGAGAACGCTATCAACAAGCATATATCCAATATTGATTTATGTACATGTATTTGCAGATTATTGTACATCTTCATGATATTTGTAATATACATGTATGCATGTACTGTATTGAAACAAACAAAAAAGCCTATTTGGAATACCTGGTATAAAACTTGGTATACCTGCTTTGATTGTTTATCACCATTATAATTTATATATGGTTCTCTTAATTTACAAACAACACAAGGTCCTTTTAGATATTATAATTGTGAATATTGTCTACAATATAGAATGTTGTTTTATGTATTATGTAGGGATGGCAACGAATATTCGAACATTCGAATATTCATTCGATGAGTTGATATTCGAATATGAATTTAAGATTCGAATATTCGGTGTTTTTCAGATTTCATAAAAAGATGTACTGTGATTAATAAATTTTGATTAGAACAGCGCTGGGATTATCCCTGTTTAATTTACTAGCAATCAATTTCGATCGACTGATTTCTTTCACTACTTTCTTATCTTATAAATCTTCTAAATTACATGTATTTGGTTTTGAGTAAGGTGTTGTAAAGAATTGTACAATAATGCTTTATGTATAATACAAAACGTACTTTCATAGCTTTTATTAGTTATAGATACGATCGGATCTAGAATCGAGGACAACAAATGAAATCTAAGAATATAAAGGCGTGAAGAGTATACTTATCAAAATAAAATTAATTGATCATTGAATGAATGTCCGTTAGAATTAATCTGTAATTAATATTGTAAAGGGCTTAATTTCAGAATAAATGTGTAAATTACTTGATTATCTCGGGTTGTACATAATTTATATTCATTATCGGGAAAACAGTTAATTACCTAGGAAAATTGTCTATGGAAATATTTGTTTACATTGTATCAAAGATTATAATCATATCTCTTATGAGGCAGATAATTGTAATTTATTACACGTATTGAAATCTGAACAGTATACCGTTACGGCTATATTGCCTTTTGTGAGACGACTGGTTCCTCAGGTGGGGCTACTATAAATACACGTTTCATTTGTTAAAATTATACTTTTCTACATTTAAATCAATTATTTATTTCAAACATTGACAAATATCAAATGGAATTTCTTATTGTACACCTACAAAGGTCTTCATACAATTTTACTTCCTATATAAGTATACCTACAAGAGTAGGATGATGCATATTTAAAATAAAACAGATTTTATTTATTTTATCGAATATTCGAATATATTCAAATACTTTCATTGAATATTCGAATATGAATTATTGACAAAATTGACATCCCTAGTATTATGCGTTATAGAATCTAACCTTTGTCTCTGAAGTCTTGGTTTCTGTTGCACACTCCCTTTGGTAGAATTGTATTGATGAATACTGGTACAACGGGATGACAGGGTTGTCCTGACTCCATGCAGACACTCATGTTCAAGTTTACAAGATATTCTCCACCTTCACCATTGTAAGCAAGGTCTGTTATCACAAAACTACAAATACCAACTTAGACTTAATATGGCAAGTTGCCAATACAAAACTTTGCTTAGTCCATCAATGTTTAGGTTTTTTTAATTGTATGTGTTTATTTCAAGAATGATAAATGTATTAACAAATTCAAAATTTTGAAAATTCAAGTGATTTTATCTAGTAGGAAAAACATGATGAGAAAACTTACTCTATCTCAAAAAATCCAAACAAATCAAATTTCTCCAATTCTCCAAATTTGTAACTGTGTAAACTTCTGTTAAACTTGAGATTTTCAATGCCCACTCTGAGCTGACGGTCACAAGCGCTGACTTCCACAAAAGCTTCTACAGACAGACCAACTCCAGGGACATGCATACAACACTGAACTCCTGTACAAGTCTTGTCCAGAAAACAAGTGGCCAGATTCTTATCTATAGCGGGTCTGCTGATGCTGTCATCAAGATGGCAATCTGTAGATATTCAATTGTTTGATTCTGATTTGCAATGATTTTTCACTTCTACTATAGATGAAATTTTTTAAATTCTTCAAAAAATATATAATATAAAAATACCCTTTAATTATTTTTAATCAATATTCTATGAATGAAGTTATGATAATGCCATTTAGAAAATCTATTACCTGAGTTCCATCCATTAAATGAATTCCTATAGATTCCTTTGTCTTTGTCACAGGATGGAGTTTTCATGTACTTAGATATGCCGAGTGCCTCCAATAATTTAGGTAGGTGTATGATATCCAGTAGTCCAGATGTTGGTAAACTGTTTGTTGTTAACCATGATGAATATGAAAAACCTTTAAGAAAATATGAGAATAGGAAAGATCAAAGTTTCAAATTAAAAATTAATCATATTTTATGACCTGTCTTCTTGTTTCACATCTCTAACAAAAACTTCAAAATACATTTGACAAATGGAGAAAGGTAGATCTACAAATACATACAAAATATCAGGCACCACATCTGAAGATATTCAAGATTATGGAGCTCTGTGTTTGCAATTAAATTACCTCGATTTGCAAATCCTGTGTACCATGCACACACTGGTTTGGTTACCAAGTAATTTTGTAATATGTTGTTTCTGATCACACAAGATGGAGAGTCACTGAAGCACACTGTCAATGTAACATCTATAAGGTACTGTCTCTGTCCACTCAAATCTCTGATAAGGTATCTATATCATAGAGAGCAGAAAGGTTGCTCTATTATTATATATAAACTACAATTATTTAATGTCACATGTCAAAAACAATGGTACTTTTCAAACTATCAGAAGTAAAAACTTTACTCTAGGGAGAAAACTTGATCTATGCTGAATTTCTGAGGCACTCCAAACTGGAAATTAATCAGAGACAGCTCAAACTTGAATTCCTCTATCTGGATATTGAGAGAAAGTTCACAGGCATCCACACTGATTCTGTAGTTTAGGGTTCTCCCAATGATTGTCATGTCTGTACAGCACTGAATGTCCATACAGGAAGTAGACACTTGGCAGTTAGTGTCACTGGACAGAGGGGACAGAAAAGGAGAGATGTTCTCTGTACAACTGGAAGCTGTAAACAAGGGCATACAATGTTAGCTGTAAACAAGGGCACACAATGTTAGCTGTAAACAGGGACATACAATGTTAGCTGTAAACAAGGGCATACAATGTTAGCTGTAAACAAGGACATACAATGTTAACTGTAAACAAGGGCATACAATGTTAGCTGTAAACAAGGACATACAATGTTAGCTGTAAACAAGGACACACAATGTTAGCTGTAAACAAGGACATACAATGTTAGCTGTAAACAAGGACATACAATGTTAGCTGTAAGCAAGGACATACAATGTTAGCTGTAAACAAGGGCATAAAATGTTAAACAACCACTTTTTATGCATTCATAATAAGCAGGTATCTATTGTTCTTAATAAAGGACCATTTTTAGCTCACCTGAGCTGAAAGCTCAAGTGAGCTTTTCTGATCACCCGTTGTCCGTCGTCCGTCTGTCCGTCCGTCTGTAAACTTTTCACATTTTTGACTTCTTCTCAAGAACCACTGGGCCAAATTTAACCAAACTTAGTACAAAGCATCCTTGGGTAAAGGGGAGTTTAAATTGTTAAAATGAAGGGCCAAGTCCCGTTCAAAGGGGAGATAATCAAGAAAATACAAAAATTGGGTGGGGTCATTAAAAAATCTTCTTCTCAAGAACCACTGGGCCAGAGAAGCTTAAACTAATGTGGAAACATCCTTGGGTAGTGTAGATTCTAAATTGTTCAAATCATGACCCCCGGGGATAGGGTGGGGCCACAATAAGGAATCCAAGTTTTACATTGAAATATATAGTAAAAATATTTAAAAATCTTCTTCTCAAGAACCACTGGGCCAGAGAAGCGGAAACTTATGTGGAAGCATCCTGAGGTAGTGTAGATTCTAAATTTTTCAAATCAAGACCCCCGGGGTTAGGGCGGGGCCACAATAAGGAATCCAAGTTTTACATAGAAATATGTAGTAAAAATCTTTAAAAATCTTCTTCTCAAGAACCACTAGGCCAGAGAAGCTGAAACTTATGTGGAAGCATCCTTGGGTAGTGTAGATTCTAAATTGTTCAAATCATGACCCCCGGGGTTAGGGCGGGACCACAATAAGGAATCCAAGTTTTACATAGAAATATATAGTAAAAATATTTAAAAATCTTCTTCTCAAGAACCACTGGGCCAGAAAGGCTGAAACTTATTTGAAAGCATCCTTGGGTAGTGTAGATTCTAAATTGTTCAAATCATGACCCCCGGGGGTAGGTTGGGGCCACAATAGGGAATCCAAGTTTTACATTGAAATATGTAGTAAAAATCTTCTTCTCAAGAACCACTGGGCCAGAAAAGCTGAAACTAATGTGGAAACATTCTTGGGTAGTGTGGATTCTAAATTGTTCAAATCATGACCCTCGGGGGTAGGGGGGGCCACAATAAGTACTACGGGGGGGGGGGGGGGGGGAGAAATCAGGTGAAAAACAGCAAGGCCAAAGTTACTCAGGTGAGCACTGTGGCCCATGGGCCTCTTGTTCATGGTTAATTATGGAAGCTGTAAACAAGGGCATACAATGTTAAACAACACACTGATGTATTCACAGTTGGCATGTACGTAATGTCAGGATTAATCATTTAACAAACCAATTTCAAATCCTGATGATGTTGCTGTGTAGTCAGATCTATTACAAGGATTACTGCTGAAGAATCCCTTTACTCCAAGAGTTTCCAGTAACTGCTCTGACAGTAAATCTGGAAGTGTTGTCAGGGATGTAGAAACACCTTTGCTTGTCAAGAAACTGTTGAAATCAAACCCTGAAAAATATTGATAGTGGATTTCATTATCTCCTTTTCCAATGCAATAGATCTCTTATTCCTAAACTGTGTCATCAAGTATCTTTTTTGCGTTGTCTTTACTTTTCAAAATTACAATTGATCTTGATAAAAATTTGATATGAACTTTTTATCTAATATCACCAAAGACACCATTAAAATTCAAGTGTGAAATTCACTAAAATCTAAACAAACCTGGTATGGCAAATGACAGGTTTTTGAAGTTGCAATCCAGCATCGGGATTTTGGTATTTGTCATAATAGGAAAGTTTAGCATGCAATCACCACTTGTCTCAAAACACGCACTGAAGTTCACACTGAACAAGTATGCCTTCTCAGCGGAGACATAGTCAACTTTATACCTTAGGATGATTAAAGAAAGATAGGTACATGTAACACTGCAAAACTTGATCAAAAAGTAAACACTCTATAAGTACCACTGCAAAATGTTATTAAAGCTTAATTAATTTTCTTCAATATTTTTAACTTCACAGTTCACTATTTCTTTTACCAACACTAAGGACTAATAAATTTGCTTGTAAAAAAATTAAAATGCATACACTCTCTGTACTACTTACTGAATTGTGAAAACATTTTGTATTGACTGGCTCTGCCATTTTGAAAATTCAAATTCTGTAAGAAGGATCAATATCTCCAGTTTCTCCACTGTGATGAACACTTTTCCTTTACACCTGTCTACATTGACTTCATACTGGACTGATGTTTTCAGTAAGTCTAGATCTGTACAACACTTTACAGCAGAACACGAGTCAGAGAGTTTACAGGAAGTGTGGGCTGGCAGAGCTGGAACTGTAATGCTTTCACTACAATCTGGAAACAAGTTGTCGTTGTTAACTATCTGAATCTTCTGCTATCCTCTGGCCATTATATGTATACAGAGCAGTGACATGAGACTCTTGCTAAGTTTTGACTATTTTGTAAATGATTACTTTCTAACCTTTAACATTCCAGTTGCTGGTTCCTGGAGAAAGGTCAGTCCTTTTACACATAGGTTCAGTGAGATAAGAAGATAACTTTAGTTCTGACTTGAGAAGATCTACAGCCCACTGCTGTAAGAATGGTCCATCAATCTTATCTTTCATCCATTTACTGAGTGAGAAACCTGAAAGCAATGATCCAAAGCTCATAATTTCAGATGTCTAGATTCAATGATTGCTATTACCAATACTTAGTTTGACATACTAAAACATCCTAATGATATAGTAAAACAAAGCTATTTCATTACCTCAAAAACTCAACCCTTTGAGAAGGCAAGTTGAAGACAAATATTTGTCCCTACTCCCAGAATGTAAATGTATGAAATAAAAATACTGAGATGATACCTTGAATTGGGAACTGTCCTGTCTGTAGCTGACACAGTGTTTTGGGCAGTCTTAGTCCTGTCACAGCTTTAACATCTTGTTCACAACTCTGGCCCTTAGTGTAACACAACTTGATCCTTAGATCCACAACAAATTCACCACTCAGTGTTAGATCATCAATCATGTATCTATAATGAATTAATGGAAGACATGAAAAACATTTAAATCTACACAGTAATAAGTTAGGAAAAAAACGAAGACCAACAGTAATACACATCAATACAAGTTAAAGCAATACCTGAAATTGTTAAAAGTAAAGAATAAAGATCACTATCTTTAATATAAAACAGTTGACCACTTACTCTAGATCTAGGACTCCAAACAATCTCACTGTCTCTTTTGTTCCCATGGTATAATCAAACAAAGACAATGTAAATGTCATTTTCTCCAGTGTGATGTTCAGTTTTTCATCACAAGCACTGATGTCAATGGAGAACTGGTAGGCCATTCCAGTAACATGGTCATCCAGACAGCAAGAGATTCCTGTACAGTTGGATGTGATGTGACAGTTCAGGTGGTTACTGGCTTGTTTTGGAGGATTCACTGCACACTCTTTAGAAAAGAGTCAAAAGTTGATTAGAACCAAATACTGCTAAGTTTTATTTATTACTGCTAAAATGACAACACAATTAGCAGTTGAATTACTAGTTTACTATATTTTAAAGTTTACAATGCAAATAGCAAATCTTTCAAAGACTTCTTGCACAAAAGAGAAAGTGTTTGGTAACAATTTTGTATTGAGATTGCATTTTGTGAAAAATAAAATAAAGCCTTACATACAATATTCTAAATGCCTGTAGGTCTACAAATCTACTGACCGACCAATAGGTGCAAACCAATATGCTCCTTTTTTCAAAGGCATGGGGTCATTATAAAGTCTCAAAGGAAATATTCCAAATGTCTGATAAACATGGATCTTACTTGTGGGGACATTCCAGCCCGGATGTGTCTGTGGACTGTAGGGTGGGGATGACCTAGAACATCCCACCCCTACATATTCCTCCACACCAATCTCTCTCCACAGGAACTTAGTCTCCTCAGGAGTCAGGGTAGGGCCAAAGTTATTCAAGGTTTTCCATGATGTCAGGTCAAAACCTTTAATTAAGAAATAAATAACAAGTTTAAAAACTTCTCTGGGAAATGAAGTGGGTCGGTCACGTGATCAAATCCTGTGAAGGCCAAAGGCCTTCTCAGAAGATTTGAACACGTACCGACCCACTTCATTTCCCAGTGAAGTTTTTAAACTTGTTATTTATTACTTATATATACATTTGAGACGGACAATCGAATATAATCGAATGTAGATATTGCACTAACTGCTCACCATAGATTTTGACAAATTACGCAAGGTGTAAATCGGCTTGAAAAGCGGTTACACTTCAAATTCATCCGGCAAAGGATTCCGTTTTGAAGGGTATATTCTGTGAAAGGCTACATATGATCAATTATAGTGAGCATAATGGTGTCTGGGAATTTTTGTGTCCATGAGAAACCATATTCGATGTTTAAAAAACACAAGAAACACGTCCGATGTTTGATAATAAAAAGTTGGAGGAATTTCGGTCTGGAAGGGAAGGATGGAGACACATGTCCTGTCCAGTTAACTTGAAATCAAGCATAAAATTTGATCAGAAACATAAATTCTATGATTTTAGTAAGGCATATTTATTATGATGTTGACACGGAGGCCCTGGCGACAGCTTACATTGTTAAGACAACGATCTCGACGATAGAGGTGTGCCTACGAAACTTCTGAAGTGTTTGTCTACCGTTTGTGGCGTGAGTGTATTACAATGAAATTTTCAAACAGATTTTCAAATTTATTGTGAGTAAAGTTTAATGAAAAAAAAATTATAGCATTCTGGGGTCTACAAGGAAAATAAGGATAAACGTTGAGACTATGCAGCTCAGACATGAAACTTATAATACATAGTTTTCTATTGTCTATGAAAAATCGATCAAGAACTGTATTAAATACTCGTTTACATTGTAAATAAAATGATTATTATTTTACTTGCGTATTTTGTACATTTTTATACATGAAAAGCATGCTGTATTGCTAAGTAGTGTAAGTCTTTTTAAGTAGATATTACTGCGCTGTGTGATTAGGTCACGTAATGACCTATGACCTTCGAAAAACTTCATACAGATATGAAGATATTTGCTCTCTTTATGTTTATTTAATAGAGAGATACCACAAATGTATATATTATGATTTAAACAACTTTTAAAATGAATAAATAAAAAAAAAAATTTAATCAGAGACAAAGAAAATACATGTAACAATCTACCAGTTATTTGATTGAATAATCTTACTTGGATTGATAAAGTCGAGGTTCATATTACATGGTTTCTTTGGTAGCAGAGTGTTTTTGAAGACAGTGGCCGAGTAAACACAGGTTGTTGGATTTGATGACTCTAAGCATACACTCAGGTTCATGTTTATCAAGTACATTCTTTTTATGACCAAATTCTGGATGTTGAAACTTTGTAAAGCAAAAACACATTTTATTAAATATGGAGCCATATGTCCTTATGTTACATCTAAATACTTGTTAGTTACAAAATTTGATGTTGCTTTGGCATGAAGAACAGTGAGATTTTAAAAGCTTGAATATAAGTGACAGATAGATGGGTGAATACTCAGTGTGCCATTCAAAATGAATTTTCAGCTTTCTCAACAAATGTATTGTCATAATCCAGGGATATAATTTTTTTTCAGTCTGCACACCTAATTTGTCAGTTAAACTGAAGAATAACTTTTCAAGATATGACAAACATAATTTGTACACACTCAATTCTTATAGCACCCTGCAGTGTGAAATGATCTGTTGTTCCAAAGTTGTAGTCAAAGAGTGTCAAGTTGTATTGCATCTTTTCTATGTTAAGACTCATGATGGCTTCACAAGGATCCAGTAGGACCTGTACATTGATAGTTCTACCTCCCAGGAACCCAATCTCTGCACAGCAGTCAATCCCAGTACAAACTTGTGGGATCTGACAGGAGACTGAACTTGGCAGTGGTGATGGAACACCAGTATTTGGACACTCTATATAATAAGATAATAATACTCTTTGTTCATTTAATAGTTATTTCATTAAGCTTTATCCCAGTAATGTACTCACATTTTTGAATTAAAATACAGCAATTAAAAAAACCACTGCTTCAAAATATCGATGTGTTTTACAATAACACCAACCATTTTTCCACTCATTGATGTTTGGGCTGTATAGAGAACTATTGCGGTCACACTGATCAGCTGTCTTAAGGAAGTCCTGTATTCCTAATGTTGATAATAGTTCAGAAGCATCTGCTGTTGACAGGGCTGAGTCAATACTTAAACCTTTATCCAACAACCAGGAGGTTCCAGAAAAATCTGGAATGGAACATTAAAAAGTGTCACGTGGATTGCATGAAGGGCATATGAAGAAGCCAGGGAATTCTACATGAATCATGATATTTATTGGCAATTTCATTAATACAGTGCGGTCTCGTTATTACGATGTTCAATTTGTCACGGGAAAATATCGTAATACTGAGGGCAATGTAATAAAAGTTCCCAATAAAATCCATTAAAACATCGTTTTGAAAGTTTGTTATTTTTGTGGAAGGTGTATTTTTGCCCTTTTGTTCCCTTCTTCTGTTCTAATTCCTAATCAAAACACTAATACATATATAATTTATTAACAACTTATCTTGAATAGATATCTTCATGGTGATATTTCTTCTATTTCTTTCATTTTAAAAGAAATACATATATTTCTTATAAAAACTTCGGCGATCAATCGGATCTTCATTTATCTACCGCCATTTCCTTACTTTTACTTTCGTTTCTGCCTCTGTAGATAATGCGTTCATAAAAAATTCAACAAGCAGTCTTCGTATTCAATTTATAGTCGTTTACTACATAACAACAACAATTTTTAGTGAGCTTTTGGGTGTTCAATGAGCTTAGAGCAGCAGTGAACAACTGATGAAAGAGTGTGACTGGCATATTTAAGGACGGAATTTGACAACGTGCAAGCTATATTTCAAAATAAATTTAATTTTTTAAATCACTGAACAGAGTTCAATTAGCAGTTCAGCAATTATCGATTTGTATTTCTGCTGACACCTGTGAGGTAGTCCAAGCCACAATCAAAGCTGTTAAAACGTAAGTGAAGTTCAAATTTGGCCAAAATTATGTTTGATACCCAAGCTGTCCATTACCGCAATTTAATTGCAAACGAAATTACACAATACGTGTTTAACATACATGCACAAGATTAAATGTAACCTTTTATTTAATAAATTAATTTTATTTATTAACCAAAGTATAAAAGATAAAATAAACTTTACAGACATAGATAAACTAGAGACTACGTTTATAAATAAACAGTTTAAATTTAATTGTTTAACAATGGCTTTGACACGATGTCTCCAGTTCTGCTGACCCGCTAGAACAGTCAAGGTGTGTGCAGTCAAGCGTCACTAATCACCTAACGGCCCTGCAAGTTAACACTCTGTCAGAGCACAGGTGTTTCAATGTTTATTTAGCGTCTCCTTAAGTGTCTACCGTCGATCAACACTGAATAAACACAGAGTGAAAAAAAAAATTGGACAGAATTTTTACATCGTAATACCGAGTCCCAGCATTTTAGGACATCCCAATAAACAGTTCTATTTTGTATAGATTTGTTAAGAAATGGTTTTGTGCTTTGAATTTACAACGTAATAAGCGTTCTATCTTATAAAACCGTCACCGTAATAACAAGTCTGCACTGTACCTATGTGACTAAACAGCGAGTTTCATTCTTAAAGAAAAATGTTTAATTTGTATTTGTACCTATCTGAAAGCCAGTGCCCCATTCACAAAGTGTTTTTGGAAGTTTGAAGTCCTTGAGCAAGTCTAGGGAATCTAATACACAGGGTCCTACTCCATAACATACACTCAGGGTGGCTGATATTTTGTATGCTTTCTCTGCAGGAACATCATCAATTCTAAACCTGAAATTTTGTTTCAAATAAATTGATGCTTTCAATACTGAAGAAATACATGTATTATAAAGGATATGAGCATCAGTTACATTTTTTTCCCTTTAAAGCAGCCTTAATTATTCCTTATTCATAACTTACTGTGATATCATTAATTTCATGGGGGTTAATTTTCATTGTTTTCGTGGTATGAAGAGACCCAGAATTCAAGTCCACCACGAAATATAAAATGTCATATACATAACCACTCAACAACTCTTCATCCATGAAATCAAATCCACACAAAACCATGGTTTTTCCTCAAACAACGAAAATTTAACCCAACAAAAATATGTGATTTTACAGTAATTCTGACAATAATTTAGCAGGGGAATTTTCAAGTCCAAAGAGTTTGTATTCTTGTATCCTCCATTCACAATGCAGTATTTGTGCATGTATACATATATTGTAAAATAAAACTTACTCAAATTGAATTACACTCATCAAGTATCTTTTTTCAGTTATACCTGCAAATTTAAAGAAACCATTTTTAGAAAAGTATATCAAAGAATTCCAATAACCATGTCATTCAGCATGGTTTCAAACAAGCATAAAATGATGTCAAAACTAGAATAATTTGATTTAACCTGCAGTTAAATGAATATTTATACATAAAAATATGTTAAAATTTGTACTACAAGTAGAAAATACATAAATACAGCTCTAGGTTTCATAAAATTATATGAGTTTTGACTTATTTCAGTTTTGCTTTTGTAACAGGAAAGGAGAAAATGTATGGCTGGACTGGGAATCGAACCCGGGACCCCTGTATCACTAGTCAAGTGCTCTACCGACTGAGCTACCCAGGCCGATATCCATGGCCCAAACCATTACATTCCTCCCTCCTTAAATTGTCTTCGCCCTCGAAGACACAACCCAAGTTCTTATCTGCCCCTGGCAGGACTTTCACCTGCAAGTCCAGGGGTGGTCAACGGCACCAAATCTGTAACAGGAAAGGAGAAAATGTATGGCTGGACCGGGAATCGAACCCGGGACCCCTGTATCACTAGTCAGGTGCTCTACCGACTGAGCTATCCAGGCCGATATCCACAGCCCAAACCATTACACTTTCATCAGACTACCCAAGTTTGGTCTACATGAGATAAAATACATCTAGTTGTTATGGCAGAGAAATACTTTACCAAAAGAATAGTCATGGAGCTGTATTTTGATTTTGAGTTGTTCTACTTGGAATGTCAGGACATGGTTACAGTCATCTAGTTCCACTCCCACAGTGAGGTGACTCCTTAATACTTTATTTTCTTCAATACAACAAGTTACTCCAGTGCAGAAGGAAGGTATGTTGCATCTCACATTGGATGGCAAGGTAGGGAGAGCATTGGTTAAGTCCTTCTTACACTCTACAAGGGTGCAAAAAGAAGCTTGTAGCTTAAAGCCAAGTGTAGCATAAAAAGATGTTAATAAAAAGAGAAGAAAATGTCATATCTGAACCAATATTTTCTTCTCAATCCAGCAATAGCAATGTTTACCATTTTTCCATCCATCACTGTTGGCTGGACTAAAGGTCTGAGAAGTAAATGAACAAGGATTGGTACTTAAGTAAGATCTGATTCCCAGCTCATTTAACAGTTTGTCTTTATTGACAAGGGAAAGAACTGATCCTGGACTGATACCAAGATTACTGTACCAGGCACCAAGGTCAAAATCTGTAAAGGCAAATATTAACATGATCAATAAGAACCAAGGTCAAAATCTGTAATTAAAGGCATATATTTACATGATAAATAAGAACCAAGGTCAAAATCTGTAATTAAAGGCAAATATTAACACCATAAATAAGAACCAAGGTCAAAATCTGTAAAGGCAAATATTAACACGATAAATAAGAAACCAAGGTTAAAATCTGTAAAAGGCAAATATTAACATGATAAATAAGAACCAAGGCCAAAATGTAAAGGCAAATATTAACAGGATAAATAAGAACCAAGGTCAAATCTGTAATTAAAGGCAAATATTAACACGATAAATAAGAACAAAGGTCAAAATCTGTACAGGCAAATATTAACATGATAAATAAGAACCAAGGTCAAAATCTGTAAAGGCAAATATTATCAGGATAAATAAGAACCAAGGTCAAAATCTGTAATTAAAGAGCAAATATTTACATGATAAATAAGAATGCTCATTTTCTTATGTGTTTAATCACACAGCTTTCTTTTTTCTTTCTTTTTTTTTAGCAAGAAATGTCATACTTGGTGTAGAAAAATTAGCAGTCCAGTCACAGATTGATTTTGGCACCAGGGTGTTCTTGAAGACATCAATGTTGATCAAACATTTAGCATCATCAGAGGCCTCAAAACAAGCTTTTAATGTCAAGGATACTCTAAACTGCCTTTCCACTGTCAAATCTTCAATTACGTAACTAGAAAAAAGTGTGAAACAATGAATTTCAGTGGCCTGATAAATTATACAGTGCAGAGTAAATTTTTAAAAAAAAAAAATCATAAACATGAAGGAAATGTCATATCTTACTCCATCTGAATCACACTGTTCAAGAAAAACTGGTTCCTTGCTCCTAAAAATACACCAGAAAAATTAAACTTAAAAAATACATGCGTGTGTATCTCTTTTATTCATGCATATAAATGCAACAAGTGACCATAGCATTGCTTGCAAAATATTTCTCAAATAGTTGCAGAAAAGAAACCAAATGTGCAAAATACAAACCAAATGTCACATCTTTGAGACTGATGTTAAATGACAGCTTCTCAATACCAACTTCCATCCAATAGTTACAGGCATCCAATGTTATATAAGTCTCAAATGATGTCTTCATGAATCCAACATCCATACAACAACTGACTGAGGTACAGGTGTCCTTTACCAGACATGTGACTGAGTCAGAGATTGGCATAATAGCAACTTCCAACTGGCAGTCTACAATGGGAGATCTGTATTTAAACTTGGAACATGTCATAAATACCTAAACTATTATATACAGCTTTCTATTACCAAATCATTTCTAGTACCTCAGAACTAAATACAATGATGATTATCTGTATTAAGATTATATACAAATTATTCCTCTCTAAATATTATACAAAATGTCCCTTAACCATATTTAGAAAATACCACATCAACAATGATTATGTAAGATCTTTGACCTTTTTTCCACCCACTGACAGCAGGACTGTATACTGGACCAGATCTCTGACAAGGAATCTCCTGCATGTATTTGGCAATACCAAGTTCTTCTAGAAGTTTGACAGCATTCAGGTTAGAGAGTTGGGATCCAACAGCAGCACCTATACTCTTGTACCAGTTTGCAAAGGAGAAATCTAAATAAAAACAAGATGTGTTTGTGAAACACTGATGCCCCCGTAAAGTTTTTAAAAGTAAGTAAAATGTCAAGGTCAAATGGTGCCCAAGGGAAGGTCTTATCACAAGTGATACACATGTTCATGAAAAGTGAAAGCCCTAGAACCAAACGTTTAAATGTTATGGCCAAGGTTAAAATTTTTTAAAAGTAGGTCAAACTCCAAGATAAAGGTCAATGTCAAAATTGTTAATATCCAAAGGAAGGGCTTGTCACAAGGCATATACATGTGAAGTATGAAAGCTCAAGCACCAACTATTCAAAAGTTATGGCCAAAGTTTAAGTTTTTCAAAAGTAGGTCAAACTCCAAGGTCAAGGTCAAATGGTCAAAGTTGTTGGTATCTAAAGGCCTTGTCGCAAGGAATGCATATATGAAGTATGAAAGTCCTAGCACCAACTGTTTAAAAGTTAGGACCAAGGTTAAAGTTTTTCAAAAGTAGGTCAAACTTCAGGGTCAAGGTCAAACAGTCAAAGATGTTGATATCCCAGGAAGGTCTTGTCACAAGAAATACACATGTGAAGTATGAAAACCCTAACTCTAACTGTTCAAAAATTATGGACAAGGTTAAAGTTTTTCAAAAGTAACGTAGGTGAAACTCCAAGGTCAAGGTCAAAAGGTCAAAGTTGTTGGTACCAAAAAAGGTCTTGTCACAAGAAATAAACATGTGAAGTATGAAAGCCCTAGCACCAACTGTTTAGAAGTTATGGGCAATGTTAAAGTTTTTTTTTCAAAAGTAGGTCAAACTCCAAGGACAAGGTCAAAGGGTCAAAGTTGTTGGTATCCAAAATAAGGCTTTGTCGCAAGAAATACACATGTGAAGTTTGAAAGCCCAAGCACTAACAGTTCAAAAGTTATAGCCAAGGTTAAAGTCCCATAAAATTTTGCAAAAGTAGGTCAAACTCCAAGGTCAAGGTCAAAATGTCAAATATGATGGTACCCAAAGAAAGATCTTGTCACAAGAAATACACATGTGAAATATGAAAGCCATAGCTCCAACCAATCAAAAGTTATGGGCAAGGTTAAAGTTTTTTCAGACAGACAGACAGACAGATGGACGGACAGGGCAAAAAAGTACATGCCCCCGAATCTTCGATTATGGGGGCATAAAAAGAGTAAGTATGCATCCCTTTTTACATTACAAAGCTTTTAAAGCTTAAACACTCTGCTTTCAAAAAATGTTTCACATCTGATTACTACAACCATGCAATCATAATTGTTGCAGATGAAAACTGTGAAGCATAGCAAAAATATATGTCAAGGGACAAGATAGACTAAGACCCCATTTTAGCCCCTTTAGGTGTTTCTTAGAATGATGCAATAGCTCATAATCAAAAACCTTTTGTCATCCCTGTTACAAAATGAGTATTGTTTTTAAGTCATAGGATACACAGATGTCACAGTAAGTTAACAAAATTTATCAATTTCTGAATCTTCTCATTTTCATTCAAATATTCATAATTTCTGAGGCACATTTTGTTTCAGAAAACACAAAGCACAAGCTTGCCAATCTACCAAATCTATGCATTTCATGATAGTATCAGATATCTCTTAAGATTTATGAAATATAGCAGTGAAAAAGTTCTTAAACATGATGCCATAGGAAAAAATATACAAGTAGAAACACTTTCTTCTCTCATTCAGAAGTTATTATAAAGGTATTCCATCCCTAATAGCCTCAGATTCAATGAATTTGAATACATAACAGATGTGTACGGGTGGAATACTCAGTATATTTAGACATAAATCCCATTTATTACTATTAGCATGTAAGAATGGAATGTGTCTTAATTAATTTATGACCTTGACCTTTGTTCAAGAGTTATCTCCCTCTTCTTTTAAGTAATAAAAATCAATTTAAAAAAAAATCTACACAGTAAAAAAATTGTTTTCAATTGTCATTCTATTTCTAATGATTTAGTGCATCTTTCCACCACAGTATTTATTGATATTCTTATTATTTGAATTTTTATTTTTAAAAAATCGCTTGTCTCCATAGACTTCAATGCAATTTCTGTTAATTAATTACTGCTTAGTTAATTACATTTTTGAAACTTTCTCTTGATAAATCCTTTTCTACTGTAAAATTCTTTGAATTAATATCAGAGTATTATATACATGATGGATATTTAAAGGACTTATCGCATGATCTTTCAAAAATCGTGATTTTATGAAAAATATTATCTACAACCTTGTTTGTTAAAATACTGAATACAATAAACGTTATTGGAAGCATATTTTAAGAGATATTGAAAGTTGAAATTCAAATACGGCAATATGCATATTTCAGTCGTATTTCGGCGAAATACTGCTCTGACGTCATAGGCGACAATTCAGTGATAGAGAGATGAGAATATGTAAACTATTTACGGAGTTATCGACGACAAATGCAGCTTAATTAAGAAAAATGCTGAAAAAATTAATTCCTAGCATGCTTTTTAATTACTATAGAAAAATTAACTAGTTCTAAGGTATAAGGCTTTTGAGATATTTTCGTTTTTTATTCAAAACATTCAGAATCTGTGCAGCTCCGATTACGGCAATGTTTCGTGATCGGAAAATTATTTTTCAAGACTGCCATCCTTTACAAAACATAAGTAAATTTAATGTTATGCTAAAACGAAGAATAAAAGTTATATAATATTAAATTTGTAAATCAATGAAGTTAATACATGTGATAAGATGACAAATCAAATTGTATTGTGATGGCGAGTTTCTTCGTCTTCGCCGCGTCTCCTTCGATATCGTCGCTGCTATTTTTTACAATGTTAACAGATTTTTCAGATTTTTTCTTGATGACAATTTTAAAATATAAGGTTGGATATTCAATTTCATATCGATAAAATCAGTGAAATGGTCGTCCACAATGCAGAATATTCATGTTGTATCGCATATATTTTAGTAAGATTAACTATAGAGCTGATCAGCCATTGTCGCCTTTGACGTCACAGGGTCACGTGATCGCTATCTAATTAACTTAGATTTTTAATTCAGGGGTTTTCATTTGAGTCAATAATTGCTTAATTACCACGGTTTATCTGCAGCAAAAACACAAAATTTATAAACTGTGGTTATAAGGAACGTTTTACGCTTTTGATTTCAAATAGTTTAGAAACATGCGATAAGTCCTTTAAGTATAGAAAATTAGGTCCTATTAGGGATGGAAACCCTTAATGTTAAAGATTTGGAAAAGAAGTCAATTTTTAAAGACATGGTCACCAGGCAAAAGTTGTAGTACAGATGAAAAGGTCTTGTCATAGGTAATGCACATATTAAGGATATCTGCTCCTCAAAAAGGCAAGATAACTCAAAAAATTAACATTTAATTTAACAAGGCCCGTGGGCCACAACGCTCATCTGAGTAACTTTGACCCTGCTATTCTTCACCGATTTTCCCCCTTGTAATACATAATTTAAACAATTAAGAATCTACACAACCTCAGGAAGTTTCCATATAAATTTCAGCTTTTCTGGCACAGTGGTTATTGGAAAGAAGATTTTTAAAGATTTTTCCTAGATATTTCAATGTAAAATTTTGATTCCCTATTGTGGCCCCACCCTACCCACGGGGACCATGATTTGAACAATTTAGAATCTAGGAAGCTTCCACATAAGTTTCAGCTTTTCTGACCAAGCGGTTGATAAGAAGAAGATTTCTAAAGATTTTTCGCATATATTTCAATGTAAAACTTTGATTTCCTATTGTGGCCCTATCCAATCCCTTGGGGCCATGATTTGAACAAATGAGAATCTACTCTACCTCAGGAGGATTCCACATAAGTTTCACCTTTTCTAGCCGAGTGGTTCTTGAGAAGAAGATTTTTAAAGATTGTTTCCAATATACTTCAGTGTAAAACTTTGATTTCCTATTGTGCCCCACCCTAACCCTGGGTCCATGAATTGAACAATTTAGAATATACACTACCTCAGGAAGCTTCCACTTAAGTTTCAGCTTTTCTGGCCCAGTGGTTCTTGAGAAGATTTTTTAATGATCCAACCCTATTTTTACTTTTCTTGATTATCTTCCCTTGGAAGGGGGCTTGGCCCTTCATTTTTTTTCAATTTAAACTCCCCTTCACCCAAGGATGCTTTGTACCAACTTTAGTTAAATTTGGCAGAGTGGTTCTTGTGAAAAAGTTGAAAATTTGAAAAGTTTACAGATGGACAGAGGGACAGATGGCCCACAGACAACTGGTGATCAGAAAAGCTCCTTGAGCTTTCAGCTCAGGTGAGCTAAAAATTCTCAAAATTAAGCTTAAAATTGAATTCGTTTCATGCAACAATTTTTATATCATGCATCTCAATATATATAATTCAAGGTTCTTTTAAATGACGTCTTAGAAACAGTTTTGTAAAAATTTGACATTTGTACCCTATAATTATAGTACAAAAATAAATACATTTTTAGAGAAATCGAATTTCTCTTAATCTAGCCTTAGATACCAATGTTTATTAGCTTGAAATTAGAAGTGATCTGTTATGTCTTACAATGATAGCACAAACATTTTATACTATGTATTATATAACAATTGAAGTAAACAGAAGAACTAATGTACCGTATAATTATAAAACAAGAGGCCCATGGGCCATATCACTCACCTGAGCACTTTGGCTAGGAAAAAGCAGAAATTAGTTCAGTATTGAAAAGTTTAAATATTAGCTGCAATAATGTAGCCCTCTCCGATTTTTTTTCATCTGATATTTTCAGGAGAGGGCTACAATTCCACTGCATCTCCGTAATGGTGCAAATATATTTTTTAGATACGGGTGACTGCAGGCAAAATAAATTGATATTGCATTCAACTTACTTCCAATAAGACGGAATTTTTATTCACTATCAACATCATAGCCCTTTATAAGCGAAAACCAAGTAAAATAAATCTGCGTGTTTTCCAGTCGTTCACCTCAGCAGCCATGACAGTTCTCGCGTGATGTACTGAGATTTGCGCTTGAAATTTAGAATCACTTGATAATGTAAATGTCGGTGTTGATAAATGTTTGTGTTGTATGATATAACTAAACATCGATAAATAAAAGCATTCCACGTGATATTTTTATCATAAACAGTGATATTTATGCTTATAATAAGGGAAATCCATACAGATCCGCTCCCCTAGATCCCAAATTCTCATTGGTTGTCCCAAAATAAAATCGATCAAGGTCAGTAAACATGGCGGATAAATTCAAGTTGAGATGTTGACATACACGAAAAATAACCGATATACGGATTGTTCTGTATATTTTTGGATCAATTCATGTCCTGCATAACTACATTTTATGAGTTCAGGTAAGATATGTTAATAAAATACCCAGTTACTGATAATTTGAGCCGAAATCTGTGCGGTAGTGAATCACTCCCACACTTGCACCATTACGGAGATCCTAAGGAGTTGTAGCCCGCTCCCAAAAAAAAAAAAAAAAATTGGAGAGGGCTACATTATTGCAGCTATTTAAATATAAAAGCAGTTCAGGGGGAGGGGGGTTTGATTTGAATGAACTTGAATCTACACCACCTAAGGATGCTTTTGATTTAACATGACTAATAATGGCTTTGCTGTTCTTAAGAAAAAAAATTATTGATATATTCTTTATATTCCTCTGCATGACTATGACTCCTTTATACTCATGGGGGGTCATGATTTGAACGAATTTGAATCTACACTACCTGAGGATGCTTCCATATAAATATGACCAATCATGGCTTTGCTGTTCTTGAGAGCAAGACTTTTAAAGATTTTTCCTATGTTTTCCTATGTAAAACTTTGATAGCCCACTGTGGCCCCACCCTACCCCTGGGGGTCATGATTTGAACAAACTAGAATCTACACTGCCTGAGGATGATTCCACATAAGTTTCATATTTTCAAACACAGTGGTTCATGAGTAGAAGATTTTTAAATGATGCCATTAATTTTTCACTAATTTGTAATTATCTCCCCTTGGAAGAAGGTGTTGCCCTTCATTTGAACAAACTTGATTTCCCTTTACCCAAGGATATCTTCTGGCAAGTTTGGTTGAAATTGGTTCAGTGGTTTTTGAGAAGATGAAAATGTGAAAAGTTTACGATGACGATGACGACAGACAACAGACAAATTTCGATCAGAAAAGCTCACTTGAGTCTTCAGTGCAGGTGAGCTCAAACATTCAATTTTCTCCAAATGCCTCAATACCTATAATTTTTTATCCTAAATTATATTTGTTGATCAAGTTTCAATTAGAACTTGCATTACTGGTGCTTTTATTTGCATTTCCTGAAAATATACAGTTGAACTTTGTTATCTCGAACATGGATATTTCGAATGCCATGGATATGTCAAAGTCATATGGAAGTCCCAACTGCTTATTCCTTAAGTATTTTACCCTGGATATCTCGAAATCTTTGATTTCGAGATAACGAGGTTTGACTGTATTTGAGATTTGATAATTTTCCCTATATAATATGATTAACTATAATGATGAACTTTGAAGAAATACCTTAGGTAAATACACATTACTTTAACTCCTGATTTTCAGAACCTGAGGATCGGACTACCTTAAGTATAAGCACTCTATCTTCATTCATTGAAAAGTTATCACCAATGTTATTTTTTTTAAGTAGGTCAAACTTCAAGGTCAAGGTCACTAAGTCAAAAATTATAGTGCAAAGCTCTTGTCGTAGGTTAATGCATGTCAAATATGAATGCCCTATCTACACTCATTTAAAAGTTATTACCAATGTCAACATTGTTAAAAAGTAGATAAAACTTCAAGATCAAGTTCACAAGGTCAAAAATCATGGAATATTTGGAAAGGGCTTGTCACAGGTAATATACATGTAACATATGAAAACCTCATCTTTTCTCACTCAAAAGTTATGACCAAGGAACAATTAAATGTTAACAGAAATAGATGACAAACAGATGATGGACAAATTTTGATCAAAAAAGCTCATAAGTGCTTCCAGGTAGGTGTCAGAGCTAACAAATATCTACAATGTCAAACCTGGTACTGTAAAGTTAAGGTTCCAGAAACACCCAGGTTTTGGTATCCTCTGTTTCTCAAACAGCACAGACTCATATATACAAGTTCTCTCCTCCAAACATATCTTTACTTTTGCTGTTAACTCTAAGTTACTCCTATCCACATCTTCAATCTTGTACCTGTTTAATGTAAATTAGCAAAACAACCTCATGAAATTTACATCTGGACAGGATATAGTACCTTGTTAAAATAGCAAGCACATGAAAGATACACATGGAAATATTTACTATGCACTTTGTTGATACATGTACTTCTTACCTCAATTGAACCACATCCATCAAGCTGAAGCTGTCTTCCACACCTATATGTATTTTACAATAAAGATTCTTAAAGTTTTAAAATATCAAGTAAATAGAAAGGAGGACTTAAAAAATTATCAACTGGTTGCTCAATTTCATCAAATCAAAGGAAAATGTAAATGGCCTCTTAAATGAAAAGTGAATCTCATCATATCATCAATTACTGAGTTTTCAGAATATACATGTAATATGCAGAACCACTTCAATAAAACAATTGTTTTTAAGTATTTCAATTACCATACTGGTAAGAGAACAGTGTCTTTTCATAGGATAAGTTCTCTATTCCCACTTTCAATGTCTGGAGACAAAGATCCAGATCCAGGAAGAAATGGATTGTCTGTTGTAGAGGATCCTGAAAATCCAGACAACATTCCACAGCTGTGCAGTGACTCATCAGGTGACAGCTGATGGGAAGGGAGCTGGATAACTGGGTCATGTTACCCACATCAAGGAGACAGTCTGAAAACAATATGGCTTCATTAAATTCATAAAACTATTTAGATATTGGTATAATGTTCAAGATTTATCTCCCTTATGTCACAATCCATTTTATGTCACACTCACCAATTTTCCATCCAGCCTGACCCTTAGTCTGTGGAAGATAAGCAGCTGACCTCCTGTTACACTGTTTTTCCTTGGGCAGCAGGAAATTGGTGATTCCAAGACTCTCTTTTAGCATGGACAGATAAGTGGTTGACAACACTGAACCAGGTGACAGGGACATGTTCTTGTACCACTCAGAGATGGAGAATCCTACAATACACTCAACTAGTTAATCCTTACCAAGAGCAAAATAAGAAAATTTACTCAGATAATCAATATAACATCTGTTTCGAACTGCCAATGACCCCATTTGATTACAGAGAACCCAATGCACAACACCTAAAGAAACAAATCATTGACAGTAAATGTCAACTTGCTGTAATGCTAATATCAATTATGCTGGGAATGACAGTCCCTTAACTAAATAAGACAATATGGATATATGAAACAACATTGTCTGATGTTTTCCAACACCAGAACCCCTGACCCAGAGTTCATGAATTTCCAAAATTTTTTAGAGAGTTACCTTTGCTCATCATAACCATGCACTTAGTTTGTTTGCTTTATAACCAAGAGGAGAAAAGAAAGATTTTTCAAAAATTAATGCATTTTCACTGTATGATCATGTCAGCCCCACCCTAACACCAGAATCCCTGACCCAGGGATCATGAGTTTCACAATTTTGGAAGAGGTACCCTTACTAATTATAACCATGCACTTAGTTTGTTTGCTTAATAACCAGGAGCGAGCCCCACCCTAACACCAGAAACCTGCCCATAGGGCCTTGAATTTCACAATTTGGTTGAGGGTTCAATGCATAATGCCAATATTTTGACTACTTGATGATTGAGAAGATTTTTTTAGATTTGCACTAATTTTGATGGTTTTTGCCTAACCTCTCAGGTCCCAGGGAGCCAGAGACCATGATATTTACAACTTTTGTTCACCTTTGCCCATAGAGGCTATGTACAAAAATTGGTTAAAATTGGTTCAGCTGTTGCAGAGAAGAAGTTGAAAATGTTCAGATGCTAATGGATGATGTATGACAATGGACAAATCAGATAGCAATAGGTTAAATTTAAATTTTGAAGAATGCATTTATTTTGGAATTTTTGGCCAAATTCCCCTATGCCACATTGCCTGAAGAACCTTAAACTCGAAATTTGTAATTCCATTCATCCAAAGATGCTAATCAATTTGCTTACAATTAGTTCATTAGGTTCAGACAAGTAGGTAAAATTCTTTACCTTTTTGTCTGTAGGCAGGGATTACAAGTATTACACAAAGCACTATGGACAAGACTGGAAATATGCATATAGCAAAAAGTCATCTGTCTGACTAAGTGACCTGACCATGACAAAAAAGAGCTGTATATATAGTATACTACTTGAATAGAACTTGACACACCTGAAGAATTGAGAGTCAAATGACACTCAGTTTTTGGCAGACACAAGTCTTTAGCAATATCATGGGATATGAAGCATGGTTTTCCTTTCTCAAGACAAACATCTACTTTCATGTTCACAAGATATTTGCTTTCAAGATCCTCAATGCTGTACCTGATAAAAAATAAAATGCCAAGCATAAACTAACAAATCTCAAAAATATTTATAACAATCATATTTCCTATAAATGAAGATTGGCATACTTACTCTATGCTGAAAATATCTTTTAGCCAAAACTTGGATTTCGTTCCTGTAAAAATCATTTATGCTGCACTATCTTCAAACAATGTATAAAAACATAATATACATCTCACATATTAGAGTTCATAAGAATTTTCATTTAACATTAAAAAATACATCTTGAGATCTGAGAGAGCTGAATTCAAAATTTAAATACATTGCTTATAAACTTACCAAAAGCATAAGTCATCAGATTGATTTTGAATTTGTAATCTTCTATTCCTAATTCAAGAGTTTTGTAGCATGGATCTAAGTCAATAAAAGCTTCAAAATTTCTCCCAAGAGGTTTCACAGCTAGACAACAGTGAATCTCTGTACATTTGGTGGGTACTGAACACAGCACAGGCAAAGTGGATAGGTCTAGCTTTTGATAGAAGGAAGACTTGGGACATTCTGAAAAGTTTACAAAAAAAATTTCTCTCAGTGTGCAGTACATCTCTTTTACATAAAAGAAAATACCGTAATTTTTGGAAGATAGGTCGATCCTTTTTTTCTCAGTACCATTGGGGTCGTCCTATTTAAAGAATCAACCTTTCTAAGACTCAAGTTTACAAAAAATGACCCAAAATCCGTAAAATTTACATCAATTTCAAAACAAATCTGAACAATTTTCGTAACTTTTTAAATTATTTTACTGAGAAAAAATAATACACGATAAAAATTTAAAAATATATTCCATTGATTTCTTGCAAATTAAGTTCCCTTAAATATCCATCGATGTACCCCCCAAAAAATTTAATCATCTCATAAATAATGTTTCATCAAAGTATATTTTACAACTCGTTCACTAAAAATAAAACTGCAACCATATCAAAATTTAGAATACGGAGTTTTCACAATCGCAATTTGGTAAATAATTGTCATCTTTCTTCTTTTTTTTTACCATTTATGTGTATCGATGAATTGAAATAGTCTACCTAAATATTTTTTCATTGTCTTGTGATATTTTTTTAAATGTAAAATGTGTGAAATAAATTGTTGCCAGTAATTCCCAAATTTATTTATCAAATATACCGCTAGTCATAAATATATTTCATATCTAATTAACTAATAAAGTGCACTTATCTTCCTCGTACCCAAGAGGTACACTGATTTTTTCAAAGATTGGCTTCTGTTTGAATTTTAATTGTCTGACTTATAAAGGAATATGTACGCTGTATACAAAAAGGTGTTGACACCTATGTTGGTTTAACCACCTGCGGGGCATGATTAACAGCACGTGCAGTAATAGGGGTATTAGTGCTTGTACACATCATTGAACATACAAAGCTTTGAAATTCATGATGACTGTTAAATTGCAAATGTACTCTTAATTAAATTTATTTTTACAACAATATCACAGGCCAAATTATAGCATGAAAATTAATTTCAAATATTACATGTAATAGTCATTTGCATGCTTTAACTAATCCCTAATATAAAAATGGCGGTCATCGAAGTTAATATTGTAAATAATGCCTATTTAAAATATGTTAAGAAAGTGTCCACGATGTTTAAAAATGGAAATAATTATTGTTTGGTCTGGGGTATTTCCCTAATTTATAGCTGTCGTATACTACTGTATTTATGGATATTGTTTAACGACAGTGTCAAACTACGAGGGCATTGAGCAGGCAAGTTGGAGAAAATACGTTGTATAGCAGAATTCAAGGAAGTTTCCACTAAAGAATTTATATATATATATATATATATATATATATATATATATATATATATATATATATATATAAAACACTATTAAAATGTTTTACTAAAAATATACCATTTTACTTTCTCAATACAATAATAACACGGGGTAAGCCAAGAAGTTCACATGTTCTGATACGTAGTTTCTATGTAAGAATCTCTAGAAATTGGATAAACAATCAGTGATTCATTTTGAAAATGGTTATCATGGGTCCAAAGGACCCCTCTTAATGACAAAAATGAGTCCCGTGCTAAAATCAATGCGTCCAAATCCAAGGGTACCGTATATTAGATGTTACAGAGGAAATTCTGGTGAAATAAAAAAGGGTATTGTACGAAAGTGCAGAAGTTTTATTGTAGTTGTGAGTGATATATACTTTTACTATCAATTGTCCAAGTAAGAGTACATGATTTTGTGTCATAAAAATAATATATTGTCCACTGTGCACTTTGGCTCTATTTTTAGATCGTACATACGATCTCACACATGGTATCAGTCATAAAATGCAGAGAAGCAGAATGAAGTAAAAAAAAGTTTAAGAAGTAATGTCAAATAGTCAGAAATAAAAATGATTAAATTTTATACTTCTTAGCTTGTAAGGAAAAAACGAAAAGAAAAAAAAACCCAATGATACAGGTTACAGCTTAAAAACAAAGGTATAGTATTCGCTTCAGAAACGTTCCATGGTATAGACATAATCAGTGATAATCGAACTATGCTAACTAACTTTCAAATATGCTTTTAACTGCAGTTGTGAAATCTGACCTGTTGTTGGCAACCTTATACCTGTTAAAATCGTTCATACATATCGCTTAGCACGTGGATATGATGCAATCGGTCAAGTTTTGAATCAGATTATACCGAATTAATTTAAAATAGTACATGTCCTTCTATAAATTTATTGCGTCCATTGGGATGCACATTTATTGCAATAATGCGTCCTGAGCAAAATTTGTGCATAATTTACGCAGGACGCACACCAAAATGAATCACTGAACAATGCCTCGTCCTATGTTCCGATTTTCATCCTATCTATGGATTTTTTTTAAAAATTAGAGCTAAAAATGAGTCTTTCGACCTATATACCCCCATCGACATATACCCCAAAAATTACGGTACAATCTGAATTAAAATTGCTTGGTTTAACAAATAGGACACCAAGAAGCTAAAGGGAAAACCCAAGTTATGTTTTATTCCTTAAAACTGTAGATATTAAGGATATCCGATCCTCAGCCAGGAAGGATAACTCTTAAATTTATTATTTTATTTGAAAAAGCTCAAAATGAAGCTTGAAATTGAGATCTTTTCGTGCAACAATTTTCATTTTATGCATTTTGATATGATTTAAGGTTCTTTGAAGTCTTAGAAACGGTCTTGTTAAAAGTTGACATTTGTACCCCATAAAAGAAAAAAAAAAATGAATTCATTTTTAGGGAAATCGAATTTCCTTTAGTCTAGCATTAGATACCACTGCTTATTAGCATGATATGAAATTAGATGTGATATGTGATGTCTGGCAATGATAACACAAGCTTTGTACTCTATATATTATATGGCAATTGAAGTAGAAAGAAGAACTAAAATACTGTACAAGCATAAAAAAGATGCAATTTTCTCCAAATGCCTGGGTACTTATATTTTTCTATCCTAAATTATATTTGTTGATCAGTTTTCAATTAGAAAATGAATAACAGGTGTTTTTATTCACATTTCCTGAAAATATATTTGAGATTTGATAATTTTCCCTATATAATATGATTAACTAATAATGATGAACTTTGAAGAAATTCCATGGGTAAATTCATGTTACTATGTGAAATCAGAGACATTTTTGTGAGCATTTTCAATTACTGAAAAGCTGATTTTCAGAACCTGCAAATAGGACTACCTTAAATAAACTCCTTTTTTAGCCATAAACTTAAACCTATGGTTTCAACAATGTATATGTACAGGTAACTGTAAAACATGGTTACAGTGAACATGTTTAAAATGAATTCAGGCTTATAGCGAAGTGATTTTCATTCCCTGTAGTTTTAAAAGATAAATTATGAACTCCATGGATATAAAGAATTACATTTATAATGAATGATTCAAAATTGGTCATCCTGGCACTTCACTATAAGCATGTTTTACTGTATAGGAAAATGATGCCTTAATACCAGTTTTACAAATTATTTGTTTCTTGTTCTTGAATACAAGTAAAAATTTTATTCCCATTGAGGGACCAACCTAATGTTAGGGATTATGATTCAAGAAATCCTGAATCAACAACTGTATATTAATATGATTACTGATAATTCTTGCTGTTTTACTTTAGATGAAATTTTTTAAAAAGACTTTCCTTATAAACTGATCCCTGTGTAAAAGTTTGTCCCTCTATTGTAGCCTCATCCAAACATGCATGAATATACACTTTATACGGAAACTTTCACAAGAGATTTGTATTTTCTGACCCAAATGTTTTTCAAAGAAGGATTTAAAAAATATCCATCATGATTCTATCATTTATTGCTTATCTACCCTTGGCTCTTCAACTATATCAACTTTAATCCCCCATATTTAAGTTTTCTTTCCAGTACATTTGGTTGAAATTGGTCCTGTGCTTCAGGAGCAAGAGTGTTAACAGACACAAAAAGATCCAAGACAGTCTTTGAGCAGAAAAAGTACACTTAATCCTTTAGCTTGGGTTACTTTAAAGGACAGAAAAAAAGGAATAAATATAATACCATCATCCCATCCATTGATTGTATTCATTCCTCTTTCTACACTACATTGATTTCTCCCCAGGTATCCAGCTATTCCAAGGTATTCCATCAGTTTGTCTGTATCTGATGGTGCTAGTGTATCCATTGTTAACCCCATGGAGGACTTCCATCCATCCAATGAAAAATCTGAGGGGAGAAATATTTACTTAATTCTGTAATTTACTTGAAAACTTGTAGCCAGGATGAGACTACATCAAATCAGATAGCTGAAACCAATAGGAAGATGTCACACATTTTAAGGTCTTTTGCAGATAATTCAGTATATCTTAAATAGTCCAATCCATTTGTTTAGATATATTCATTTTTATTACATTTTCAACAGTGAAATACTGTGATTTATTTATTGAATAAAAGTGATATTCTCTCACAGTGTGAAAGGATACCAAAGTGATATTCTCTCACACTGTGAAAGAATATCAAAGTAAAAAATAATTTCTGGTCTGTCATAAGATAGAGATAGTAACTAAACTGTCATGATAGAGACTAAAACTGCCAATTTCTTCCTAAATATGTTGCTTAAATCGATGTTACAATGTTTTCATTCTCACAATTGCTAAGCTATGACATCTCAACCGCTCAACTATGATGTCACAGCCTATGACACTGTGCTAAGAAAAGGCAGAGGCAAAGGAAAAATCAAAGAAAATGAAATAAACAGAAAATTCAATGTTTTGTACTTGGATGTGGAATTTATTTCACGAGTATGGCAGTATTTTTTTTTTATATTTTCACTCGTGCTTCGCACTCGTGAAAATATTTTAAAAAAACTGCCCCACTCGTGAAATAAATTCCATATTCAACTACAAAGCATTGAAGATCCTCTATTTATTTTTAAAGAGACTACATTCCTTAAGTATGAAAATTTTTACTTGAAATTTTTTGTCCAAATTCACAGTCTTTCTTTGGTAAGCGCAGTTCATTGAAGATTAAAACATCCAACAAACACAGGAGATGAGTCTCAAAACAAATGCTTGTCCTAAAATTAATCAAAAACTGGCCTTCTGCTGTAAGATCCCATACTGTAAATCTACAAGCATACAAAAACTTTTTTTTTTTTGGTGAATCTGGCAATGGAATAAAAAAGTGCTTTGAAACAATAAATGTTTGAAAAACATATATGGCCCCTGTGGCAATATTAAAAATGGAACAAGTTTAAATTTAGAATATCTCTAATGATAGTGAAAAAAAAATGATTATCTACTAGTCAAGGGCAACTTGACCTTTGACCATAAAATTTATAGGGGTTGTTACTCTTTTAGGAGAAAAAGTGTTCCAGGTTTGATGTCTGTCAAGGAAAAGGTTCCCAAGATACTGAGCAGTCAATATATTCCGATGTCCAGTTTTACCCTTGATCTTTGGTCTTGTGACCTAAACATCAATAAGGGTAATCTACTTTTTAAGGGGAACCAACATTCCAGTTTGTTGTCTGTCAAGCAAAGAGTTCTCAAGATATTGAACAAACACTATTTTCTTATGTTGAGAGCAGTCTGATCCTTGACTTGTAACCTCAAAATCTACAGTGGTCATCCATTTCTCAGGGGGGATTTGTATAGTAAGTTTGATGTCTGTCATGCAAATTCTTCCTATGTCCAGTTTGACCTTTGACCTAGTAATTTCCAAATCAATAGGGGTCATCAACTCCTTAAGGGAAACCAGTGTAAAGTTTGATGTCTATCAAGCAAAGGGTTCTCAAGATATTTTAAAGCAGTCAAGGACTTCCTATGTCCATGCAGTCTGACCTTTGAACTTGTGTCCCCAAAACATCAAAATCAATAGGGGTTATCTACTTCTTATGGGGAACCAATGTACAAATTTTGATGTCTATCAAAGGTTCTCAAGATATTGAATGGACAATATCTTCCTATGTCTAGAGAAATTTGGCCTTAGACCTTTGAACTTGTGACCTCAAAATCAATAGGACGTCATCTACCCTTAGAGAATACCAGTATACTAAGTTTGATGTCTGTACAGCAAAGGGTTCTCAAGATATTGAGCAGACACTTGGTTTATGACAGACCAACAAACCAGTGCAAAGCAATATGTCCCCTTTTCAAGAGGAAGCATAAAATTTTATTTAAAATGTAACTAAATACACATTCAATGAAACACAAGCATGCTCCTTTTTAAACATCAGCCATACCTCATTCTTACAACATTTGCCAGTCTGACATCTTTCTCAACACCAAACTCAAATTCTTGCAAATAAATTTGAAACTGAAATTCATCAATTCCAAACTTCATCTTAAGACTGCAGGGATCAATATCTAGATATGTATGGAAGTTGTGATGAATTGGTGCTGCTCCTATACAACAGTCTATCCCAGTACAGGACTCTGACATAGCACATCTCATGTTGGAGGGAAGTGAAGGCAACATCCCAAGGTGTTCAGAACACTCTAAAATATAAATATTTTTATAAAGGTGTTTTTTTTCTCAGTTACTTATTCACACTTGAAGCATCAAAATCATAGTGCTCAAAGCAGCATCTGTTTCTTGCTAATTGTTCAGAAATAACAAAATTTTCAAGGGTACATGTTATAAATTTTCATTACCGTATTTGGCCGAATATAATATGCATTGGTGTAAAATACGCACCCCCCTTTTTGAGCCTGAAACAGGGGGAAAAAACGCAGTTCGGTTGTATTATACGCAGCAGAAAATTTTACCAAGCGGTGTTCTGAACTTTTGAAAATCGCGGTAATTTGCTATGAAAATCAGTGTGGAGATAAAGTGCCGAAAATTTACCGAACACGATATATTTTATTCAAATGCGTTTTTATTTTTTAATCTTGACTTTCCATATCGCGGCAATCTGGAGGAAATTATTTATTTTAACAAAGCACGAGATAATGTTGCATTAAAGTTTTAACAGAGTTTATGATTAATTTTTTTTTTTTTTTAGCAAACGGTGATATTGAAATTATACGTCGCCGTATTCTAACTATTCTTTGTGGAAATAATTTTATTTCAACAAAGCACGAGATATTGTTGCAAGTTTAACAGTTGTCATATTTATTTTTAGTTTAAGGTAACCATGTTGAAAATTATGAAAATTTAACAGGGCAAGCGATATTGCAACCTCAAGTATTCATAGACTACGATTTTCCTCTTTTGAACTTGAAATTAATTAATTAAATAAACAGCTGATGTTATAAAAATAAAATCAAAATTAAAAAAGCGTATAAAGTGTGTTTATCAACACACCTCCAAAGCCGTGAAAAATGATGAACAAAGGTGGGATATATGTCTTCATACATCGAGGTAATCTTCGTGAATATCTTAATTTCTACAGTGCACGAGTAAATGATAACACTCAAGTTTCAACATACTTCATATTTCCTTTTCTTAACTCTCAATCATTTTAACACGAGGCCGATATAAGATAAAGAAAAATTACATTTAACATGCGTTTAACTGTTTAATGTGTCGTAATCAACACACGCTTATACATACGAAAGATCATAATCCAACCCCCGATTTTTAACAAAGAAAATAATCAAAGCAATTAATAAGGGCGGTAAATAATCAGTGCTCTAACTGTAAAAACAATGCTTTGGAGTCGGTTAACAATTCAATTGCCTGGAGGGGTGTTGAAGGGTAATTATCAAGTGACAAGCGCACGTGTTCACAACATTGGCTTCCATTCATTGGGACGTATAGAGGGGTGTTTATGTTGAAATGAATTTTCACCGAGTTATTTAAAACCTAAAATAAATTTTATTTTATTTTATTTCATTAAAAAATGACTTATTACTTTTTTGACCGAGTGTCTGACTGATTAGGTACATGTGCACTATGATTACGGAAGCACGTGGCAAAGGAATGTGTGAACATCTATAAATAATATCGTTAATGGCGGCCTACACGGAGACGATAAACATGCATCTCAAATTAATTTTAACTTGCTTTTAAATCTAATTTAACTATCAAAAGGTTATAAATATAACATTTTTAACAAGTCTACATTCCAACAATAACTTTCCAAAGTTTTAAATACGGCGATAAACAGCAAGAAATTGCACAAGTCTCTAGGTAATACTACGGTATGTGCGTATGATAGCCGTGTTTCACATGAAAGAAAAACCTATCTAAATCCCATTGTGGTGTAAAATACGCACCCCTTTCTCCCAGAAAATTATTTTGGGGAAGAAGTGCGTATTATATTCAGCCAAATACGGTATGTAGCCAACTGATCCATTCCTTGGCTCCAGGGCCATAAAACTTAGATAAACTCACTTTTGATCTTTTTCCACTATCAATTCCTTTAGTAAATGTGAGATTGAGATCAAAGTGAGCTCATTAACTTAACTCCACCTAAAGACCTGCAAGGGCTAAGACAACATGAAATTTACAATTTTTGTAGAGGGATAGCTGCTCACTTTAATCTTACAGTTTGCTGCTAGATGTCCATGGTAAAGAAGATGTTCTAAGTTTTTATACATTTAATTTTCAATAAATGACCTGTTTTTGGCCTGAACCCTAAGACAAAATGTTCATGACTTTGGCAAATTTGGTACATGATGAACTGCTAATTATACTAAAATATGCAAAAAATTGGCCTCCCAAGATGTCAAGGAGAACAGATGATTTTTGAAGATTGTATAAATTTCTATGGTTCTTGTCCCATGACCCCTCGTCATGGGGTGAGAGGAGCAGAGGACTACAAAATTCATTAGGTTTGTTCCAATTTTTCAATATATGTTACATCTAAAACTTTATTGAAATTTAAAACTTCACTTAATATAAAAATGTTCAAAATGGATGATGTACAATGACAGACACTCAAATTCCTTACCATTTCTAATTCCATCTTTTGAAGGTTGGTATATTGCACTAGACAAAGAGCAAGTTGGGTTGGATAAAAACTGAGGAAGTCCAAGTTCTTCTTTGAGTTCCTCTAAGGCCAGGCCTTGAATGTCATCAAAACTCCCCAATGCCTTGTTCTTCATAAATTGCCTTAGAGAAAAACCTAAAAACAAAACAGTTACAAAACAATAATTTTTAGATTTGGAGGAGGAAAAAAAAGAGAAAAACCTAGTTATCCTAATGGAAGATATACTGCAGTAACTAGAAAACTGACCATGCAGTCACTAAGAGTTCTACTGAGAGATTCTTATCTCTAATGGGATTTGGATGTAGAAGATTGTAATTTCTGTTTACAGAGAAACTTGCGGCCCATTCTATTTTTTTTCTTATGTTCACCCTCATTGTCAGTTGGCGAATTCAAAACATAGTAAATTAACATAGACCATTTATTTCTCTTACCACAACCTTGTTGGAGAACATTTTAAACAGGGAAAAATCATATGCAAATGTTATAGAGCCAAAATAACACAGATAAAAATTAAAAAAAAAAAAAGACCCTGTACACAGTACTTGAAAATGAACACGAGAGAAGTTTTTTATCCTCTTTATTCTTATGAGAAATTGAGATCCCATGTTGTGGCTTCACCTTAATTCTAAGGGGTCTCTTAATACAAACAACACGGAGATTCTTCAATATCATAAATGAATAACATGACCCTGGTTTAAGGGAGAATTCTTTTTCATGTATACATGCATTATGTAAAATTAGTTCTATGATTTTAGCCCCCACATTAACCCCAAGGTCAAAAATAAAAATAAATGATCATCACAACATGGGAATATTTGCAAATTAATGATCTAAACAAACTTGAATCTACTTTACCTGAGGATTCAATATTTCTTTGACTAATCATGCCTTAAGTAGATTTTTCCAAAATTTTTCCTATATGTTTGCCCTACACCTGGGGATATGAGTTGTATACACTTGAATCTGCACTACCTGAAGATGCTTCTGAATTAATATGACTAATCATAGCCTTGCTATTATTGAGAAGAATATTTTTATTGATATATCCTTTATATTCTTTTGTATAACTTTGATCACCCATTGTGGCCCCACCCTACCCCCAGGGGTCATGATTTGAACAAACTTGAATCTACACTATCTCACAATGATTCCACATAAGTTTCATACTTTCAAGCACAGTGGCTCTTGGGAAGAAGATTTTTAAATGATGCCATTAATTTTTCACAAAAATCATAATTATCTCCCCTTGGATGAAGGCGTGGCCCTTCATTTGAACAAACTTGAATCCCCTCTACCCAAGGATTCTTTGTGGCAAATTTGGTAGAAATTGGCCTAGTGGTTCTTCAGAAGAAGATGAAAATGTGAAAAGTTTACGACGACAATGACGACGACAGACAACAGAAACATTTTGATCAGAAAAGCTCAGGTGAGCTAAAAACCATGACCAAGAACCTTTTTTCCTTTTAACAAACATGGTTCATAGTGCAAGAGAAATCCATGGGTGAAAAGTCATTGAATTCAAAGAATTCCCATGAATAACTTTTTTTCGCTCAATGTTTATTCATAAACATTCATAAAAACATAAAACACAACAAAACAATTCTAAAAATATATATATTTTACATAAAAAAAACAACAACAAAACAACATACCAGCAGTATGAAACTTTGTCTCCCATATGCATGATTGCTTAGGTAGTTTGGCTTGATTGAGAATGTCAATATTAATCAAACAATCTCCACCATCCTCTAGACAGATAGATACATTGGCAGACACAACATACACTCCTTCACCATAATTGTCCCACACAGTAAAGCTACAAAAAATGTTATATAAATGGATGCCTTGTCCATATATCAATTGTTAAATGGACTAACACCTTAGTCCCATTTCAAATATCAATACAAAATAAAAACTTAATGCTGATTCATTTCCCATCCTAAACATTACCTTGAGGTCCTATATATGTATTGGAAAACAGGCGTTGCAAAGAATTAAAATATGTGCAGACACCCTCAATCCAAAAAAAATAACAAGAGGCCCATAGGCCACATTGCTCACCTGAGCACTGGCTACAGAAAAGCAGAAATAAGTTCAGTATCAAAGAAGTTTAAATATATGTAAGTGGTCCAAACTTACCCCCCCCAAGTGGGGGGGGGGGGGGGCATGATTTCAACAAACTTGAATCTATATTTACTGACCTTTTTTTTCTACTTTTCTTTGAGTAATCACAGCTTAAAAAGATTTTTCCCTATATATTTCTATGTAAAAGATAAAACTTTTATTGTGGCCCCACCCTATCCCCAAGGGACATAATTTGAAACTTGAATCTACATTACCTGAGGATTCTTCTTTAGTAATATGACTAATCATATCCTTCCTTTTCTTAAGAAGAAGATTTTTAATGATATTAAACCTATATACAGTAAAACAAGCTTATAACAAATTGACGCTTACATTATGAAGTGATTTTCACTGCCCGTGACTTTAAAACATATTGTAAACTTAATGGTTAAAATTACATCCCTAGCAATTGCTATTCATAACGCTGTGTTCACTGAATAATGTTGTTTATTTCTGAAATGTATGTCAAATTTCATTCTGTTCTGAATTCTGGTTATTTAGATACAGAGATAGTTCACAAACTTTTTGATCACCCCTAGTATAACTGATACCCAGTTGTGGCCCTGCCCTACCCCAGGGGGTCACTTTCAATAGATATAGTCAACAAGTGTTCAAGTAATATTTAATGCATTGTCAACTAAAATTCAGCTGTTTTGATTTTCAGAAATTCACATGGCCAAAAAAGATCCTAAGTGAATCTTGCTCTTTCTCTCGCAACACAACCAATACAAAACAGTACGATACATACCCAAGTTTGACAACTCCCATTATTACCATCTCCTTTCTTGTACCTGCAAAAGATAAATCCACTGCAATAAATTGCCTAAAGGAGGTAAAGACCTAGTAAGATATAAATAATTCATTCTTTTTCATATTGTATACTCTATACAAGAAATTATTTGTGTCTATATAATACCCAACCATTTTCGCATAGTGTTCTAAGGATTTATATAGCATAAGCATACTATGCTGAAATAGTGCACGGCTTCTTTAATTAAAGAAAATCCGACAATGCCCACATTGGGGACTGAACTCACGACCCCGAGATTGTCAGTCCCACATGTTACCCATTAAGCCACGGACGCCATTATCTATAACTGTGTATTTTGATTTACATGTATATAAACTTAGTTTCAAATATTTGATACTTAAAGAAAAAAATAAACAACAATAATTTTTCTTAAATAGTTTCTTGCAACATCTTTACCTTCACTCAACTAAAATTCTATGAAACTCTCTGTACATAACACCTTATTACATGAACACTCAAAATTAAGAAAAAAAAGATTATGACGTACATGTAGCACAACTTGATGTCATAATAGGGTTGTAAAAACATGTTTGTAAGAGGAGATGAAACTTTAGAAATGGAGAAAATATTGTCGGTTTTATACGACAGTCAGCATAATAATAACAATAGTGTTGTGCTTTGCATGCACTATGCCTAAATTGTAGTCAGGGACTGACACAAAGTGCACTCGCCTCCGGCTCGTGCACTATGTGTCAAACCCTGACTACTATTTAGGCATAGTGCATGCAAAACAAAACACTATTATATAAATATTGTCTTAATCTTAAACCCACTTTAAAAATTGATGATTAAACAGAAAAAAAATCCACCATGCCAGAGCTAATGAAACCAAAAACCTTTGATGAGACTATAGCTTCACCAATATGAATTTAAAATACTTCTGGGAGAAAAGATGTACTTGAAAGGCTTTTTTTGGTTGATGCTTAAGATTCTCAAAGACATTATGCATTCTAAAGGACAAGATAGGCTAAGACCCCTTTTGGACCCTGGATTGGGGGTGTCTTTTAGAATGATGCAACAGTTTATCAATAAAAACCTGTTGACACCCCTGCCAAAAAATGAGTGTTGGTTCCAAGTTATGGGATACACAAAGGTCACAGGAAGGTCAGAAAATATGTCAATTTCCGAATTTTTCCCGAATTTTTTCATTTTTATGCAAATTTTCATCGATTTTACAGCACATTTTGTTTCAGAAAACATAGAGCACAAGCTTGCCTATCTACCAAATTTACATACTTAAATTATGTCATACATTAGTATCAGATGCATCTGGTGTATGAAAATCTCAGAAAGGCAAGCATGTGCTCTAAGTTTCCTAAACTGAAAAGTATCTCAAATTTGACAAAATTCCACCAGAATTGAGGAAATTCGGGAAAATGTCCTACTTCTGCATCCTCTTGTGGCCTCAGTGAAAGCTCTGAATCAAAATAAGTGCTGGTTTTAAAATAAGCATGATTTTATGTTCTTAACCACAAACTATCACAGTTTTAACTGTGTTCTGATTTTTACATCAAATGAGGGGCCAGAATCGGCTTTTACCATACTTTGTCCTTAATGATAATTTAATGTTAATTAAACTATGCATGATCCTGGAGTTGGTCTGGGAACACTTACATTTTTTGCAGTCCATACGGCTCTCATGTCCATATGCCAAGGCAAGACTTACAAGATTATTGTAAAGATTTATGTACAAATGAATAAAACATTTTTTTCTACCAGTGACCTTGAACTTGCTTCAATGACCTTGGTCAATGTCATAAAATACCATCAGCTCACAAATAATCTTTCTTTGAAGTTTTAACTTCCCAACATTTATCCATTCAGGAGTAAAGAAGAGGACAAAATTTTATACTTCTTTGTTGGTGACCTTGAACTTGCCAGAATGACCATGGTTCAAGATCATGACACACTTTTAAGATATAGGTAATATTTGTGTGAAGTATAAACTTACAATGTTTTTCCATTAGAAAGTTATAAACCAGATGCAAATTCAACACTTTTTCTGCCAGTGAACTTGGACTTAACAAAATGACTTTGGGTCATCATGACAAATCCTTACGTCAAAGAATAGTTTGTGTCAAGTATGAACATCCAAATAGGCTCCATTTGAGAATCATAGATCGGACATGAATTACATGCTTTTCAAGCCAGTAACTTGAACTTGCTGGAATGACCTTGGGTCAAGGTCAGTACATACCCTCAGGTCATAAGCAATAATTGTGGTAAGTTGAGTCTCTAGTTTTCTCCTTTACAAGATATGGTCAGAAAACTAAGCATTTTCATAAGAGTGACCCTGAACTTGATCAAATGACCTTAGACCAAGGGCATGACATAACTTCGTATCATAAACAATCTTTGTTAGAGGTAAGAACTTCCAATGTTTCTCCATTAGGAAGTTGTAGACGGACATGAACTTTATACTTTTTCTGCCAGAGACCTTGAACTTCCAAGAGAAAATTGCCTTAGGGTCATAACACACCTTTCTTACGATTCTCCATTACAAAGTTATAGCCTGGACATGATTGCAGGACAGACTGACAGATAGAAAGGCAGATAGTGTGATTTCTATATGGCTCCTCCATTTCATGTGAGGCCCTAATAATAAATTGCTAAATGACTTACCAAATTCAAAGAGCTGTAAAGAGAGGGTTTCCGTCAGTTTCTCAATCCCAAATGTTATTTTCTGGTTACAAAAATCAATGTCAAGTTCCACTTCAAATGTCCTCCCTATTTTGCCCACTTCTATACAACAAGATACAGCAGTGCAGGACTCCTTAATGTTACAAGATGCTGTTCCTCTTAACTTTGAGATTGGTAAATGCACTGGACATTCTAAAAGCAATATATACAATAAAGTTAGAAAGGGGTAATCAAATATAAAAGAGCTTTGCATCTTGATGAATGTCACCTATAAGTGAGAAATGAATTCAATGTTCAATTATATGCTTTCAGAACATTCACCAGTCTTTATGAATCTATGAAATATAGTATCTGAATCAAGACTTGCATGTATATGTAAATACATTTAACACTTTATACGTAGATTATCAATGGAAGTTTATTCCAGTTAGCATATCTATAATTTTGTCATTATAGACATTCATAAGATGGTCAAATAATTTTCAAACACAAAATGGTATGTTTTTATCAAAAATTGTAATAAATATTGCATACAGGAACAATTACAATGCAAAAAAGATTACTACAGTGTAGCAATACTTCATGATCCTGTTTAAAGTACATGTATTTTGCATGACCTTTCAAGTTTTCAATGTATACTTTACTCATTGGCAATAATTTGTCCTGTTTGATGTATTTTGCATGACCTCTTCAATGTTACTGTAAATGTACTTATTTATGCAGTAATTATATTTTAGCATCTTTCCTGCCATTAAAAGCCAATTCAGGTCCATACTTAATTATGATTAAAGCAATTTCATAAATAAAGCTCACTCCTCCATGGCACCTGATCCCACCTCTGATGTTTTAGAGGTCCGTGTTTGCTCTGCTCCAAAATTTGTACTGTTTAATGGACTTTTGAGCTTGAATACTGTTTGTTATCGCCATGCATTTCAAATACATATGAAAGCTTGGCTCATTGGAGCCTAAGTACTGTCATAACAGGACTAACATCTCCCATGGGGCCTTAAAAAGGGCTTAGTCTAATCTTTAGGTTAGGAAAGAACTTTGTCATCTTGATAAAAATTATACTGCAAATTTCCATGACCTGATCTTGTTGAAAAACAATATATATGGTTGAAAGCTGTACCACCTTTCGTCGAGGACAATCTTTGTATTGAGTACAAAAAAGAAAACCACCCAAAGTCCAAGCCTCAAAATGTCATGGCCCAAAGAACATAAAATGAGCAATGTAGGAAATTAGCAGTGTACCGTATTTGGCCGAATATAATACGCATTGGTGTAAAATACGCACCCCCCTTTTTGAGCCTGAAACTGGGGGAAAAAAACACAGTTCGGTTGTATTATACGCAGCAGAAAATTTTACCAAGCGGTGTTCTGAACTTGTGAAAATCGGGGTAATTTGCTATGAAAATCGGCGCGGAGATAAAGTGCCGAAAATCTACAGAACACGATATTTTATTCAAATGCGTTTTTATTTCTTAATCTTGACTTTCTATATCGCGGCAATCTGGAGGAAATTATTTATTTTAACAAAGCACAAGATAATGTTGCATTAAAGTATTAACAGAGTTTATTATTATTTTTTAGCATACGGTGATATTGAAATTATACGTCGCCGTATTCTAATTATTCTTTGTGGAAATAATTTTATTTCAACAAAGCACGAGATATTGTTGCAAATTTTACAGTTGTCACATTTATTTTTAGGTTAAGGTAATTATGTTGAAAATTATGTAAATTTAATAGGGCAAGCGATATTGCAACATCAGAGTATTCATAGACTACGATTTTCCTCTTTTAAACTTGAAATTAATTAATTAAATAAATAGCTGCTGTTATAAAAATAAAATCAAAATTTAACAAGCGTGTAAAGTGTAGTTATCAACACACCTCCAAAGCTGTGAAAAATGATGTACAAAGGTGGGATATGTGTTTTCATACATCGAGGTAATCTTCGTGGATATCTTATTTTCTACAGAGCACGAGTAAATGATAACACTTAAGTTTCAACATACTTTATATTTCCTTTTTAAACTCTCAATCATTTTAACACGAGACCGATATAAGATAAAGTAAAATTACATTTAACAAGCGTTTAACTGTTTAATGTGTCGTAATCAACACACGCTTATACATATGAAAGATCATAAACCAACCGCCGATTTTTAACATAGAAAATAATCAAAGCCATTAATATGTGCAGTAAATAATCAGTGCTCTAACTGTAAAAACAATGCTTTGGAGTCGGTAAACAATTTCATTGCCTGGAGGGGTGTTGAGGGTTAATTATCAGCTGATTATCAAGTGACAAGCGCACGTGTTCACAACATTGGCTTCCATTCATTGGGACGTATAGAGGGGGGTATATGTTGAAATGAATTTTCACTCAGTTATTTAAAACCTAAAATAAATTTTATTTTATTGTATTTCATTAAAAAATGACTTATTACTTTTTTGACCGATCGTCTGACTGATTAGGTACATGTGTACTATGATTACGGAAGCACGTGGCAAAGGAATGTGTGAACATCTATAAATAACATCGTTAATGGCGGCCTACACGGAGACATGCAGCTCAAATTAATTTTAACTTGCTTTTAAATTTAGTTTAACTATCACAAGGTTATAAATATAACATTTTTAACAAGCCTACATTCCAACAATAACTTTCCGAAGTTTTAAGTACGGCGATAAATAGCAAGAAATTGCATAAGTCTCTAGGTAATACTAAGGTATGTGCGTATGATAGCCGTGTTTCACATGAAGGAAAAACCTATCAAAATCCCATTGTGGTGTAAAATACGCACCCCTTTCTCACAGAAAATTATTTTGGTAAAAAAGTGCGTATTATATTCAGCCAAATACGGTAAATGAATATTTACAATTTAATAAAATAATCCCATTGAATCCACAGAAAACTGAATGTCATGATTCAACATTCATTTTTATTCATTTCACATTAATTGATACGTGGAACATTCCCAGAATAGTGAAGAGTGTCAGGCTACGTCATCCAAGCAGAGTGAGACTAGTTTACCTGTAACTGTCCAATAAGTTAACAATGGGAGTGTTCAATATTGGTGAAATGTTTTAATTAAGTTATCCACCTCAAACTGACCATTATGTCAGATATTAGACACTCCTTAGTGCTAACGTGCCTCGGACTGTCTAATTTCTGACATAATGGACAGTTTTTGGTTTATAACCGTTACAAAGACATAACTGTTTCAAATTTTGATAAATCAATCTGAAAATACATGAAGCACAAATTCAAACTGAATCTAATTCTACAAAATTTGAAGAAAAAAAATTTAAATAATTCTAACTTTGTTTGCATGGGTATAATTATTTTACATACATTGTACACTCATTATTTCAAGAATATTTTTGCTCTCAGATATACATTACCTGAAGACCAGCCATCTTTCTGTAACCTGTTAATACTGTAAGGTGGCTCTGAACGAGAACAGGATTCCTCTTTCATGAATGAATCAATACCCAGCAACTTGAACAGAGAGTTGGACAAAGCTGTAGACAGACTTCCCTCCAGTGACAATCCTTGCTCATTCATCCACTTTGTCAGAGAAAATCCTAATAGAAGGAAATAAGTTCGGGTCTTAAAACATTCTGGTGAAGGATTTCAGTCCTTGTAATTTGCAGTAATAATTTTTAAACCTACCTCTTGATTTAAAACCCATTGAAAGATCACATTCAAGCATTGGAAGAAGAGTTTCATGGAAAATAGATGCATCAAATTCACACTTATTTGGTTCCAGGCATATAGCAAGACTCATATCTATGATATATTTCTTTGATACTGGTAACTGATTGGCCATAAACCTTGATCAAAAGACAGCATTTTCTGTAAATCACTGACTGCCTTAGAAAATTAAGAAAGCTGGTTTTCTCAATTTATTATTAAATCATGTCTTGAATATTCTTATTCATTTTCAATTCTATTTCTTATTGTTTCTATAAACTTACTTCAGTTGCACAATATTTAAAATGTTGAACTCCACTTCTTTGCCTTTAAAATACAGGAAATCATTATTAAAAAATATCAAACTTGTTCGTATTGTTTGTTTTTTTAAAATAAAATATAAAAACAAACAAGAGGCCCAAGGGCCTTAACGGTCACCTGAGTATCATACAACAATTTAGAGAATCCATAGAGTATAAAATGAACTAAAAGGTGAACCTTTGTTGCCCAAAAGCAAGAAAAATAGGGTGATCAGGATCAACAAAATAATTAGTCTAGTATTCATTAACAGTTCACAAATTAGGTTCTAATCTCTTCCCCATTTATCACTCTCACCATAAGTATATTAACAAACTATCAGTGCTTCATTCCTTGTTGAAATCTCTTACATTGGCCTCTCTTGGTCTTTGATGAACATTTCATAAGACAAGTTATTTTTGTCTGATTTTTATTTATCTACTACTTACATGTCTACCTGATCATTAAAACTAAGAAAGTACTTTTTGTATTATACAATAACAATTCTTGCATAATTCTCCTATTCTATTAACCTTTCAAGTACATTATTTACAGTGATTAATTATCAAAAGTAAATGGCAAAGGGGAATAACTCCTCTCAGTAGAATACAAATTAATAGAGCCCTGGACAGGACCAGAACACTTGAACAAATGGTCCAGATGTTCAAAAATATGGTAAAAATACCCTTCCTTATTAAAACTTTTACTCTTTTTGCCTCTGATATGCCCAGGTGCAGAGAAAATTTTTAAAGAAATAATGCATTTTTACTACAGATTCACTATATTATCAATAGAGCACCCCCCCCCCTTCTCCCCACTGAGAAACACCAGAGCCTCTCACCCTGGGACCAGAAGTTTGCTCATCATAAGTAATCACTTTGTTTGTCTGCTTAACACTAAGAGCAGACAGGATTATTTAATAGAATTAATGCATTTTCACTATATTATCAAGAGCCCCACCCTTACACCAGCACATCCGACCCAAGGGGTCATGAAATTCACTACTCTGGAAGAAGCACTCTTGCTCATCATAACTATACACTTAGCTTCTTTGCTTTTTAACCAGAATATTTTCAAAGAAATTTTGCTTTTTCGCTATATAATCAATAGAGCCCCCCCCCCCTTTTTCCCCAGAACCCTTGATCCTGGGAGCCTGAAATTCACAATTTTGGAAGAGGCATCCTTGCATATCATAACAATGTATTTAGTTTATTTAAATAATACCCAGGGGCAGAGAAGAAGATTCTCAAAGAAGAAATTCTCAAAGAAATAATTCACCTTCACTATATGATCTATATAGCCCCACCCTAGCACCAGAACCCCTGTCCCTGGGGCCATGAATTTAACAATTTTGGAAGAGGCATCCTATCATAACAATGTATTCAATTTGTTTAAATAATAACCAGGAGTAGAGAAGAAGATTTTCAAAGAAATTTTGCTTTTTCACTATATAATCAATAGAGCCCCCCCCCCTTTTCACCAGAACCCTTGACCCTGGGGACATGAATTTCACAAATTTGGTAGAGTCAGCCTATCATAACTATGTATTTAACTTGTTTAATTAATACCCAGGAGTTGAGAAGAAGATTTTCAAAGAAATTTTGCTTTCTCACCATATAATCAATAGAGCCCCCCCCCCCTTTTCACCAGAACCCTTGATCCTGGGGCCATGAAATTCACAATTTTGGAAGAGGCATCCTTGCATATCATAACTATGTATTTAATTTGTTTAAATAATACCCAGGGGCAGAGAAGAGGATTTTCAAAGAAATAATGCACTTTCACAATATGATCTATATAGCCCTGCCCTAGCACCAGAACCCCTTACCCTGGGGCAATGAATTTCACAATTTTGGTACAGTCACTCTTGCTAATCATAACTATGTATTCAATTTGTTTAAATAATAACCAGGAGTAGAGAAGAAGATTTTCAAAGAAATTTTGCTTTCTCACCATATAATCAATAGAGCCCCCCCCCCACCTTTTCACCAGAACCCCTGACCCTGGGGCCATGAATTTCACAATTTTGGTAGAGTCACCCTTGCTTATCATAACTATGTATTCAATATGTTTCAATAATACCCAGGAGTAGAGAAGAAGATTTTCAAAGAAATAATGCACTTTCACAATATGATCTATATAGCCCCGCCCTAGCACCAGAACCCCTGACCCTGGGGCCATGAATTTCACAATTTTGGTAGAGTCACCCTTGCTTATCATAACTATGTATTCAATTTGTTTCAATAATACCCAGGAGTAGAGAAGAAGATTTTCAAAGAAATAATGCACTTTCACTATATGATCTATATAGCCCCGCCCTAGCACCAGAACCCCTGACCCTGGGGCCATGAATTTCACAATTTTGGTAGAGGGCTCAATGCTTATTACAATCATGCCAACAGTTTGACCCCTTGTTGTCCAGGAGTAAAGAAGAAGATTTTTAAAAATTGCATTAATTTTGGTGGTTTTAGCCCCACCCCTCAGGCCCCAGGGGGGCAGGGACCATGAAATTCACAAATTTTGTTCCCCTTCACACATAGATGCCATATGCCAAAATTGGCTGAAATTGGTTCAGCGGTTTTAGAGAAGAAGCTGAAAATGTTCAAATGTTAACACACGACGCACAACGCACGACGGACGATGCACGACGACGGACGAAAACGGATAGCAATAGGTCACCTGAGTGACTCAGGTGACCTAAAAACATCAAAAAAGATACATACACACACAATAAAAAACGTGGGTCTCGATCTTCCTCAAAGTTTGGTTTTATTATAATGGGGCAACAGTAATTAGTACACAGGTATAATGGGAGCAATATATTATTGTCCAGTCTGAATGTAATATCGTGTCATTAATCTTGAATACTCCTCAAAATAAGTATGCTTAAAAATTTTACATCAATCAATTTTTATTCTTGTGTTTTAATTTATAAATGTTTAAATTAATATGCAACTATGTAACATAATTTATTTTGAGATATTGTCAATTTTTAAGTAGATATTAATCAGTTTTTTTTCTATTTTATTTTATTTTTAGAGTTTGAAAAACCACTGCAACCAAAAGTTAACACATGTAGTCTTTTAACATGTTTATTTACCAATTTGTTGGTAACTTAATAACTTAAACATGCATGCAGTAGATTGACTTTAAAAAAAAAAAACTCTACGTGTCATTTAAATGCAACCAAAAAGAAGTACATGCATTTTAGTTTCCTACATATTAATTGAATTTGTTATTGCATTTTTACCCCCCCCCCCTTCTTTTTCTATGTAAAACAATGTTATGTGTTAAATAAAGTTACTCAAACACATGTTTGTGTTTGTTTATTCTCATCGTCTATTGGCCATTAGAATTGTAACCTAGTCAGGTGACAAAAATATTCCTAGCACAGGCTATTAGTGACCATGAAAGAAATTTTGTTTAGGGAAAGCCATTCCAAGGCTCTGTTTTGTGCATGCAGTCTTATAGGTCCCACCCACCTGCCCATTGCTACATTTTGAATATTGTAGATTTATACTTTGTAGTAAATTTATTATTTTCTATTTTGTAGAATTTGGAGATACATGCATGCAGACATTAGAAAAAGACAATGATAATGTGTACTGAGTTTACGAAATAATTAAACTGAACTTTCAGAGTGCTTCACATCCTACTTCAGAAGTTTGTGTTTATTTCATAGATGTTTTATGTTCGTTTGAGTGAAACAAATAAGAACATAAATCCAATTTGTAATCAGTTTTACCCCAAAAGTTGTTGAAATCCAGTAGTCCATATGAGAAGGTTTTCTTCTCTATTCCACCAGAGATGACATAATTACACCTGTCAAAATGGAGGAAGAAGTGAAGCTGAAGGTTGAGAAGACTAAAGTCCACACAACAGTCAATCCTGGTACAGTTCTCTGTTAGAGCACACTTCACATTTTGGAATGGAATCACTGGTGGTACTACCCAATCCAATGGACATTCTACAATTCATTAAAATCATTTCAATTCTTCTAGGTGTTTTGACAACATTCAGACAAACTGGACGACATTCCTATTTTTTTTTCAACATTCATCAGTTAGGATTACAGAAGTATTATGATTTTAAAATTACATCCATAAGTACCAACTTTACCATACTACATGTGCTTATAAAAAAAAAAACCTCCACCTTCACTAGAAACACGAGGCCTATGGGCCTTGTTGGTCACTTAACCTGTAAAGCATCCATAGAATGGTAAATAATAAATAACACAGAATAAACTGAAACCCAAAAACAAGACAAAAAGGATGATCAGGGATCAACAAAATAGGTAATCAACAACAACTCATAAACTTTCCTGTACCGGTATATGCCATTGCTATCTACTCTCTTTACTATCACTTAAGAGAGGAAAAATTCTAAAGATTTTTTCAACATATTCTTATCTAAAACTTTGATCTCCTTTTGTGGCCCCACCCTATCCCCAGGGGCCAGGATGTGAACAAACTTGAATCTACACTACCTGAGGATGCTTCCATATTTATATGACTAATCTTGCCTTTACTGTTCTTCTGAAGAAGTTTTTTTTAAAGATTTCTTTTCTAATAATATTTACTCCTAAGCTTCTATATTAATATGACAAGAGTTATGCCATTTTATTTTATTTTATGGCAGTACCTGATTTTTCCTTTCTGTTCCTATGTAAAACTTTTGATTGTCTCGTCTCTTGTGGCCCCACCTTACCCTTGGGGTTAATGAAAAATCTTGAAATTAAACTACGTCAGAAAGTTTTCACTGAATTTTCATCTTTTCTAGCCAAGTGGTTCTTGAGCAGAAGATTTTTTATATGACCCCACCCAATTTTTCCCTTTGAAGGGGACATGGCCCTTCAATTGAACAAACTTGAATACCTTTTACCCAGGGATCTACTTTGTGCTAAGTTTGGTTGAAAATGACCCAGTAGTTCTGAAGAGAAAGATGAAATTGTGAAGTTTATGATGACTGTCTCCACCACAATGAAGACTATGATGACAACAAACAATGGACAAATTTGATCAGAAAAATGCTGAGCCAAATACTCAGGTGAGGGCTATTCCAGGAAAAAATGTACGGGAGGGTTGGACGGCACTTCATATATTTTTGTATGGGTAGTGGGTCTGGAGCAATTAAATTTGTATGGGTGGTTGTCCTCACTCGATATATTTTTAGATGGGTGGTTGTATTTACCCTCACAAATAATCAAGTGCAAAGTACTTCTTTCCTCTCATTTTGTATAAATCGGTAAATACTGATATTTTCGTCCTAAACAGTTGTAAAGTGTGTTTACATTGAAAGTGAAAGTAGAATCGAACAAAACGGAAACAAGGGCAGATAACTATAAAAGCATGTGCAACTGTGACTGCAATGACAGTGGGGGATTGGAAAACGGATTAGTTGTGCTTTGGACTCCCTGGTCCAGTTTCTTTTCGCCAGTTTAATCAAACATGATTACATTGGTAAATTGAATTATATTAGAAACAATCAGAAAGATCGTTTTATTTTAAACCGAAAGTAGAAAAAAACGTATCTGATAATGAACGTTTTAGAGCATGACTACGGAGTTTGCAAGTCAAATATTTTACTTTACTCCACATACAGAGTAAAAGGAAGATGAGATATGAGTTTGAAAACAATATGAAATATATTATGTCAAAAACATGCCAGTCCTTAACCTGTAAAGTGTTACTTGTCGAACTTGTATGCCCCAATGGTCTAAGTTGTTAGATGGGATTTAGAATTCATTAAATATATTTTTTTTATCAAAGTTTTCACTTCACAGACACTGCCTATAGAAGTTTAGTACCCCCCCCCCCACCACCACCACCAAAAAAAAAAAGCAGGAATCATTTTGTTATGAACAAGGTGAACAACAATTGTTAAGGATAGCTAGGCTATAATTTACAATATTAATTTTAATTAATTGTAGGAATGTCATTTCTACTAGTACATGTGTATACATACTTGTAAAAGCTTTACCTAAGCTTTACAGACTACAAAGTCATGCATCAGAACAGATATACAAATCACTATAATAAAGGCTTTCAGTGGTGTGTATCATAGGCCTAAAGGAACATATTTTTTTTAAGCTGTACATGTAGCAGGAACACGGGGAACTGTTTTACAAAAAAACTTATTACTAAGAGTAAAAAACTTTAGTTGTTCATAAAAGCTTACAAAACTTATGTTTCTGTTAAAAATTGTTCGCATAAAACTATCTTTTTTTTTTTCAAAAAGATTTAAAACATATTTAAAGTAATGCAAAAAAGAAATTTATTTGCATAATAACATTTTGATCTTAGTCATAAGTTCTTTTGTAAAACAGGCCCTGGTTGGATAGATGTCAAAACCCAACACTCATTCGAAGTCAGATAAATTACAAGACCTGAAAAAAGTACATGAAATTTTATTGCATATATATGTGTGACACATTTTTTTTTTTAAATTTAGATGGGTGGTTGTATCAAAAGCAATTTTAAATTGATGGGGGGTGGGGTAGAAGGTAATTAAAAATGTATGGGTGGTGGGGTAAAAATAAAAGTGCCTTCCAACCCCCCCATACAATTTTTCCTGGAATAGCCCTGAGCTAAAAAGTGGTCAGACCCAGCTTTTGAAGCAAGTCTGGTAGTGTGCATCCAGGAGCTTATAGTTACTTGGGAACAGACTTGCTCCAAATCCTTTAACTTAGAAGGTTGATGCCCAGATTATATCATATAACTAAAAATCATGGATCCTTTTGTGATCTTAATTTAACATAGTTTTAAAAATAATTTTACCATTGTTCCATCCTTTTACTGTAGGTGAGTAAGTATCATCATGGATGTCACATGTAGTATCAAGAAGGAATTTGTCTATCTGCAACTGCTGAATCAACAAAGTCTTTGCATTGTCTTTCAAATCCGTAAGTGATGCAATATTCATGTTTTTCATCCACTTTGTCAAAGAAAATTCTGAAATTTATTGAAAAAATTCTGAACAACACAGCATGCTACACACATCTTTACTGATAATTTTTTAATAGAGTATTATCTTTTTTCTAAAATGACATTTCGATTGTGTGTACTACATACTTTGATCCTGTGGAAGCATTTTTCTGACTGTTGGTATTTTGGTGTTGGAGAATATTGGTATATTCATATAACAGTCTCTGTCATCAAGGCATACAGATACACGAGCATTAAAGATGTACATATCCCTGTTGGTGAGTGGTTTTATGCTGAAGCTAAATCATAAATACATATATATCTATTATTCTCACTAAGCATGACTACATAGTTGCTGTAAAGATGGCTTCCTACATGTTATTTTTCTAATCCACCCCTTATATTCTTTTTCTTTATAGTTCTTCAGGGTTCGACACTAACTTTTTAAGGCTTTAGTCCAGCCGGACTAGTGCTTCATTACTTTTACTAGTCCGCACGCGATTTTATTAGTCCGTCAACAAAAAAAAAGAAAGAAACATCAATGTTTTTTAATATTAATTAAACTTGACAATTAATATACGTATTATTTTTTGAAATAAGCAAAGTATTTGTACGTGAAATATATTATTCCACAGATTCATTGAAATCTCGCAATCAGCAAGTACGATCGTATTCCCGATCTCGTTTTTTTTTTTGTCTTTACATTACATCCTAAACGTCCAAAATCTTTCTTAAAAGTGTCATACTAAATCATGATCGCTAAAACCTTATACTCCATATCGATCAGTCGAAAAATTAAGCGCTGAATGATTGACCCGGCATTGCGTAACTACCCGCCAAAAGCTAGAAATCTAAAAATACACGCGGGGTTTTCCAGTAAAAGTTGTCGAGAATCGGACATCGGTAATTTATTCATACTGTTTTTCAGAAATTTTTATTGGTCCGTTCGGACTAATTAGCCACATATTTTATTAGTCCGAATGAAAATGTATTAGTCTGAGACTAACGGACTAAGGTTAGTGTCGAACCCTGTTCTTGTACCCTCATAATGTACGTATGTTGTTTGAAGTCTGTACCTTAAGTTGTCATTATAAATTATGATAGAAAATCTAGCTTACACACTTTGAAAACTGCATTCAATTAAATATGACTGTACTTACGTAAATGTTATTAAATTTCCATCAACAGAGACTTTTACTTCATCTCCCCAAATATAGTCAAATAGTTTTACTTTGTATATCTTGTTTTCCAGTCCATAACTCAGTTCTAGTTTATTCAAGTCCAAATTCACAAACAGATGTAAACCTAGTCCCAACACTGGGATCTCAGCACAGCACTCTATTCCTGTACAGTAACTTGGGATGTAACAAGACATAGGATTGGGGATCCTGAGTGGAAGGTTAGCAATAGAACCAGGGCAATCTACAGGATACAAAATAGGTTTTAAAAATTAACATGAAATAAAAAAGAAAAATTGCTCTCATTTTTTGTTTACAGGGAATAGCATTAACAGTTACCCGGGGGCAAGTAAATTCACAGTCTGGGAAATTGCAATGAAACTGCATGCATGTTATTGTACTTGTCCGATTGTGCAAGTGGATTTTTCTGATAGAAAAGTATATTGCTATCTAGTTTTATTCTTAAAAAAAAGAACTTCAAATCAGAAGTCACCATTATTTATTCCCTGTATTGATGGAATGTACGGTGGTCTTGTTTGGTCACATTTCTCTTGTTGAAAGAAGTGTGTCAGGTTTAGTTGCTCAAGTAACAACATCAGAGCCCCCTCATCTAATGTTTCGTCTACTGGTAGGCCCTTCTCTCTTATCCAATTCGTAAGAGAAAAATCTGAAAGTTATAAAAATATTGCAACCCTTCAAGTAATACAAGGAGAACACTGCATGCACAATATTAATTTCTAAGTACATCACAACTGAATGAATGGCTTAGTGACATCTTGTAACTATACATATAAAATATTCATTTGTACTTGCAGGAGTTAAGGTAAAGCAGCACACTCAAAACTATAACATTATTTCAAAAGAGAATACTTCACAAATTGATAGTAAGATATGTATTGCCTTTACACTATGCAACTCTCCATTCCTGAAAAATAATGGAGCACTCAAACAAAAGAGTGACGTCACAGGTGGATTTTACTATAATATACATGTCCTTTTTTTCGCCCTATGAATATTATTTATAAGTAAAATAAATCCAAAAAGAAAATGCACAATACAAAGGTAATCCATAATATCTATTTTTTAAAATAATAAATTGAAAATGAGCCTACTCTGAAATTTAATGTACTCAATACTGCCACATTCTCTGATCTCTTGATTTTCCAGCAACAAGAATCCTTTTTCATTGGGAATACAAAACTTCTTTCCAACAATAGGGAAACATATCGTCAATCTCAAATCCATCAAAAACCCTCTGCTTTCCTCAATTTTCCTTATTCTGTATCTATAATTAAAATTCAAAACACCCTATAATGCAGTCAATATAACAATTAATATAGGATTGTGCAATTTAAATTTCCATGTAAAGTAACAAAGTCTGCATTAAAGTATTAACTTACACAATTTTAACTGGTGGCGGATTTCCAGAACCCAAAGTCAGAACTGCCTGCTTTCCTACAAAACAAACTAGATGCCATCAAAAGACAGTTTTGCCTCTAAATGTACGCTAGATCCCTTGCACTTGGGTAGTGAAAAAGCCACAAAAATATTCTTTTATTTACATAAAATATGTATACATGCAACAAATTGAGCAGAAAATGCACAGGTGAGCATATGACCATGGGCCTCTTATGTTAGTATTTCAATCATAAATTCATAACTGTCTGAGATTATTCCAAAATTTCAAGCATCTGCAAGAGTAGTTGCTGAGAAAACTGCGACAGAAATTCGGAATGAACAGATGCACTGACGTAGAGGGGGCTGACATCAGATTCATTCAAAAATGAATCCCACCATATGGCATACCACAACAAAGAGTGTACCGTATATACTCGCCTATAAGTCGGTCCGCCTATAAGTCGGTTGTATTTTTTAAGCTTAAATTAGAGGGATTGACTTGCTAAAATACCAATCTTTTTATAACTCGCATATAAGTCGGATACAGAGTTTTGGACCAAAGTTTAACTCCCAAAAAACCGACTTATAGGCGAGTACAGTGGCGCCGCGGTAATCCGGACGCCAATAATCCGGACGCTTCACCTTCCGGACGATATTTTTTGGGAACCGATTTTTTCCACGTTATTCTGTCTCATTAATCCGGAAATTCGCGTTCCGGATCCGGACGGTCAATTTCTACTACAAAACGCAATCTTTCATTGAAAAATGATTCGTTTATCCGGACGGTAATTTTTCGAGGAACGACTTTTCACACCTTTCTTGCAGTAGTGATAATTATTGTAAAAACATTGTCCGTGGAGACAGTTTGAAGGCAGTTACCTGTGACCTCTAAACAATAGCGTCTATAATTAGCGTGTGTTTACCTCAGCTAAAACATACGTCTTTTATATATTATAAAGCCCGAAGAATTTAGCTTATACTGTGCATTAATTAAATTGCTAACAGAATATAAATTTATGTGAATTTTGGAGAGTTGTAAATAAAATTTTTACTGAATAATAAATCACGAGATTTCGTTGTGGTATCGAGTTACGTAAGTTTATCAAAATACGATCGTACATTTTTTTCTTTTCATAAGACAATTTATTATGATACATAATTCAAGAAAATATATTTCTATTAATGCACTTAGAAATACGTAACTGGCGTTAGTTATAAATGCCGATCACGTCTTTTCAAGATATATAACTTAGAGTTTATAGAAAAAGTATTGATAATCCTGAATATGGCTTGTGTTTTCGTTGAATGTTTGCAATACGTACACTGATTACAGTATTTAGTTACTTACTTCCCTATGTAGTGAATATACGCGGTTAGTCATTTGAACATTCTCAATGGTGATAATGAACAGTTCTACTTAATATGAGCTTGAATAAATATTTAAAAAAGGTGCCGAAATAAAACAGTAGCAGATCAAAATTTGGTCAGCCCATGTAACTACACGTCAAATAGAAGGCGAGTAAAGTTTCCTGTGTTAGAAAAGGAAGTCTCAACATAAAACTGCCTATCCATTTTTCATCGTGTAAATTATATTTTAATTTTGTTCTTTTTAAAATATTTATTATTTCTTTTAAAACTATAAAAATAAAATCAATAAGTCAAGGTAAAATAAAGGTGTTTTCTTTGCCTTCACATTAATACCACTATGTTCATATGTACATGCTTTAAGAGGGTACGTCTTTTAAGAAGTGATTCACTTATCCGGACGATTCATTTATCCGGACGATTTCGTTGGGGACGGAGGCGTCCGGATTAACGAGGCGCCACTGTATATACGATACTAAAATTTCAAGCATCTGCGAAGAGTAATTCTCAGACAAGAGGCCCAAGGGCCTTAACGGTCACCTGAGTATAATACAACAATTTAGAAGTTAAATACACTGACAGATGAAGCTTTTTTGCCCTAAAGCAAGAGAAGTAGGAAGATCAGGATCAACAAAATAATTAGTCTAGTATTCAGTATCAACTCATAAATTAAGTTCTAATCTGTGCTCCACTTAACACTATCACCATGCAGACTATTAACAAACTATTAGTGCTTCTGTACTATTTTTAAACCCTCTAGCATTGACCTCTCTTATGGTCTTTGAAGAACTTTTAATAAGATAAGTTATTTTTGTCTCATTTTTATTTATCTATTACTTACAGGTCTACCTGATTATTAAAACTAAGAAAATACTTTTTGAATTATATGATAAACATTCTTGCATAATTATCTTATTCTATTTACCTTTCAAATACATTATTTACAATGATTAATTATCAAAAGTGAACGAAAAAGGGGAATAACTTCTCTCAGTAGAATACAAATTAATAGAGCCCTGCCCAGGACTAGAATGCTTAGACAAATGGTCCAGATGTTCAAAAATCTGGTAGAAATATGCTTACTTATATCATTTAAACTTTTACTCAGTTTTCTTCCGATATGCCCAGAAGCAGAGAAGAATTTCACAGGTACAATGCATTTTCACTACAGATTCAACAAAGCCTTACCCTAACACCAGAACCCAAGACCAAGGGTCAAGAAATTTACAAATTTGGAAGAGTTACCCTCATCATCATAACTATGGACTTCAAAGAATTAACACTTTTCCACTATATTATCAAAAGCCCCCCCCCCCCCCCCTCGTTATGCCAGAACCCCTGACCCTAGGACCACAAGATTTAAAAATTCTGTTCGAAGCTCCCATTTTCATCATAGCTAAGCAATTTATTTATCAGCTCAACGCTAAGGAGCAGACAGGATTAATTAATAGAATTATTGCTTTTTTACCATATAATCAATAGAGCCCCCCCCCCCCCTTCCTCAAGAGCCCCAAAAACTGAAGCCACATATTTAAAAATTTTGGAAGAGGCATCCTTGCCTATCATAATCATGCACTTAGTTTGTTTAAATAATCTCCAGTAGCAGAGAAGATTTTCAAAGAATCAATGCATTTTCACTATATAATCAATAAAGCCTAGTCCTTACACCAGAACCCCTGATCCTGGGGCCAGGAAATTCACAATTTTTGAAAGGCATCCTTATGCATCAAAACCATGCACTTAGTTTGTTTAAATAATCTCCAGTAGCAGAGAAGAAGATTTTCAAAGAATCAATGCATTTTCACTATATAATCAATAGAGCCCCACCCTAACACCAGAACCCCTGACCCTCGGGCCATGAAATTCAAAATTTTTGAAAAGGCACTTTTGCTCTTCATAACTATGTACTTAGTTACTTTATTTAATACCCAGGAGCAGAGAAGAAGATTTTCAAAGAATTTATGCTTTTTTACTATATAATCTATAGAGCCCCGCCCTAACACCAGAACCCCTCACCCTGGGGCCATGAATTTCACAATTTTGGAAGAGGCTCTCTTGGTCATCATAACTATGTACTTAGTTACTTTATTCAATACCCAGGAGCAGAGAAGAAGAATTTCAAAGAATTAATGCACTTTCACTATATGATGTATATAGCCCCACCCTGGGGCCAGAACCCCTGACCCTGGGGCCATGAATTTCACAATTTTGGAAGAGGCACTTTTGCTCATCATAACTATGTACTTAGTTACTTTTTTGAATACCCAGGAGCACAGAAGAAGATTTTCAAAGAATCAATGCATTTTCACTATATAATCAATAGAGCCCCGCCCTAACACCAGAACCCCTGACCCTGGGGCCATGAATTTCACAATTTTGGAAGAGGCACTCTTGCTCTTCATAACTATGTACTTAGTTACTTTATTTGATACCCAGGAGCAGAGAAGAAGATTTTCAAAGAAATAATGCACTTTCACTATATGATCTATATAGCCCCACCCTGGGGTCAGAACCCCTGACCCAGGGGCCATGAATTTCACAATTTCTGAAGAGGACTTCTTGCTCATCATAACTATGTACTTAGTTACTTTATTTAATACCCAGGAGCAGAGAAGAAGATTTTCAAAGAATTAATGCATTTTCACTATATAATCAATAGAGCCCCGCCCTAACACCAGAACCCCTGACCCAGGGGCCATGAATTTCACAATTTTGGAAGAGGCACTCTTGCTCTTCATAACTATGTACTTAGTTACTTTAATTAATACCCAGGAGCAGAGAAGAAGATTTTCAAAAAAATAATGCACTTTCACTATATGATCTATATAGCCCCACCCTGGGGCCAGAACCCCTGACCCTCGGGCCATGAATTTCACAATTTCTGAAGAGGACTTCTTGCTCATCATAACTATGTACTTAGTTACTTTATTTAATACCCAGGAGCAGAGAAGAAGATTTTCAAAGAATTAATGCATTTTCACTATATAATCTATAGAGCCCTGCCCTAACACCAGAACCCCTGACCCTGGGGTCATGAATTTCACAATTTTGGAAGAGGCACTCTTGCTCTTCATAACTATGTACTAAGTTACTTTATTTAATACCCAGGAGCAGAGAAGAAGATTTTCAAAGAAATAATGCACTTTCACTACATGATCTATATAGCCCCACCCTGGGGCCAGAACCCCTGACCCTGGGGCCATGAATTTCACAATTTTGGTAGAGGGCTCAATGCTTGTTACAATGATGCCAACAGTTTGACTGCTTGATGTCCTGGAGTAAAGAAGAAGATTTTTAAAGATTGCATTATTTTTGGTGGTTTTAGCCCCACCCCTCAGGCCCCAGGGGGGCAGGGACCATGAAATTCACAATTTTTGTTCCCCTTCACCCATAGATGCTATATGCCAAATTTGGTTGAAATTGGTTATGCGGTTTCAGAGAAGAAGCTAAAAATGTTCAAATGTTAACACACGACGCACGCCGACGGACGAGAACGGATAGCAATAGGTCACCTGAGTGACTCAGGTGACCTAAAAACTGTAACGAAATTTTGGTACAGGCACATGCACAGCTCTGGACAGATGCACAGATAAACAGGATGTTGACATAAGATTTGTGCTAAAATGAATCCCATCATATGGCATGCCAAAACAAAGTGTGCTAAAATTTCAAGCATCTGCAAAGAGTAATTGCTGAGAAAACTGCGATGAAAATTGTTACAGACAGACAAACACACTCACACAGATGGGCAAACAAGGGTAAAACAGCACCCCTCTCCATCAGAGCAGGTATTAAAATTTGAAGATTGTCTTTTACATTTTAGATCAATATTACTTGGTGATTTTTTTTTTATCTTCATTGTTTTGGTTTTTTTTTTTTTTTGGAAGAAGCAAAAAGCATCACTGAAACAAATAAACATCTAATATGGAAATGTTATTTTGGTCACATAATAAAAAGAATACAGAATAAAAAGTTGGAAGACTTGTTTTCATGTGTTTAGGGGTATTAGTTTCACCTGACCTAATTTTACATTATGACATACATTCAGGAACCTGGTCAATTTATACTCTCTTAATATACCTTGGTATACATTTCTGCTAAAGCATGCACATGTTTAAACTGCATGAAAGCTGTTAAAAATAATTATTGTTATACCTTTGAAAATGGTTTCCTATTGAATCTATACTAAACAAGAGGCCCATAGGCCACATTGCTCACCTGTGCATTTTTCCGAGAAAAAAGAAGAAATCAGTTCAATTTTGAAAAATTTATATATATACATGATATTGACCTATTAACAATGAGAGGAGGGGGAGGGGAATGATTCAAATAAACATGATTCTATACTAACTGAGGATGCTCCCATATTTCTGAAACTAATGGTTTTAGAAAATTATTAAGGATTTTTTCCTAAAAGTTTTATCTAATCTACACTATCTGAGGATGCTTCTGTAATAATATGACTTATCAAGCTTTGCTGTTCTTAAGCAGAAGATTTTTACAAGATGATTACTAGTATATGTTCTTATGTAAAACTTTGACCCTCTGCTGTGTCCCCCCCCCAACCCCTGGGGGGGGTCATAATTTGAACAAACTTGATTCTACAATACCTAAGGTTGCTTCTGTATAAATATGACTAATAATGACTTAGCTGTTCTTGAGAAGAAATTTTTGAAGATATTTCCTATATATTCCTATATAAAACTTTGGTCCCCTGTTGTGTCTGCATCCAACCCCCAGGGGTCATGATTTGAACTAACTTAAACCTATACTACCTGAAGATACTTCTATATTTATATGACTAACAGGGGCTTAGCTGTTCTTGAGAAGAAGATTTTTAAAGATATTTCCTATATATTTCAATGGTTAACTTTGACTCCCCTGTTGTGACCCTGCCCTACCCCCAGGGGTCATGATTGGAACAAACTTAATTCTACACTACCTGAGGATACTTCTATAATTATAATATGATTAACCATAGCTTTGGTGTTCTCAAGAAGATTTTTAAAGACATTTCTTATATATTCTTATGTAAAACTTTGACCCCCTGGCCCTGTCCTACCCATGGGGGTTATGACATGAACACCTTGAATCTAGAGTACGTGATGAAGCTTTCACATAAGTTTCATCTTATATTGCCCAGTGGTTCTTAAGAAGAAGATTTTTAAAAGATGCCACCAAATTTTCACAAATTCTTAAATATCTCCCCTTGAAAGAGGCTGTGGCACTTCCTGTGAACAAACTTAAATCCCCTTCACCAAAGGATGCTTTGTGGCAAATTCAGTTGAAAATGGCCCTGTGGTTCTTGAGAAGAAGTCGAAAATGTGAAAAGTTTACAGACGGATACAGGACATTCTTTGATCCAAATAGCTCACTTGAGCCTTTAATCGATCAGCTCATGTGAGCTAAAACATTATAATGATAAAAATATTCATCTTTGATATCTTTGTTGCAGTATTTCATGAATGTTGAGTAACTGTGGGGTTAAGTTGTAAGAAAGGTCTTACCAAATTCAAATTGTAAAATGTTGGAATTAATCAAAATTCTTCCTCCAAACTTGATTTCAATGGAAAAATCACATGGATCCAAAGAAAATGAGAAAGCAACATTTCTTGTAATCCTTGCATTTGTATCAGGTAGACTGAAAGCCAAATCAAGGCTGCACTCAATTCCCAAACAGCTGGATGGCTGAACACATCTCACCATGCGTCTAGTAGTTGGATCTAAATACTTTGTTGGATCAATTTTCACAGGACAATCTGCAATCATAGATGCATAATTTCATATCATATGACATATTTCTTTTAATTTTCTTCTTGGCTATTTACTGCTCTTAAATTGGTCATGATGTCAAACTTACCTGAAGACGAAGGGGAGAGGGAAATTTCTTCAGATGTTATTACAGCCTAAAAAAAAAACAAATGCAGCTGATCTATGTATATGTCAGAAATTATTTAACAATTCAAATAAGAAATGATTAGAACTTACATCTAAATCAAACTTTTTCAATATCAAATTAAAGGCATCTTCGACATTTTCCATGCCAATGTGTGTCAGCAGTCCTCCAATTGATCCATTTCCTGCAGCAAGAAAAACGTTTTGAAAGAAGGCATTATGATTTGTGTAGTTATATGTACCCTATGTGAATATATGTGCATCTCACTATTCTCTTCAGTTAAAAACAAGTGAAATAAAGATTTATAAACCTGGTAAAGTGTAGTTTTCACACACAGGTGATGGGATTTTGAAATCTGTGAAAAAATACTCATCAAGAATACAATCAGAAGGTGGCTCCACACAGATTTGTAGTCCAAAACTCAGTAGAAAGAGGCCATTCTCTGTATCCTTTTTTATCTGATATCTACAAATATGGCTCTATTAAGTAGTATGTTGGAGGCTTTTACATTCATTCTATATATATATATATATATATATATAAATAAAACACCTAGGTACACTGTTTGCAACACAACCTTTTCTGTACATAGAACCTTGATTGAAAATTTACATGTCTGCATTAAAGTCTTAAATACTTACTTTATTTTGATATTTTGGGAGACTACTTCTACTTCTTCTGAACCTAAAAAAGGAGAAAGAATAAGGATTTTCTGGAAATTGATTGGAAAAAAGTATCATTATAAATGGTATGAAATTGGTTTTAATACTCAACTGTACCTGACTAAGTATATATACGAGGGGTGATCAAAAAGTTCACGAACTAATTGAGTTGCTTCCATATAAGAAATAAAATTAGATTTCAGTTTTCATTACTTTTCAAAGTAGTCCTCTCCGATTTTAATGCACCATTCTGCTCATGCATGAATCACGTGATCCAGGCGGTCACGTGACATGCTCTGTAGCGTTCTGGCCACAAAAGCTAAAAGATTTTTCCAATTGTTTTATTTCTTACCATACAAGTTATTTTTTATAACAAGAACAGTCCATTTGTCAGAAATGGGGAAATCTCGGCAATAGGATAAGTGGATAAGGATATCCTTTCCCAAAAAGATTTGACCATCACAACCCGAGTCTTCCGCCTTGGGAGCGTCATTTATCCAATGTGGATAAAGTATGGGTGTCTTCTTTTTATCATATCTGATATGTTTAAAGTCTAAGTAAACGTTATTTTAGGATCTAATAATTATATTATTGTTAAGATATTCAACAATTTTTCTAACTGTAACTTGGCAATCTTTCAAATCAAATTGCTCAACTATAAGGACACATCTCTTCCCCAGCTTGTTTCACTGGGCAACAAAACAAAAATCACTTTTTAACCATCTCCCTTCTTTCATTAAATCAATCAATCCAATTAATGATTGAACTTCCAGCAAGTCTTTTGTCTTCATAAACCTTGTACAAATTATTATATGCTACTGCAAAAGGAATTTCCAAGAAATACATTAAACTTTTACAGCTGTTTGTTGCTCGAGTAAGACTGTCAGTCAACCATTTTTTGTTAAGTCATCTGCATATTGACAATATTTTCACATTGTAATGTCACAAACATGGAGCAAAACTTTACATAACATCTGCTATTTATAGAACATGAGTATGACTATATGTGTGCAAGATTTTATTTTGATCTGAATTGTGGTTCTGTAAATATAAAGATAGTTCACAAACTTTTTGATCACCTTTCATATATATAAAACAAATCAACTAACAGATTTTAAAGTTTAGATTAACTTCCAAATTTTTTTGTAAAACGTGGCATGTAATTTCAAAAACAATGACATAGGAGACCTGTTTACCCCCTTTTGTTGCTTCTCAATATAATTCAGAAAACACTTTCCAGAAAGATTTTTATTGTACCCTTCTGATTTTTTCAGTCAGATTTTGACATTTCTTAGCAACTAAGAGGGAAGCCAAACTAATTAATATCTATCTATACCAAAGAAAATCCCCAATACAAATCATTCTTGATGTATTCATTCAAATATCAACTTGACAATAATGATAAGTGACACATGCAGATACTAAAATTCATTCAAATGTATTTGGATTTTATTGGAAGAAATTTATGTAAAAGTATACAGTATTCCAGTTTGCTATTAGCATAGTTTTGTAACCTCAATCTATAAAGCATATTCTTACTTACAAATCGGGTGAAACGGTAAAAGTAAACAGGTCTGAAAAAGTACCAGTAGGTGAAATTTTGACATACCCCATTTATAATCCAGCAGGATCATGTGGAATACTTTCCTTTCAAATGAGACTTTTAGCAAATAACTGCAAGGGTTTAGATCAAGATAAGCAGTGAAACTCTGGGTGAAGCTTTCTGCCAGAATATTCAAACTTATGTCTGTCCAAGTATCTATTCTCATACAGTCCTTCTGTATTGTATAATACAGTATTTTTGAAAGTTTCCCCTGAATTTTTGGCAAGCTATATTCATGGCCATTGCTAGAACAACCTACAAAAAGAAATGTTTATGTCAGTTTGCTTGGTGTATTCATACATATACATACAAATTGTTCATGTAATAACAAATGAATACTCCTATAATAGTAACAACCAAGAACAAAACTACTCTATATTTAAAATTTCAACTATTTATAAATTATAATCTCTGTTTTGCATGAATAAGAGTCACAGGTGGTGAAAAATCAGATCTCAACCAGGAATCGTACCCAGGGCCTCTGGCGTACCATGCCAACACTCTAACCATTGAGTTTTTGAGACCTGATATATTGACTGACTTTCACACACCTGTAAACCCAGTGACATAAGACATGAAAGAAAACACATCTTTTCTACATATACTAACTAAGGTCATCTTGCAGTAATCGTTCATTCAGCATGTTTCTTGAGCCTTCAGTTGATAAATTCCTGGACTCCAATTCATTTATTATTTGACCTTTTGTCATTATTTCTGGTCTTGGAGCAGGTTTTCCATAGAGGAATGTGTCCTTTAAAGAAAAATACATGTAAATGCATTTTTAAAAAATATCTTTTAACTTCATTTTTTAAATATAATATGAATAATGATTACAAGACAACATAAAAAGTAATCACTTGATTTTTTTTTTATTTCAATTTGAATGTGCATTTGGAGTAATATTCCAAACTTTTCTTCAGTTAATTCATGAATTAAAGCTATTAAATTCATCCCCATTCTTGCAATAATGCCATAATAATGCTTTTTTTTCCAGAAATGCTTTTTCTGTTACAAAAAGTTATTGTTTGAATACCATGATGTGATTCTGGAGAAAATATAATTTTGAAAAGTTTATGACAAAGACAACAATGACAGACAACTAACAGATTTTTTTAATCAGAAAAGCCTTCAGCTAATGTGCACTAAAAAGGTAGTAGTTTATCAAGGAATGACTGAACAATAAGAAATAATTCATAGAGATTCATAAAAATCCATTGGAATACATACTTCTTTCCTACACTGAACATTCAACCTACCTTGTTAATATGCAGAGTTTCCAAGAATTTTGAAAGAAGCTCAACTAAAGCCAACTTTTTTACAGTTTTTCCTTTATCTTTCATTCTTTGAAGCAAAGCTTTCTTGTTGAATATATTTTTGAAATTCACTGAAAAAAAAACAAGAACGAGCATATTAATTTTCTGGATTATTAACTTTTATCGAGTTTAAGGTGTTAATGTCTCATTGCTGCTTTAATTTTTGTTCCAAAAGTCAGAATTAAATGGAATAGTAAAAAAAACTTACATTTGGGCCACACTATATCTCCATTTGAAAGACAAGAAGGTGTGGGGAAAATTGCATTTTCAAGAAGGTTCAGGTATAAAATGCAGTTGTCTAAATCATTCACACTGCAAAAACCTACTCCAAGTGTGACAAGAAGCGTTTTGTCTTCCTTTACTATACAGTACCTGTGAAATGATAATACAGTGTAAATTGTTATCTCAAAAAAATAAAGGCAATGCAAAAATACAGTAAAACATGATTATTCATGTAATACTCATATTTAACTTGCAAGGACAGCTGAAATCATTTACAGTATCTGTTATATTGTGACATAATTCAGTTTGGCAGTTATAATTCTCCACTTTATTATATTTTACCGTAGTACTAAACATGAAACATTAACTTCTTTTTTTACACATGCATATGTTCATTTTGCCATAAATGTGATTTACTATAGTTTTATGATCATCTGATAAATGATACAGCTTATTCTCTGCATAGGCTTTCTCCATCCAGAAAAATACATAATTGGAGATATATATAGCTCACCTCAACGAATGTCATCTTTGAGTAAAGCAACATCCTATTCTAAACAAAATTTAATATTTGGGTAGTGTGCATCTCTATAGACGCAAGTTTTATGCAAGTCTTGTCTGGGTAAGATTTTAGTTACTTGGGAATGACTTGCCCCTGAAACTTTTTTCTATTCAATCGCCTTGAAAATGTTAGTATGATTCAGCGTCTGAATCAAGTATAGTAGAGTGCATGCCTAGATGCATCATCCTTGCAATTTTGTTAATCTCTTCAAAAATTCTATGTAAGTTTGAGATGGGGCTTTGAGTTACTTAGGAAAGGACCTCCTCCAAAACTTGATATTGTTCAATCATCTGGAAAATGCTCATTCTAAAAATTGAAGTTATATTAGTAAAAACTAAATTTATATTACTGTAAACCAACTTTTATTCGCGACAACTTTATTTCGCGATTTACCGGGGATAAACTAGTTCGCGACGATTAATTTCCGCGATCAAGCCTTTTTTGGATCTGTTGTTAATAGAAAGAGAGAGTTAAAAGTACCTGTTTGCGGCGAGAAATATTCGCGATGACAAGGCTCTCGCGAACCTCGCGAAAATTTCTCACACGCGAATAAAAGTTGGTTTACAGTAGTTGAATATGTATTACACTTGAAGTCTTTTTTCCCTACTGCTCTATGTTTCTAGAAACTTTCTGGTAACAATATCTGAATTACTTCCCCATGGAATGGCCAGGACACAACGCTTTATATATATATATATATATATATATGTATATATATATATATATATATATATATATATATATATATATATATATATATATGTATATATAAATATATATATATATATATATATATATATATATATATATATATATATATATATATATCAACAAAGTTGTTTACCATTTGCCCAGGGACACTCTGTGCTAAGTTAAGTTGATATTTGCCCTGGTATTTTATAGACGTCAATCATATGAAAAGATACCAGACATGGCACAAATTCTGATCATGTACACTAAAAATTTATAGTGTCATTTATATTTTAAATGAAGTCTTGAACTTACTTTAATATCAATTCAATGCCTCCCATCAAATCTAGAGTTAATCCAGGCCTGACTTCTTTTTCCAAACCTGAAATAAAACAAATAAGAGGCCCATGGGACACATCACACACCTGAGCAATTTGGCTAGGAGTTCAGAAATTAACAGTTTAAATTTATATGTGGTCCCAACTTATCCAAAAAGAGGGGAGGGGACATGATTTGAACAAACTTGAATCTACACTAAGGATGTTTCCATATTTCTTTGACTAATCATGGCTTTAGAAGAATTTTAAGAACTTTTTTCCTTTAAGTTTTATCTTCTATCGTGCCCCCCCCCCCCTCCCCCTATGTCATAATTTAAACAATCTTAAATCTACATTACCTGAAAATGCTTCCATATTAATATGACTAATCATGGCTTTGCTGTTCTTGAGAAGAAGATTTTTAAAGACTTTTCCTAAATATTCAAATGAAAAACTTTGATCACCTATTGTGGCCTCAACCTACCCCATGGGGTCATGATTTGAATAAACTTGAATCTACCTGAGAATGCATCCATATAAACATGAATAAACATGGCTTTGCTATTCTTGAGGAGATTTTTCAAGATTTTTCCTACGTATTCCTAATTAAATCTTTGATCATCCATTGTGGCCCCACCCTTCCCTCCGGGTCATGATTTGAACAAACTTGAATCTACACTTCCTGAGAATGCTTCAGTATAAATATGACAAATTATGGCTTTGCTTTTTTCCTATATATTCCTATGTAAAACTTGAATTGTCCATTGTGATGCCATACTACCCCCCACGGTCATGATTTGAGCAAACTTGAATCTACACTATGTAAAGAAGTTTTCATATAAGTTTCCACTTTTTTGGCCCGGCACTGGTTCTTGAAAAGAAGAGTTTTAAAAGATACCACCAAATTTTCATTAATTCTTAATTATCCCCCCTTGAAAGAGGGCACAGGACTTCATTTGAAAAAACTTGAATCCCCTTAACCCAAGGATGCTTTGTGGCAAGTTTGGTTGAAATTGGCCCAGTGATTCTGGAGAAGAAGTTGAAAATGTGATTAGTTTACAGACAGAGGGACAGACAGATGGATTACAGACAAAATGTGATCAGAGAAGCTCCAGCTTCCACCTCAGGTGTCAGAGCTAAAAATGACAACTCTTACTACAAAGCTATCAGTATCTTATTTCATATAACTCAGGTTTAGTTTTCATTGTAACCATTAACATACATGTATGAGGCATTTTGCGGTCAGAGAATGAAATCTTACCTTCATATTTTTGACTCTCATTGATTTCAGCAGTATAATTGTATTGATCGAATCCAAAGACAAATTTCATAGGATGTGAACAGGGATCCAGTCTGGCATAAAATTTGAAGACTTTGAGGAACATCATCAGTTTGACATTGACACAACACTCCACCCCAAGACAGTAATGATCAAAGGTACAATAAACATTTTTTGGCATTGTGAAAGATACAAGTGGACAACCTGCAATATATAAAATGGTCACCTTGTGTCACAAGGCAAGTTTTCTCTAAAACATAATCTGTCCTTTTTAGTACTGAACTTCTTAGTTATGCAAGCTGAATATATTTGAATCTAAACTACTGCAGATTCCTTAAATTTTGTACACTCTCAATTAGACAAAATCACTGACTTGTTTCAGCTTACAAATAAATTTCACCTAGAAGCCCTATAGATCTCGAGAAAAGAATTTTTACTTATTTTCCTGATATATTTCTATGTAAAATAAAGTCACTATTTTGTAGTCCTAGGCCATTATTTAAATAAACAAATTTTCATTACATAAGAAAGCAAAAATAATGCAATTTCTGGGTCAGTGGTTCTTGAGATTTTTAATTTGTGACCTACTAAAAAGATAGCAACAAACTCTTACACATATTAAGATATTGCAGTTCTATCATGTCTTTTAACATTATATATAATCTTACTAATACTTCTCATGATACAAACACTTTTTCCTTACTTTGGTCAAGTTTTAAAAGTCTATCAATCATTTCCTCTCTGGTACCAGTTGCTCTTTTTCCACGTTCCATAAGCTCATTCATTAACTCATCATCAGTCATTTGTTGTGGACTAATACAAGGTTTGTTGTCTATTAGTTCCTACAACATACAGTAAAAACTGTCTAATTTGACATTAGTGTGATCTGTTCCAGTATCAATTCTAACCTTTATTTTGATTCAAACTTAGCTTTTTTTTCTGTTTTTGATTCTGTGCAGGGTTGTCCCTATGACCCGGGGGCTGAGGAATTTTCCTGCCTATAATGAAGTAATCCCCCAGTTATTTTGGTATTCCCCCTCAATCCCCTGTTAGGGGAGGAACAACAACCCCCCCCCTTCTACTATTTTAATGTCCCCTGCTATTTCAATTCTTAGGGACAACCCTGCTGAGCAATTTGATACCCTGTCTTTTCTGATGCAAAAGTTGTGTCCCCAGTGCTAGTCAGAGTAGACAGGTTTCACTGTGTTTAAATGAAAATATAATGTACATAATCACGTGCTATTTACTTTTTGATAGATGTAAAATATGCTACATTTCTAAAAACTACAAGATAATAATCAATAACCAAGAATATTTTTTCTTTGATTTTTATTATATACATACTTTAATAGTTATCATAACTTTAGCCATTGCCTCTTTACTTTCGTTCATGCCAAGTTTGTCTAAAAATTCTATAATAGTGCCAAACTTCAAACGACGAATGTTGTATTTTTCAAGGAATCTGTCAGCTGTTTTTAACAGCTTTTTGAAAAAACCTAAAATATACAAGATTGGAAAAGTTCATTTAAAACATGAACAGAATGCTATGAAAATTAAGACATAAACCATGTATATATATATATAGTTACATTTTATACACAATCAAGTAGTTTTTAAAATGACTGACTGAATATCTTCATGATATTTATCCTTTTGGTTATATTATCATTTCTGAGGCAAATATTTTTGTATGTGTAACCTATGATTCCTTTTTTAGGAGCAGCTGTTGTTAATGGTGCCACTGTTGTTGTTGTTGTTGTTGTTTGAGGCCTGTATGCTGCACACTGATCATCTTCTGAATCAACATCCAGGACATTGTCTCCCTTATCTCCGTTTTCATCCTTGTCATTTGCCATTTTGAATTTAAATTTACTGAAGGCACTCTCTGGATTATCTACAAATCAAGTTAAATGATAGAAATTTTCTAAGATATAACGTTACCAAATACTACTACAATTTGTAACGAAAGTGATTAATGCCCTGTTCACACGAAGAGTTTAATTCGAATTAAATGCAAGTTACTGTGAATTAAATTTGAACCGCGTTGACACGGAGAATTTAATGCAAATTAGTTTAATTCGAATTAATTTACTGTGCATTAAATTACTTCGCATTAGCTCTGTGTGAATGCTAAGCAAAGCTAATTCGAATTAAATTTTGACGCATGCGTAAGGGCAGAATTAAGTCAAGACCACATGTCGGTGGTCAGATATAGTAACTTGTGCTATTTTTTAGTGGAAAACCCAAGAAAATTATGTTAATCAATAAAATGTGTACAGACACCATGACATTGTGTAAAATGTACCTGCTCTGCACAATGTGATGTGATTTGAAAATGACATCATAATAGGCTTACAGAATAGCCTTACTGTAAAAATATAATTTTAATTTGCATTAGTTTACTTCGCATTAGCTCTCGTGTGAACTCAATCTAATTCGCATTAGTTTAATTCGAATTAGTTTACTTCGATTTAATTAACTGCGAATTAAACTCTCCGTGTGAACAGGGCATAAAATTGAGACTAGATACACTTTTTTTTTATTTTTACACTACACTAAACATTACATAAAATCAAAGATTTTGAAGCTCACTTCAATTAATGTTATCTATAGGGCAAAATCAATGCTCTGGTAGTACAATATCTATACTTTTTGGTCTGGGTAAGACTAATAATTACATAAAAATGAACATTCTCAAAAGAATTCATCTGTCCAGTCTACAGATAGTGTGAATCACTGAATGCAGAATCAATGCAAGTTGGACCAGGTAAGATTTATTATTATTTGATAATGGACCTGCTCTAAAAAAAATAAATCTTTTCCATCTTCTGAAAAATTTAAGTCAGATTTAGCATCCAATGCTCTGTATGTTGAAAGATGCAACAATGAAACTGGTATTGCAACCAGAAAGCATCAAATACAGCATCTGAAGCATGTCTGGTTGTGTTTAATATCTCTAGATGCTTCATCCATACAAGTCTTGTGTACGTAGAGCTTATAGTTTAATACTAGAGAATGGACTTTTTATTAATTTTAACATTGGATGCTGATGATGAGGTATAGCATACAGTTACACACCCATTTTGACTCTGTCAAAGTGAGTTAAAAAGAATAATAACATGGGATTAGTATAAGCTAGATGTACTGGTATGACACGAATCAGCAAGAGTAAAACTATATGTGTAATAGTGATAGTTTTATGCTGTTTTAATTATTATCATATTCAAATTAATTATACATTAATGAATATGAAGCAAATGATTTAAACTAAAAACTTCTATAAGAATGTGTTATAATCAACGTTGACTAAAACTGATAATATGTATAAATGGATTAATATTAATAAAATAATTTATCAAAAAAAGTTAACTAGGTCCCTTAATAAATTAATTGATCAGAAATAAAATAAACAATCAAATAAATAAAACTTTGGATCCACCCATGGTTGGATCCACCCATGGTACTACTTGTACATCTGTAACAAGGGTACATGAGTAGTATTCATCCTACTTCAATTTCATTGGTTTAAATTTTACCTCCAAATTCCTGACCTGAGACAAAGACACTTTTCAGCTTGACTGTTCATGGCTATAATACATGTACTTTATGACCGTTTCATATTTCAAAGAAAATAGACTGACTGTTTGAAAGAAACTGTATATAGTCAACGTTTATTTACTAATACTTTGTTTGACATCAAAAGAAGGAGTCCGCTCTATTCCACAAATAGGACTGAAATACTTTTATGATGATTGAATATGGAATAAATACATGATCGAACCAGCAGGTGTTTTTATTTCATCAAAAACCCCTGTCACATATGTCTCAATCACTGTCAAAAATTGCTATTAAAAAAAAATCAAAGCTTAATTGTTAACATATTAACCTAAGTTTATATCCTTACCTTTGATTTCCTTGGTATACTCTGGTTCTGATGACTTTGGTAGATCATCGATAGGTTTTGCTTGGCTAGCATTTGCTATTTGGGTGTTGTTATTTTCTTCCTTTTGGCCACCCAGTCCAACAATCACACCAGCAGCTAATGTAACTCCCTAAAGCAAACAAAATGTCATAAATTACATGCATTTACTTACACACCATTTCTTATTCTTTTGAATATTTCACATCATAAAAAATAACACAAACCTTAAAGACGAGTTTGTAATCATCACATTGCTGTTTCCATTTGGGCATCGTAACAGGTGTGAATTCTAGATATTTAGTAGGATCTATGTAGTCACCATCATCTTTCTTGATAGCCATGTGTATGTGGTTTTTACAAACTGATGCAGTGGCTGTACCTATTGGCTGGCCAGCATCAACCTGAAACATTAAAAGGTTTCTGAATAGGTACTTAATAATAAAACATTTATATAGTGCCCTATATAAAATGCATTACTCTAAGGCGCTGTACATTGTTTAAGATATCAAAAAATGTCTCCAATATACAAAAATTTAAAAACCCCATAAAGTTCATAAAAACCTAAAATTATCATACAAGGTAATTGCTTCATTTAATAAGCATATCATTATACAGGATATCAAAGACTCTAAAATTTGAAGTCTTAACAATTAGGGTTGGATACCGGTACTCGGTACCAATACCGTACCGAATAGTTACTTTAATAATACCGGTAAAATACCGTTTCATTTAATACCGGTACTAATAACGGTATTCCTTAATCTTATAAACATTTTAATACATTCAATATGATTTAAAAAAAACAATTCCAGACTCGCTAAAACCGAATTCTCCGCCCGTTGAAAGGCTCGGCTAATTAAAGAAATGGATGCTTAGTACCATTTAGTGGTAGTAGTGGTTTCGACTGTCGATATTCAAGGTAAATTAATACGTGTATTTAAAAAAAAAAATAAAATACATTCACATTAATCTTGTTTTAATTTTATTAATAAAATCTGATAATAAATGTAAATTAAAAGGGCAAAAAATGTGATGTGCATCTCTATCCATTTTCTAATGCATCATCGTTTAGTGCGACCAAACAAATTAATTAGGTCCTGGCAACCGTTTGAAGCGGTCAGCCCATTTGTGATTATGTATCTAGTCAAATTAATTTGTTTAAGATTCAATATATTTGTTTTGTTCATCATTTATTAAAAAGTTAAAATATAAACATAGTTTATAAGCTCATTTAGATCATAACATTGCAGGGTTGGTGATTGGTGAAAGCACATTTGTTATAAAATGAACCATCATCCTCATTCATCAAAGTAAAGTACCGTATCGCTAAAAATACCGTATCGTTTCAAAAATACCGGTATGGTATCGTACCGTTTCATCCTTAACGGTATCCAACCCTATTAACAATTCATGTTAAAGAATATAAAGTATGCCATTCTGTTGCAAAGTTTTAAATCTGTTAATGTGAAGTGCTCATAAAATTATTATATAAAAAGAAAATATGAAAATAGAAATTCCCCTTTCATTCAACTAGGTTCTTGGGATCTCTTTAAATCTTACCCATTTTGGCTCTTCATCAACTATCTCGGAACTTGGGTTAATGTTAGTAATCATTACTGCAGTTCCATTTAGTGATCCTCTACTAATTTTTATAATCACTGTGCTTGAATCCTCTGTATCTAAAGTTAATTCACCAGCAAAAGGGGCCACTACCTGCCAATTGAAAAATACAAGTAAATGAATTCTTATATCAACAGGTTATACTATGTACATACTATGATTGTTGCAAATGCATTCTTATAAATGCTGATTTTCACCTTTAAAATTTTAAATACTGTTAGTTAAAAAATTCAAGCATGCAATATTCATTTGCTTTAAATGAATTCAGAATAGCATACCTAAAGCTCAACAAGACTTTATTTTAAAATAATCTTCCTACTGGTAACCACCCCCACCCCACCCACCCCGCACCCCAAAAAAACAAACCCCAATGCAATTAATGGATTAAACTTCATTATATTTTCCCAGTTATTTTATGAATTTTAATATAGTTTTCATATGAAGAATTTCAAAATAATTCTTTCATACATCAGCTAAAACTTTGACATTCAACTTGAAACACTGAACAATAAAAATGAAGTCATCTGAGGACTGACAAAATCCTGAACTAAGTCATAATCAGTCTGAATGTCTTACACTCTAACAAAAATTTCGAAAACTCTTAAGCATACAAAAAATATTGTAACGAAACCGAGGGTATAAGGTTATTACTTAATCAGTTAATCGTGGGCCGCTGTTGGTTACTGGTAACTGGTCATGGTTGAAATGGTTGTCCACAAAATTTATATAAAATCGGAATAACGACCAATTTTTGGTCCACTAAATAATTGGCGAAATGACCAAATTTTAGTTCACTATAATATCTGCACTAGAACCGTGATGAATAACACGTTGTAAAGTTTATGATATTTATTAAGACGATCAAATGGTTCAGTTATAAGCACAATGACACACTTGGCTGGTACAACGTTATTTGGTTAATACAAAGATGACGAACCAATGGTCAATCCAGGACGTTTCTACTCTAAATGACTCTTCACTAATGATTTCGTATACATAGACTTGGTACTGTTTGTACATACCACTGTCTAACACCCGAAGTATACGGAGTCGCTACCCACTGCAGACTGACTTCTAAACACAAAACAGCTGTCTTTTATAGACAAAAGTTGTTATGATGACGTATAAACGTCAGATACCAATAACGTCACAATCAATATCTAATTTGTAAGTTAGCGGGTTTTGACCACTAAAATTACTTAATAACGTTGTACCTATATAGAACATATACAACATAACGCTTTGTAATTACAATACATAAATCAAATTGATAAAGTTCAAATAATAAATCATTGTTCAATTCTTTCTTTCATTGTTCATTGACAAATATTTTAGTAGTTTATACACATCGGGTTCAGGGTCCGTTTATTCGGAACTTGTCAACAACAGTTAATCCGAATTTCACAGGTAAACTTATCGGAACGTAACAATATCTACAAAGTGAATAAAACATGGAAGTTGTTACTTGCCACTTCTCCAATTTCAGTAAGGAGATCAACTCCGTCATGTCTGTATTCCATGTTACTACTTCCCAGACTAGATGGATACTGTCCATTTCCACTGCATCCATCACCTACTTCTCTTCGAGCCACTGGAAATAGTTTGTGGGCTCTTGTGCCAAACAGAGCATCAATTATTCCTCTTGCAGTTTCATATCTATAAAATCCCCAAACATTTTATTTTAAACTAAGTAAATCTTTCATAGCCAAATGAAAGGCCCCGGCCAGCTCAATCCTTTGTATAGGCCATAAAAAATCCCTGAATATGTTTAAAATTCAGTAACCCTTTTCACAAAAAATCTTAAGTTTTTGCATAAGATTTTAACTTAAGAATCTCTTATGACAAATCTTAAGTGCATTTCATGAACGCATTCGTAGCAGATTGAACTTCAGAGTTTACTCACGACAGACTTCATCCTTAGCAACGACTTCAATATGCTTTATAATCCTTAACTAAGTGGATGAAAATAAAAATAATACTTAGTTATCAACATTTGTCAGCATAACAAACATTATTGACAACAAATATCGAATGCAATCATTTGTGAAGCAAGGAAGTTTAAATCTGACCTGACAATCACAAGTCTGATGTAAAAGTAGGTCATACGAAAATCTTAAGTGAAACTTACATCGTGAATATTTTGTAGTGTATTTCATTTATTTTTCGACAATAATTGTGAAAAAAAATATAAAATATTATTGGAGGTTGCTTTAAAAAGTTCACTTTGAAGTGTATTTTGGTTTTTGCGGTTATATTTTTATAATAAAATCGGTTTTAAAATACTTAAGAGAGGGTTGGGGCTCTCGTAAAGTTACGACAGATTTTGCACTTAGGACTTTCTTAAGATTTTTTGTGAAAATGATTTATCATAAGTTTTCACTTAAGATAAAAATATGTAATAAGGTTTTTTGTGAAAAGGTCCACAGGTTTATTAAACAAAGAATTGTAACTTTATTGTAATATTTTATATAGTGCTTATTTGTCCAGGGCTCGACATTAACGCTTGTCCGGTACCAGTGAAAAAAAAATTACGGACAAGTGAATATTGCTGGACACTTGTCCAATTGGACAAGTGCATTTTAATGTGAAGAAGTCTCCAAATAATAAAAAGAACAACTGTTGAGTATTTAGTTTACCGCTGCTTTAAAGACGGAAACAGTACATAAAAACCAAACTTCGATCCCGATATGGATTGCTATGTAATAGAGTTGATACTCGATCGGGATCGATGTTCACTAATTGCATACTACTGCAAAGGCATGGAACTCAAGAAGTTCGGATTCCGTTTTATGTTGACAGCATTTATGTTGTCAGGACAGAGAGTCTATATAAAATTTTGATTTGTGTGTTTGTTGTATTTATAAATTACATCACGCACATGTCATGGACTTTATTTTAGTTTTTCAGTTGAAAGGATTAGATCTTTCTTGAAATATTTTCGGACAAGTGAAGTTGAAGTTCGGACAAGTAAATGTCTTGGTCACTTGTCCGAATGGACAAGTAGGAAAAAAAGTTAATGTCGAGCCCTGTTGTCCCATTCAAGACGTTAATGTGCTACGCCTTCAGCATTTTTTCTTCCTCACTTACAAAAAGCTTTATTTATTATTTTTGAAAACCTGGTTCATATATCTATACCTGTCATTTTCAAAGTTAGTATACATATACTTTTGATTATAATGGTCACTGGTTAATATGACATCAAGAGGCAATTTGAATACAAAGTGTAGGATAAATGATAAATTTTTGCAATGACTGAACATCTACAGGATATAGGATAGTCATATGATAAAATAGCACGTACATTACAGATCATTTTTGCACCATGTGTTTTCCACTGTGGAAGCAGTAACTTGTGAGCTGTTCTGTATCACTACTTATGATACAGGTCAATATACAAGTACAGTAAAACATGCTTATAGCAAACACGCTTCAACTGGCACTTATAGCAAAGTGATTTTCATTCACCGTGACTTTAAAATATATTGTAAACTTAACTGATATAACAAATTACAGTTATAACGAAACAAAATCATCTGTCCCTGGCACTTTGTTATAAGCATGTTTTACTATAATAGTGGATCAAACTATTTTCCATCATAATCGTTATACTTCTTAATTTTTACATTTGTGTAATTTTGCATGGTTATTTATTTGCGAAAGAAAGTTCTAGTTATCAATAACTGGAATTTAACAGGTCTAGGAAACTACCTTATATGGCAATTGTTATGGCACAGAGCAGAGCTTACCAGGAACGGTTATCCAGTCCAATAATTGAAGAGAAGAGACATGGTCTACTAAATTTTTACATTTTAATTCAAACACACGGTTCGGGTCAATTTACAAAGTAATATTCATTGAAATGCGGGAAAGACAATGGAAACTCATTTTCATTACTTTTATAAAAAATTCAAAGATTAGGTACTAATAGAGATGTTCCTTGCTCACATTAAGAAATATAGTAAAATAGTTAATATAGTTAAATAATATAGTAAAATAGTTAAACAGTAAATTGTAACCCCTTCACAAAACTATCACAATACTAACAATTTAAAGCTTAATGGAATGGCCAACACATGATAAAATAAGTGGACATCTTAGTGCTATCATCTTGGTCCAAGGAATCCATGTGAATTTTTTACTCACTGATACTACAAAATTCTAATATAGAATTCTACATTTATAAATCAATTGTTTGTCAATGTGAGCATGGAATAGTAGATAAAAATGTGCATATTGTGTTTAATCTGTGAAATGCATGAAAAAATTAAAATGTTCTTCCTAAAATGAGTAGAAAATTGCCATAAAATTTCAGATGTATTCTTGTAGTAGTCCATAATGCATTTCAACTCATTTAGCTGATTGATCAGCATGTATGTTGATTACATTGGTACTTCATTTAGTATGTAAATTTATTCTGAAGAAAGAGAATACAGTTTCCTCGACCTGTAAAATTTAATCACTTCTGATATGTAATACCAATTTAAAATGTAAACAAAATGATTTTATTAATGCAGGAATTAACAGTTGCACCCACTTCAGAAAAAATACATAACCTGCAAAAGCATATGTTTGGTTCATTATATATGCATCTTTAGGTGCATAATTTTTTCTGCAATACTTGTAGTTGCAACAATCCCACATAAACAAAGACATATATTTTATTGTTTGAATCTTTAATAAACCTGTTCAAACTAGTTTAGAATTTATGGATTGATTAAGGGAAGTGATTTCATTAGAAACAAGAGATGTTTGTGAAACACTTATGCCCCCCCCCCCCCCAATAACTGGAATTTTTCTATGTCCAAAGGGCATAAGTCTCATCAAAAATTGCTCGATCATACCCAAATCAGAACTTGACCTAGATATTCTTATGATTAATCTGTATACCAAATTTCATTTTAGTGTGTGCAACCTCTGCAAAGAAAATGAACGGAAACTGTTGATGGACCGACAGACAGCAGCAAAGCAATATGCCCTCCATTCTTTAAAAAGGGGGGGGGGGGCATAATAAAAGAGAACATAATCAGTATATGTAAATAAATATGTTTTTTCCCAAACCTCAGGGGAAAAAGTCATTAAAAAGAGTTATTTATTTACAAGAAAATTTAGACCAGTAACCTTTATACTTTTTTTATTTACCAATGTAAATTATAAGCTAATGAAAAACTCACCCTTCCTTGAGAATATTGTAAGCATCTTTTATTGACTTGATGAGTTTAAATACTTTGCCATATGTATTAATGAAAGAATCTGCCATTCCCACTAAACCCTGAAATGGGTCAATCAGTTCTTTCTTTATGGTATGGAAAGTCTCCACAATTTCCTTTTTGATTATTTTCTACAAATATAAAGGTCAAATACAAGGGTTGTCCATTAAGTTCATGAACAAATGCTATATATAATTTTCTTCAAAATGACTGCACTGGCAAATAAGTACAATAATATTTTAATTCAGACCATTATTTAATAAAAATATAACAAGAGGCCCATGGGCCACAACGCTCACCTGTGTTAATATGGCCCTGCTGTTCTTCGTCAGCAGATTTCTTCTCCTATATATTCATATGTAAAGCTTTGATCGCCTGTTCTAGGCATACACTACCCCCAGGTGCCATGTTTTGAATGAAAATTAATCTAAACTTTCTGAGGATGCTTCTATATTCATATAACTTATCATGGTTTTGCTGTTCTTGAAAATAGAACTTTAAAGATGTCTGCCACCCTACCCTGGGGGGGGGGGGGGGTCATGATTTCAACAAACTTGAATCTACACTACCTGAGGATGCTTCCATATCAATATGACTAATCATGGCTTTGTTGTTCTTGAGAAGAAGATTTTTAAAGAATTTTCCTATATATTCCTATGTAAAATTTTGATCCCTCATTGTGGCCCCACCCTACCCCCAGGGGTCATGATTTCAACAAACTTGAATCTACACTACCTAAGGATGATTCCATATCAATATGACTATTGCGGCTTTGTTTTTCTTGAGAAGATTTTTAAAGAATTTTCCTATATATTCCTCTGTAAAACTTTGATCCCCCATTGTGGCCCCACCCTACCCCTGGGGGTCATGATTTCAACAGACTTGAATCTACACTACCTGAGGATGATTCCATATCAATATGACTAATCGTGGCTTTGTTGTTCTTGAGAAGAAGATTTTTAAAGAATTTTCCTATATATTCCTATGTAAAATTTTGACCCCCCTTTGTGGCCCCACCCTACCCCCAGGGGTCATGATTTCAACAAACTTGAATCTACACTACCTGAGAATGATTCCATATCAATATGACTAATTGTGGCTTTGTTGTTCTTGAGAAGAAGATTTTTAAAGAATTTTCCTATATATTCCTATGTAAAATTTTGATCCCCCTTTGTGGCCCCACCCTACCCCCAGGGGTCATGATTTCAACGAATATGAATCTACACTACCTGAGAATGATTCCATATCAATATGACTAATTGTGGCTTTGTTGTTCTTGAGAAGAAGATTTTTAAATAATTTTCCTATATATTCCTATGTAAAACTTTGATCCCCCATTGTGGCCCCACCCTACCCCCGGGGGTCATGATTTTAACAAACTTGAATCTACACTATGTAATGAAGGTATCACATAAGTTTCAACTTTTCTGGCCCAATGGTTCTTGAGAAGAAGATTTTTAAAAGATGACACCAAATTTTTACCAATTCTTAATTATCTCCCCTTGGAAGAGGGCATGGCCTTTCATTTGAACAAACTTAAATCCCCTTCACCCAAGGATGCTTTGTGGCAAGTTTGGTTGAAATTGGTGCAGTGGTTCTTGAGAAGAAGTCGAAAATGTGAAAAAGTTACAGACGGACAGACAGACAGACAGACAGACAGACAGAGAGACGGACAGACTGACTACGGACAAAATGTGATCAGAAAAGCTCACTTGAGCTTTCAGCTCAGGTGAGCTAAAAATTAAAACAAAACATGCTATTTTACGAATGTTAAAGGTGTTAATACCTTGTATATACAGGCTGCGCAGCCCAGTCCGACGTAAAGCTAATTTCATGATAATGTCAAAATTATGGGTTGTGGTAAAGTGTAAATATTTGAAAAAAGTGTATATATTTTTAGTATTTTAGGATTTTGTGTTTATTTGATATGTTTAGTAATATTATCTACAAAATAATTTTTATTACGTTCATCAACACAGACTACATTTTCATTTTTATGCAACACTGCCAAATTTGTGAAATAAGCTTTTTTCATATGTTTTTGAAACATATTTCTTGCAGTTTTTTAGTCCCCTACCGGTGAAACCGGAGGGGACTATAGGTTTCCTCTGAGTCTGTCCATCCGTCTTTCTGTCCGTCCGTCTGTCTGTCTGTCCCTCTGTCTGTCTGTCAGTCTGTCCCACTTGGTTTTCTGCACTTTTTTCTTAAACGCTTGCAGATATTGAGCTGATTTTTGGTATGTGAGTGTACCTTGATGAGTTACAGATCAAGTTTGCATTTCGTTCCGCTTCATTGATTTTTTACGGAATTACGGCCTTTTCAATTTTTAAGGGTTTTCCGCAATTTTCTTCTAAACGCTTGTAGATATTGAGCTGATTTTTGGTATGTGGCTTTATTAGTTATAGATCAAGTTTGCATTTCGTCCCGCTTCATTAATTTCTGACGGAATTATGGCATTTTCAATTCTTAACGGGAACCAGATTACACTTGCCGGTAGGGGACTAGTATTGCTAATGCAATACTCTCAGAATGCTTGTTTCTTAATATTTTCACTACCTGTATAATAAGCGATACTTGAGATATCAGATGACAATAGCCCTTTATTTGTGACACATTTAATTTTTATTAAGCTTTGGCTTGTTTTATAAAGAAAATAATCTTTTAAATCACAAAACTTTAAGGCATTTTAACCTTAGGCCTTGCACACTATCTGCAACCATTAAAGACAGCGATTTTTTCAAAATTATTAAGTTCAAACAATCAAAACCAAATTATTCTGACTTGGATTTTCATAACAAATGTTTTGATATACAATAAATATATCAAGGATCACTCATTTTTACAAAAATGCTATTGTCCACAAACTTAGTGGACAACCCTCCTATATGTACAATTGCTTGAGTAGGATAGTCTAGATATCCACTTTAATTAATAAGACTCTTCATTGTGAAACTTACAGAAGAACTTTTGCCTTTAGAGAATTTCATAATTTCATCTTCCCCTTCACTGATGCTTTCATTTATCCACTTCTGACCACTAACATTCAAACCTTTGAATGCATTGTCAGCCATGGCTGAATATTCAATCCACAAATCATGTAAATTGAACCAGTATGGTTTTTCATCTTCAAAAGAAATTGCAAAAGAATATAAAATATTAAAGACAAATGATGAAGGACAAATAATGTTTATGATGTTAAATCTACATACATGTAAATGATTCACACAGAAAAATACCTTTCAAGAAAAAACAAGCATCTTGAATCTTCTCCTTTTCCTTTATGATAATTCTTATAGCTCTGAAAATTCTGAGATTCAAAGAAAATATTTGGATTAAAAAGAGCAAGAGCCACTTAGGGCCTTTTTTGGCCCTGAGAATTTCTGAAAAATCGAAACTACTCTGTTTTAGTTGAAAATGCAGTATTTATAACTTGGACCCTTGGTGACCGTGTATCTATTGAACATGACGTAATTTTCTCTCTAGTCAATGCATTATGACGTCATAAAATGCGTCATTTTTCCCATATCCTGTAAATTTCCCTTAAAATGGCCAAAAGTTGACGTATTTTTCAATATTAAATATAGAGCACAACCTCTGATCCAAAATATGCAATTACATAATGAAAGATCTGTTTCTGAAGATCACAAAACATGTTTTAATTTTTGGATCGTGGGCTGTGCTCATATTTTAATTCTTTGCTGAAGGTAGTCAAACACGCATGTTTTCTGCAAAATTCAAGAACATTGCATTTTCCCAAAGCTTGTTTTCCAATACCTAGATTCTCAAAAAGAAATTTTGTGATAGCAAATGAAAGCACTAAGTCTCTACTTTATTTTGATATATGAAATGCGATAGAGGTTGATAGTCGATTAATTGATATAAGGACAGGGCCATTTTATGCATAAAGTGAACCTACCTCTTTTACAACGAAGTTGTGTACAAAATGTACAATGGTTTTATTACAAGGTGTACTGTAATAGTGATAGTTTTATATTGTTTTAATTAATACAATATTCAAATGTATAATTTATTATACATTTATGAATATGCCACAACTGATTTTAAACTCTCAAATACATGTATTAATCTGTTTGTCAATCAATATTGACAAAAACAAATAAGTTACAAATCAAATAATAATATTATTCAGTAAAATACTTTATCAAATGAAATAATTAAATATATTAAATAAAACAAACTAACTGAAATAAAATAAATAATCGGCTAAAATTTTAGATCCACCCCTTGTACTATTCCTATGCCTGAAATAAGCTACCTGAGTAGAATTCAACTTTCTTTAATCCTATTAGTCAAAACATTTACCTCCAAATTCTGGACATGAGACAAAGACATTATTCAGCTTGATTTCAGACTGAGAAGACATGATTTTCAGATATATACTTTATAACTTTAAATTTGACCTGGCTACCAGCTGCTAACATGTAAGTAACTTATTTACTCTTCTTATTAACAAAATATATTTAAAAATCTGATTTATCTGAATTATCTGAAATTAATAATCTAATGAAAATATTGAGTGTGCAACAGTTGAGAGTGAATGTTGTTATTTTATTACAGTATATATCTGATAAAGTGCCAGTGTTGTAATCAAAAAAGGTACCAGGCACTCTGTTCCATAAACAGGTACATTTCATATTTTTACAAATGTACTTATCATTTTCATATTTTCTTAATTAATAAGTGGACTTAGAATTCACTTAATGATTATAATAAATAATGTAAAACAATATATCTTTCAAGGGAATATGTATAAATTGTTCAAGTATATATGTAGATTTTTATAAAATGCTGTGAAAAGGGGAATAACTCTTTCAAATGATGCATAGTAATTATGTATAATGTATTGTGATTTTATGACTATATTGTATGTTTAAACTTTAAAAAATGGTCATTCAATTTTTATTTAATTGTACTAATACTATTTATATGTGTATTTACATGGTGATTATCTTCCAGATATTTATTATCATTATTATTGTCCATCCAATAAACCATCAATGAACCCGCAGGTGTCTTTGTGGATTCATATAACTACCATCTACAAGACCCCTGTCACAGTACTACCTCCAACATCAAACTTCTTGATACAATATTTAACATTTAGAGGTATACAATGTACTTACGAAAAAACTCCTTTTCCAATGCCCATTATAGACTCCTTAGGATTTTTTAATATAATAGAAAAACCATGGATTATATCTTTAATTCCATGATATATTGCTGTGGCCTGTTGGGGAATCACCACTTTAATAGCTTGTTCCACTTCCTAAAATTAAACAATTAGTTTGCACTGATCAACAAGAGGCCCATGGGCCACAGAGCTCACCTGAGCCAATATGGCCATGACTTTTTAATCAGCAGATTTTTTAACTTATGCACTCCTATGCAAAACTTTGATCACTCATTTTGGCCCCACTTTACCCTGGAGGTCATGATTTGAACCAATTTGAATCTATACTACCTTAAGATGCTTCCATATCAATATGACTTTGCTGTATTTGAGATGAAGATTTTAAATGCGTGTCTACGAGAAAACCATGCAAAATCCAAATTTTATTATGAAAGGCATTGTGATCATTTTGACTGATTTTATTGTTTCTGATTAGCATCATGTGTCCTCTAATAAATCCCAGTATCAAAACTGTCAGGTACCTTTGGGGATCCCTATTATAGCCCTATATTCTATTTTTAGCACATTTTATGAAAATATTTTGAAAAACACCCATAGATTAAGAGAAAAAAATTGCAGGAAAAAATGCACTTTTATTCAAATGTTACATATTAAATAAATTTAAAGGAAGTGCTCTAACTAGAAATATATTATTTAATTTCATTTATCAACACTGATTCTGTAAAAGTGGGGTCTAAAATTAGATTAAATCAATGTGTTTAAAATACCACTATCTTTAGAATGCTGTAAAAACCCAAGAAACGCTTAAAACATTATAAATATCAGTTTAATTGCAAAAATCCTTCAAAATCAATATATAGTTAAAAGGAATTTGGTTGCAAATGGCATTATGCTAATTTAAAAATAGATTGAAGTTGGCTGAAACTATTAGAAAAATTATCTCCCTTAGTGGAACTCTCCTTATTTAAAGGAATTAAAAGTGTGATGTCTTAATGACAGACGAAAAGATGAAGTGTTGATTTGAGGACAATATTATGATAAAAGATCTCTAGCTTTGTTGAAAGATTGTAAAATAGATTCAGCTGAATATACAAGGTATTTTAAATGCAGCACATAAGACATTTCTGTCCGTGAAACGCTTCTTATCGGTAACCATCTTGAACCATACAGCTGTTATGGGACTTGGACATTCTAATTTCTGTAAACATACCTACATGTACATGTATGTGTCAAACACAGAAATATACTTGGTCTACACTGGAAAAGGAAAAAAGAACATGTTGTCACCCATACCTGATAGGGGAGACGCTATTATGCAAACCCGTTAACCGAGAGGGTCAAGCTGAATGAGGTTTTGCCTGTTGGAACTGGTAAGAACATTATGCAGTTTAAAAACTTAGGGAATTTTGCTAAACCATTGAAATTAACTTAATTTCTGACCTTAAAGTTTTCAGAGAGACACTGTACATGATATTTGGGTTGTCAATAAGAAATGAAACAGATTTATAAAAAAAAAAAGCATGTTGGGGGTTCCTCCCCTTAGTGAGGGTTGAGAGGGCAATACCAGAGTAATTGGGGAATTATGTCATTATAGGTGAAGAAATTCCCCAGTCCCACAGGTCTTAAGGACAACCCTATACATGTAAATATAATATCACAAAGTGATATCATAATTGGAAATATTTACTGACTTTGTGTTTATAGTTGTGAAAACCTATTGATATCAAGTTTATACAACTTACATGTCCAATCTATAATGATTTATATCTATCAACTAATTTGATTCCTAATTGTTACAGGTATATGCAAAAGATGTATAGAAACACACTTTAAAAAATCAGTATGGAAGTAAAGCTGAAGGAAGAGCTTAAAGGTACATATACATATACTGTGTGTTTATAATTATATGTAAAAGTTTTATCAAATTATTTCTAAAATTTACTCAGTAGCTTATACACCAAGTTTCACTTATGAAGCAAAATTACCTGCTTTTATTATGTTATAGCTGAAATACATGTAAAAAGTGAAAACTCTTGAGCAGCAGTCCACTTGCTAATTCTTGTTCTCATTCGAGTATATTTAGTACTCACATAAATTAAGGATTCTACAGTAAATGTTGATGAATGGCTTTTACACTCAATAGTTTCATAATATTGATCATTTCACATGTAAATGATCCAATCCTGTTTGGAAATAAAATTTCAATTGCATATTGTTTTGAATTAGTTCTAAAAATAAAATCTCAAGTGTGATTTCTGTTTCATTTTATGTGTACATAACTGGTTATAAGTATTCATGTAACTATGAGGATTATTAAGTATTGTATAGTTAATATTAAAATTAATGTTTATTCTTTAGCAGAAATGTGTTCCTATTGACAAGGCAACAATTGAATCAAACCAAACAGGTGATCACTTACTGTAATATAATATAATATTTTTAAGGTACTACATAATAATAAAGATAATGTCAATGTTTAATATCTCAAAAAATAAAATTAACAAATATGTTTCATTTCCACACTGAAAAATATAACCAAGTGGACATTGTTCTCATGCAGTTCAATGACATGAACCAGAGTTTGTACATGTGGTTAACATTTTATAATGTATACATACAAGTTACTATAATCATGATAATATACATGTAACTGCTCATTCACATTACTGATAAGTAAAGTAACAAAGAACAATTTATGTGAAGTTAGGTCTAAATGGTGAAGATGCCTGAATATGTGACTGATAAACTGAAAAGTCCAGTTCATATAGTTCAAGTTTTGAGCTTTAAAATTATTTAATTATGATTCATTCAAAATGTTTCAGCATTAGCATTTTTAGCATTAACTGTAATGTATAAGGGTATATATACTTCATGGCTTTTTCAATTATTTTACAGAGCAAAGAGTGGAGGAAAATGGAAGAAGTCATGGACTTAACAGAAAACATATGACCTAATACCTGCAGGTAACAGCCTCCAACCCCCCCCCCCCCCCCCCCCCAATAAATGTTTATTGGTCTGTCCATTGGTCATTCTGTCTGCACATGTATGTACTATAACACTTTAATTTGGGAACAATATCTCTTAAAGCCTTTGAGCTTTTGCAATATCATTTCATATCACAACTCCTTACAGCCTAGAGAAGATCCCTATTGATTTGAGGTCAAAAGGTCAAGGTTGGAAATTCCTACAATACAAAAAAAACTCAAATAATAACTTTAGTTTCCCTTGAGCTTTTTCTGTTAAATTTTATATCATAATTCCAATGACTTAAAGAAATCCCCTTTGATTTCAAAGTTAAAAGGTTTAGTTGAAAAATTCATATCTTGCAATAAATAATGTCCTGGTGATAACTTTGGTTCTCTTTGAGGTCTTGAATTTATTTCTTTAATAAAAAAAGACACCAATTGACTTTAAGGCCAAAAGCTGAAAGGTTAAGGTTGACCTTTTTCTTTTTCCATCTGCATTTTTTTTTGGTCCAGTTCTTCCATCCTCATTTTTTTCCATAATTGGGGGCCACAATTCTCTGAATTAGCTTGTTTTATATTTGGATCATTTGCAGGTTTGCATTAAACTCAATTAGCCATTTAAGGCATTTGGATCTCTTACAAAATAGGAAATAAAGGTGATTCAGGCTAGCATTGCCAAGGTCCCTTTGTTGTAAAATTGAAATTATTCCCTAATTCCCAATGTCATTTAGAACATCAAAATACATGCTCTTTTGCTTTTGGGTATAAATGAAAATTTACTGTACAAAAATGTCTTCTTTGATTATCATAATTATTGCAATATCAATTATGAACTTTAATTCAAACATCAATTTGTCATTGCTTTTACAGATTTTGAATTCATATCATCAGTGCATATAAATTGGTCAAAAGATGAAAGATCTCAGCATAAATTGTTCAATCATGCAAAGCATATCCTGTCAAATGGAGATTACCCTTCCTTAAAGTGTCAAGTATCTCAGAAATTGGACTATTTGCAATACTGTTCAGGAATATTTTACAGTCAGTACATTTAGCAATAGGGCCTGTTGCACCATGCCAAGGTACAGAGTTGATGCTTCAAGCTGTCGACGGCATTCCAAAGGAAAAGGATGAAACTTTTTTTTAGCTCACCTGAGCCGAAGGCTCAAGTGAGCTTTTCTGATCGAAATATGTCCATTGTCTGTCGTCGTCGTGGTTGTAAACTTTTCACATTTTCATCTTCTTCTCAAGAACCACTGTGCCAATTTCAACCAAACTTTCCACAAAGTATCCTTGGGTAAAGGGAATTCAAGTTTGTTCAAATGAAGGGCCACACTTTCTTCCAAGGGGAGATAATCATGAATTTGTGAAAAATTGATGGCATCACCTAAAAACTTGTCAAGAACCACTGTGCTTGAAAATATGAAACTTATATGGAAGCATCCTCAGGTAGTGTAGATCCAAGTTTGTTCAAATCATGACCCCCAGGGGTAGGGTGGGGCCACAGAGGGTGATCAAAGTTTTACTTAGGAATACATAGGAAAAAGCCTTTAAAAATCTTCTTCTCAGAAACAGCAAAGCCATGATTGATCATATTTAAAAGGAAGCATCCTCAAGTAGTGTAGGTTCAAATTTGTTCCAATCATGACCCCCGTGAGTAGGGTGGGGCCAGAATGGTCGATAAAAGTTTTGCATATAATACATGTACATAGGAAAAATTTGTAAAAATCTTCTTCTCAAGAACAGCAAAGCCATGATTGGTCATTTTTATATGGGTGCATCCTCAGGTAATGTAGACTCAAATTTTGTTCAAATCATGACACCCCCCCCCCCCCCCCACCCCCACCCAAGAGAATAGGGGGGCCATAACAGGGGATCAAAGTTATACAAAGGAATACAAATGTTATATCAATAAAAATTGTCTTGTTAAGAACAACATAGCCATTATTTGTCATATTAATTCAAATATTATTATTTTGCTTTATTTCAGTGTAGTAGCTTCAAATGAGTTTTTAATTTTTTTTTTTTGTTTTTTTGTTGTTTTTTTTTTTTTTTTGACAATTTAAAATTAGAGATCATCTTAGTAATAAAATTTTTTATAATGTTGCTGTCTTTAAATTTTCTCTGTAAAAGTAACATGAACATGTACATGATACATTTGGTATTTTTCAAATGCAGTTGAAGGAATTTAATTGAGCATTGTCAAATATTTCATTTAAATACTAGTTGTGTTTTTATGACTTTATGGTATTAAAAAAGACATAAACTTTGTTCTGTTCATTCATTTGTATAATTTTAGGGCAAACAAAATCAGCATTTGTATAAAATGTTTTGCATGTTTAAAAACAACTTTTGCAATGAAGAACTGTATGAAATTTGGGCAACACTGTGAAAAAGTGGATTTTATTTACTGATGTGTTCACACTTTTGAACACTCTCTCTGTTAAACTTGCAATTTTATGTATTTGCAGTTTTTGCAATGTGCATTTTCATGCTAAGGGATCCTGTAAAATGAGCCCCATAGCTACATGTATAGCCAGTTCATTGCTATAATACATTAAGCCTTGTCAAAAACTCATGATTTTTAGCTCTACTGGTTAGAGACCAGAAGAGCTTATGCGATAGTAAGGGGTTGGTCGTCTGTCTGTCCGTCAACAAAAGCTACTCCTCCTACAGTTTTGGTCTGATTCCAATATTACTTGGCACACAAGTAAAGTACACTGAGATACATAATTTTTTTTATCGGATTTTGATTTTGATGAACGGTGTTGCTATGGTTACTGAAATAGAAATTTCTGTTAAATTCTTTTAAAATCTACTCCCCCTTTAGTTTTAGTCAGATTTCCATGAAAAGAGACCAAATCAAGGATCATTATTCTATTTATTTCTGTTGCAAAGTTTCAATTCCAACTGCTACTTATCTCTTCCTTTGTTAGAAGTACAAACCAGTAGGGGTGGGACGATATACCGATACACCGATACATATCGATATTTTCTGCTAAGATACGGTTTACGATACATGCCTTAAAATATCGGTACGAAACGATACACGAACAACCTATCCAAAAATTGAAAATGAAAGTACTCGTCCTTGAAAAATGGCGGCTTGTACGAAGCGAAGAGATGTCAGATGATATTGATATTGACAACAGGCTTTAGAACTTACAAGTCGGAGACAAGGGATAAAACATTTTCACTTTTAAGTATCCTCGAAAGATGGGACAAGAAAAGTTCCGTATGTAAAGCCGGTAAAACGTGTGATATACAGAAAGTATCGTTTCCACAACAGTTGATATTATTAATTGTTAGTCCATCTGGCTCGAACAGCTCATAACAAAGCATGGATTTTCTAATTTCAAGAATTTGAAATTTTGAAACAAATTGTGGATTAATATATTTTTTTTTTGTAAACTAAGCTTGGTTGCAGACTTTCAGCAATTAATAATAATGTACATGTGATGTTTTTCTTTTTAATGAATTTTTAGTCAGTGTTCTTGATGAACTACCCAACTAATTTATAAACAAGTTGTTTATGGACATTTGGCAATAAGTACAAATAATTTTGTTTTTGTAAATATTTAGTCAATGAAATTGATGAACTTCAAGTATTAATTTCAAATATCAGATATGATTTGATATAGAATGATTTGTTGATTTATTGTCAAGACAAAAAATAAAAACAAATACTAAGTTTTTTAAATAGTTTTATAATTTATCATAATATCGAGATACGTATCGTATCGTGCTATATGTATCGAGATACGTATCGTATCGCAAGATCTGTGTATCGTCCCACCCCTACAAACCAGTAGAGCTACAGTCTCGAAAAAGACTTCTGGTTAAACAAATATTCAAATCATGCATCTTTGTGACATTCTGGATAAATATAAGCTAATTTCAGTCATGAAGATTGAAGGTCATGTGCCTGAAATGATTTAACGTTCAAAATGTAATCACTCTAGTAGTCCAGTATGCCTTTCTACCCAGATATTGTGTAATTTTGCTAGGGTGAAAAAATCAACTAATTCAAATGTGCCACCAAATTGCCTGTTATTTTTACTTAAATATCTTAAAACAAATACTTCTTGATAAAAAATATAATCACTGAAGTGTCTCTTAAAATTCTATGCCTGTTTTTTCTTCAGAATATCCCTTAGAATTATTGTGACCTTTTTGCACTTGCAGTTCTGCACTTACAAGAGTGAAAACTCCATTAATTTAAATTTGCAACCAAAATCCCATTAATACTAAATAATATATTTAAAAACAATCACTTTTTAAAAATATGAAATCAATGGAAGCGTTTCTTGGAATTTTATAGCTGTTTTTCTGCAGACTATTCAAATATCTTTATTTCTTACAATTATCGTGACCTTTTTGCACTCGTAGCTCTTCACATTCAAAAAGGTATGTGGAAAAAATTCTGTAAATATTTTTTTCAAAGGTTTTATTTCCTTAAATCCATTAGTTATGAAGATATTATGGAAATTTTTTATACACAAACAGAATATGTACAAAAGGTGTTATTTTTCCATACTGGGTATAGAAATAGGCTGACGATAAACTAATTCTCCCTGTATCCATGGTAACAAATCAAATGACGTCACCAAACTTACGCAGTAAGTAAGTGACCTTGATCTCACTTTGTATGCAAAGTTTCAAGAAATTTTGAAAAACTTGCTTTCATAGCATTCTGCATGGTTTTCTCGTAGACACGCATTTAAAAGATTTTTTTCCCATGTAAAACTTTGATCATCCATTTTGACCCATCCTACCCTGTGGGGTTATGATTTGAATACACTTGAATCTACACTACCTGAGGATGCTTCCATATAAATAGCTGTAAATATAGGCAACACAGGTTAAACAATATAAACTGATTTTCTCTATCCAATCAAATGGCGTGTAAAAATCAGAATTAAAATATATACAAGTAAAAGAATTGTCTAATCTATTTTTATTCTTTTTTTCAATCTTTTATATAGGCTTTATACTTCAGTTCCCCCAAAGAGATCTCCTGAACCACTTTGCCCTTTTCTTTGCTCTGGGGCTATGGTTTACACAATCCTTACAACCATAATTTTTTTTGTGGAAAGGGGGATTGGAGGCAAGGAGGTGAGTTTTTGTCCAGGGCCATTCTTAATAGGAAATACACTGTAGAGAGGTTGGTGTGAACCAGTTAGTGAATGTGTAGGAAAAATTTAAGATGTTTAAATATCATTGTAAATCTAATAGAATTGTAATTGATTGATGGGAAATAATAAAACATAGGTAATCAAAGATTACAAAGCTCACCTCGACGAAGGTTATCTATAAGTAAGGCAAATCTCACATCATTTTTTTCTCTAGTTAGTGTTCATCCCAATTTCAATATCCATACAAGTTTGGTTTAAGAAGGACTCACAGTTACTTGGAAATAGACCTGCTCTAAAAACTTTTAACCTGTTTACAAATCAAGAAAATTTTGGTCAGTTCCAACATCCAAAGCAGGTCTGGAAGTTTTCATCCTTAGATGAACCATCCATGCAAATTTAATCATAACATGCCATAATATTATATAGCTACTCCAAAAACATTACCCTGGTCACTCATCTTGAAAATGTAGGTCAGATTCAGAATCCAAAACAAGTCTGAAAGTGTCCATCTTAAGATACATCATCCATGCTAATTTGATTAAAATATGGCTAAAATTCACTCATCTGGAAAATCTAGGTCAGATTCAGCATCCGAAGCAAATTTGGTAGTGTCCATCCCTAGATCCATCATCAATGCAAGTTTGGTCCAGGTAGGGTTTATAATTACTTGGGAATGGACCTGCTCCAAAAACTTTAACCTGGTCACTCATCTGGAAAATCTAGGTCAGATTCAGCATCCGAAGCAAGTGTGGTAGTGTCCATCCCTAGATGCATCATCCATGCAAGTTTGGTCCAGGTAGGGCTTATAGTTACTTGGGAATGGACTTGCTCCTAAAACTTTAACCGGGAGCAGATGCTAATGCCGACACCAACGCCAGGGGTATAGCATAAGCTGATCTCGACTTCGTCGAGGTGAGCTAAAAATAACAAGAGGCCCAAGGGCCTTAACAGGCACCTGAGTATAATACAACACTGTAAAGGATCCATGGAAGTATAAAAGTAAAATTAACTGATAGATGAAGTGATCTTTTTGGGATCGTACTTGATTTGACCAAGTCTTTCAAGGATGATAATGAATGCATAATACACAAATACCATGGATACTTGCCTTGTGTGTAAGGTATTTAATATATACAGATATGTTTTTGTCACTTGCCTAGTGCTACAATTAAGTACACAAAGAGAAATCTCTAATGTCTGTATATTTACCTGAGGTGATGCCTCTTGGCTATGTGATTTTTACCATTTTGCTTTTCCTCATAAAATTCACCTGGCTTAGTATATTTTTTTAAAAAAAAGTTTATATTACACTTTTAACACAAAGCTAACATATTCTGAAATTTATTTTCATCTGTAAACCTTTACTCTGTGTGATTTGTCCGTATTTGTAATTTCATTGAAGTATCAACTAATATTTTCCAAGTGTCATTTCTTTAATGCAAGAAAATACAACAGGTTATTAAGTAAATGTAATTTCAGTTCACTCTGTGCTCCCTTAAAAACATTTTTGAAAACAAGAGGCCCAAGGGCCTTAACGGTCACCTGAGTATGATACAATAATTTAAAGGATGCATAGAGTATAAAATGAACTGAAAGGTGAAATTTTGTTGCCCAAAAGAAAAAAAAAATAGGGTGATCATGATCAACAAAATAATTGGTCTTAATATTTATTAACAGTTCATAAATTAGGTTCTAATCTGTTCCCCATTTATCACTATCACCATACAGTATATTAACAAATTATCAATGCTTCGGTACTATTTTAATCCCTTGTTGAAATCTCTTACATTGGCCTCTCTTGGTCTTTGATGAACATTTAATAAGACAAGTTATTTTTGTCTCATTTTTATTTATCTACTACTTACAAGTCTATCTGATCATTAAAACAATGAAAGTACTTTTTGTATTATACAATAAAAGTTTTTGCATAATTCTCTTATTCTATTTACCTTTCAAGTACATTATTTACAGTGATAAGTTATCAAAAGTAAATGGCAAAGGGGAATAACTCCTCTCAGTAGAATACAAACTAATAGAGCCCTGGCCAGGACCAGAACACTTGACCAAATGGTCCAGATGTTCAAAAATCTGGTAAAAATTCCCTTCCTTATAAAATTTTTTACTCTATTTGCCTCAGATATGCCCAGGTGCGGAGAAGATTTTTAAAGAAATAATGCATTTTTACTACAGATTCACTATATAATCAATAGAGCCCCCCCCCCCCCCCCCCAAACACCAGAGCTTCTGACCCTGGAACCATAAGTTTGCTCATCATAACTAATCACTTTGTTTATCTGCTTAACACTAAGGAGCAAACAGGATTATTTAATAGAATTAATGCATTTTCACTATATTATCAAGAGCCCCACCCTCACACCAGCACATCTGACCCAGGGGTCATGAAATTCATTACTCTGAAAGAAGCATTCTTGCTCATCATAACTATACACTTAGCTTCTTTGCTTTTTTAACCAGAAGCAGAAAAGAATATTTTCAAAGAAATTTTGCTTTTTCATTTTATAATCAAAAGAAGCCCCCCCCTCCCCCCCCCCCCCTCACCAGAACCCTTAAACCTGGGGTCATAAAATTCACAATTTTGGAAGATGCATCCTTGCCTATCATAACAATTACTTAGTCTGTTTAAACAATACCCAGGGGCAGAGAAGAAGATTTTTAAAGAATTAAAACATTTTCCCTTTTAATCAATAGAGCCCCACCCTAACACCAGAACCCCTGATCCAGGGGCCACGAATTTCACAATTTTGGAAGAGGCATCCTTGATTATCATAACTATGTATTTAATGTGTTTCAATAATACCCAGGAGTAGAGAAGAAGATTTTCGAAGAATTAATGCATTTTCACTATAAACCAATAGAGTCCCACCCTAACACCAGAACCCCTGCCCCTGGGGCCATGAATTTCACAATTTTGGAAGAGGCACTCTTACTCATCATAACTATATACTTAGTTAGTTTATTTAATACCCAGGAGCTGAGAAGAAGATTTTCAAAGAATTAATGCATTTTCACTATATAATCAATAGAGCCCCACCCTAACACCAGAACCCCTGCCCCTGGGGCATGAATTTCACAATTTTGGAAGAGGCACTCTTACTCATCATAACTATATACTTAGTTAGTTTATTTAATACCCAGGAGCAGAGAAGAAGATTTTCAAAGAATTAATGCATTTTCACTATACACCAATAGAGTCCCACCCTAACACCAGAACCCCTGCCCCTGGGGCCATGAATTTCACAATTTTGGAAGAGGCACTCTTACTCATCATAACTATATACTTAGTTAGTTTATTTAATACCCAGGAGCTGAGAAGAAGATTTTCAAAGAATTAATGCATTTTCACTATATAATCAATAGAGCCCCACCCTAACACCAGAACCCCTGCCCCTGGGGCCATGAATTTCACAATTTTGGAAGAGGCACTCTTACTCATCATAACTATATACTTAGTTAGTTTATTTAATACCCAGGAGCAGAGAAGAAGATTTTCAAAGAATTAATGCATTTTCACTATATAATCAATAGAGCCTCACCCTAACACCAGAACCCCTGCCCCTGGGACCATGAATTTCACAATTTTGGAAGAGGCACTCTTACTCATCATAACTATATACTTAGTTAGTTTATTTAATACCCAGGAGCAGAGAAGAAGATTTTCAAAGAAATAATGCACTTTCACTATATTATCTATATAGCCCCGCCCTAGCACCAGAACCCCTGACCCTGGGGCCATGAATTTCATAACTTTGGTAGAGGACTCAATGCTTATTACAATGATGCCAACAGTTTGACTGCTTGATGTCCAGGAGTAAAGAAGAAGATTTTTAAAGATTGCATTAATTTTGGTGGTTTTAGCCCAGGTCCCAGGGGGGCAGGGACCATGAAATTCACAATTTTTGTTCCCCTTCACCCATAGATGCTATATGTCAAATTTGGTTGAAATTGGTTGAGCGGTTTCAGAGAAGAAGCTAAAAATGTTCAAATGTTAACGCACATCGCACGACGCACGCCGACGGACAAAAACAGATAGCAATAGGTCACCTGACTCAGGTGACCTAAAAAAAGAGGGTAAATGAATGAAAATTAAACAATTTTACCATGATTACTCTAGCTGTGTAATTTTTGGAGGAAATATGGAAGGTATTTCATTCTCCAAGTCAAAGGAGAAAAAATTCAAAAGAATTATCCAATTTTCTAGAAGAGGCCCAGGGGCCACATCGCTCACCTGAACACTATGGCTAGGAAAAAGCAGAAATCAGTTCAATCTTGAAAGGTTGAAAAGTTTAAAGATAAAAGTGGTTCGGAGGGGGGGGGGGGGGATTGATTTGAACTTACTTGAATCTATACTTCATAGGGATGCTTTTGAATTAATATGACAAATAATGGCTTTGCTGTTCTTAAGAAGAAAATTTTTATTGATATATCCTTTGTATAACTATGATCCCCTGTTATGGCATCTCTATTCTCCTGGGGGGTCATGAATTGAACAAATTTGAATCTACATTACCTGAGGATGCTTCCATTTAAATATGACCAATCATGGCTTTGCTGTTCTTGAGAAGAAGATTTTTAAAGATTTTTCCTATGTATTCCTATGTAAAACTTTGATCACCCTCTGTGGCCCCACCCTACCCCTGGGGGTCATGATTTGAACAAATTTGAATCTACACAATCTAAGAATGCTTCCATATAAATATCACTATACTAATACTATGTATTCCTATGTAAAACTTTGATCGCCCATTGTGGCCCCTTCCTACCCCCGGGGGTCATGATTTGAAGAACCTTGTATCTACACTATCTGAGGATGCTTCCATATAAATATGACCAATCATGGCTTTGTTGTTTTTGAGAAGATTTTTAAAAATGTTTCCTATATATTCCTATGTTAAACTTTAATTGCCAATCGTGGCCCCCTTCTACCCCTGGGGGTCATGATTTGAACAAACTTGAATGAACACTATCTGAGGATGCTTCCATATAAATATGACTAATTATGGCGTTGCTGTTCTTGAGAAATAGATTTTTAAAGATTTTTCCTATATATTCCTACGTAAAACTTTGATCGCCCATTGTGGCCCCTTCCTACCCCCGGGGGTCATGATTTGAACGAACTTGAATCTACACTACCTGAGGAAGCTTCCACATAAGTTCATATTTTCAAGCACAGTGGTTCTTGAGAAGAAGATTTTTTAATGATGCCATTCAATTTTCACAAATTCATGATTATCTGCCCTTGGAAGAAGGTGTGGCCCTTCATTTGAACAAACTTGAATCCCCTTTACCCAAGGATACTTTGTGGCAAGTTTGGTTGAAATTGGCCCAGTGGTTCTGGAGAAGAAGTCGAAAATGTGAAAAGTTTACAGATGGACGGACAGACGGACTACAGAAATGTGATCAGAAAAGCTCAAAACTGTGACATGATAAAGTCTCCTCCAAAGAAAAAATTTGTTTGTATCATCTGTCCTTAAAATGACTCTGATGACCTCATAAACAGCAGTTAAAAAATATGACTCTAATACATGTATTTTATCTACATGTATGTATAGTTACTCACATAGACAAACCCCATCACATCTGTCTTAATATCTGTGAAAAGTTTTGTAACTTTACGAATAAAATTGATGACTGGTTGAAATTCCTGGGGTAAATCCTTCAGATCAAACTGTCCTATCTTCTTCCAAGCTGTGGAAGCTATCTTTCTTAATCCCAGTACCTACAAAAACAAAATATCTTCATATGCATGCATACAAATGTACTGTCATTTTAAAATGTGGTACTGAACAACTGTGGTTTTGCTATTTTTCAGTGAACACCAATTTTCATTATTTTTGAGGCAGAGTCAGATCCTAATTTGTATCTGTGAAGGCTGAGCTTTTTTTTACTTTCTTTTAGTACTAGAAAATGCCTTTGAATTTTACAAAAGACTGTTTAGCTGGTACAGTAAGCAATACTTTTACTGATCACAGTTAAAAAATTACCTTTGCCTTTCAATTCATATTGGTATTGTATAAGCTAATTGGGTACCCTTAATTTTTTTTTATTCAAAAGTATTATCTTAGCTGGTAGTGCCTGTAATCCTAGGTCCAAAATCTCTGTGAGATATCTTATATTTTTGCATGGAAGAACTTGATACTGGGTATAAGAGTGGAAGTCTTTTGCACAGAATGTGAGGAATGATAGGTATAATTTTAATACAGAATTCATCACCTTTTCAGGTAAGTGAGTAATGGCATCAATGAAGTCTGTAATAATATCCTTCAGATTCAGCTTTCCAGATATTATATCCTTGAAGAGTTGCACTCCTGCTTTAACACCCTCAACTATTTCTTTCAGTTTTCTCGAGAAGTTTGCAGCCAATTTGAATATTTTTTTCATATCATTCCCCTATAAAAAGAAATTTAATATATGTATATCAGATATATGCTTTAGCTTCAACTAGAACACCGAAAACAAGAAGTCTGTGAGCTAATGCTCAGAAGTAATACCCCCACTCTGATGTGAATATACATTTTGATGTGAATATACAAAAGTTCAGTTATGGACAAACACAGGGATGAACAGGAAGTTGACATTCGATTCGTACAAAAGTGAATCCCATCAGGGATGGGTATCGGCAAAGATTTCGTATCATGATATATCACGATTTTTTCCCAAAAATATGATAAATCGTGATATTTTTACACACTATTTTTACTAGAATTTCAAATGAATTTACATAATATTTGTTAAAAACATGCTATAAAAACATAACTTTATTTTTTAAATTTTTATTCATTTAGTATAAAGCATGTCTTTTATGCCGTTGTTTAACTTCCTGTAACTGTCATTCAATAGTTTGAACAAATAAATGAATGATTTCCGGAATTTATAGTTATGTACCAAATACCGGTACTTAAGTCTCTGTATCACGATACATATCACACAATAAAAAATTGCGATATACCGGTATACCGATAAAATCGTGCATCCCTATTGCATGCCACAACAGAGAGTGTGCTAACATTTCATGTATCTGCAATGAGTAGTTGCTGACAAAACTGCAACAAAAATTTGTTACATATTGTATGGACAGACGCAGATAAACAGGAAGTTGACATGGATTCATACAAAAATGAATCCCACCATGCCATGGCATGCCTCAACAAAGAGTGTGCTTATTTCAAGCATCTGCAAGGAGTAGTTGCTGAGAAAACTGTGATGAAAATTTGTTATGCATGGTACAGACAGATGCATGGATAAACAGGAAATTGACATCAGATTCATACAAATATGTATGGAATGCCTAAACAAAGGGTGTGCTAAAATTTCAACCACATGCAATGAGTAGTTGCTGAGAAAACTGCAACGAAAAATTTGTTACAGACAGACAGAGGGTCACATACACAGACAGACAGACACATAAGGGTAAAACAGTATAACCCCCCCCCCCCTCCGTATGAGTAGGAGTATAAGAAGTTGCTGAGAAAAATCGAAAAATTTGTTACAGACAGACAGACACACAAGGGTAAAACAGTATACCCCACTTTCCGGAGCGGGGGTATAAAAAGTCATACAGGACTATTCCTTGTGCTATGAATGATCTTGCCTTTTAAACAAGTGGCCTCCAAATCTAAAGTTGTCTCTTTAAATTAAACATAAATATGAAATGAATTTTTTGTACCAAAAAAGTGTAAAGAGTTTGACCTTGATCTTAGACAGTCTGTAGGTTTACACCGTTTACACCATTACTCACCTACATATTGAACATATAGGTATAAATTAAAAAATATCTGAGTTACTGCATCACCTAGATATGCAGTAGGCATACTAACAGTCTTGACTTTTGCCCCCCACTTATGTTCCAGAGAATCTTAGATACGACATAAATGTGACTTTTTCCATTCAATATTTAAGTAATAAATATGAAAAAAAAAATTGCTTGTTATTTCATCAGTGATCATATTTATATAATCATAACCTTGACCTTTGAAAAAGTGGCTTTAAAACAAAGAGGTGTATTTCAATAATCAAATCTTCATCTTTGTGGTAAATATGAAATCTGCATGCAAACATTTTTTTTAAATATTGCACCATATAAATGTCATGTTAATGGCAGTCATGCATCTACATTTTTTACCACGAGCTTTCACTTTGTGACTCAAAACAATCAACATCTTTCTGTAAACCATTTATCTTTAATCTATATAGTTATAAAGTCTACCATGTCAAAGATGGACAGATGGAGGTACACCAGGAAAAACAAGGGCAGACAGACACTATGTTTACTATTATATAGGATATCCACATCTTTATGGGTAGAACTAAGGAAGTATATACCTGTATGAGCAAACAAAACAGCCAGTACAATCGAGAAAAATCTCTGAAAGCTTTTGTATGAATTATCTATACATGAACATCAATTACTTGGAATATGTTTATGCTGTACTGGGCTCCTCCCTTGAAGCACACTCTAGCCACAAAAAAATCAATGTTTGTATTGACGCATCCAAGGTTAATTCTTGCATATGCTTCATCGTGAACTTTAACTTGAACGTGTCCATGTGATGGAGCTAAAATTTTCAGTAGAGAATTATACATAACAAAGTGGATATCCAATACAAGAGGCCCAAGGGCCTTGTATCGCTCTTCTGATAAACTGTATAACCTATCAGTTCTATTTGAAGCCTCTAAGTATCCTGTACATTTAGATAAACCCTTGAAATTCCAATTCACATTCTGAGAACCCAAGATGATTCTAAGCCAACTAGTACCTGAGAGTTGGTCAGGTGACCTACTTATCACTTGTCATTCTCTGAGGACCCATCAACTAAGTTTGATAATTCTAAGCCAATTAATACCTACACTACGGTCAACGCGGATCCCGCATTTTCCCGCGACCCCGCGATGGTGTTTTAATCCTTTCCGCGATACACCGTCACGGTTTTATCATCGCGGTGATCGCGGGGACACGAGATTACCGTGACGGTGTGCTCTACCGTATTTTACTCAATGTGAAGTCGATAATCCTTCTGCTTAATGTCAAAGTAAGGATATTTGATTGTGAATATATAAGATTGGTTTTTTTTTTAATTTGGCTTAAACATGTGAAAATTCTAGAAATAATTTATAAAAACTTTTTTTCAGTCTAAAGGGTGATACATGTATTTGAATGATACTTGGCATTTATTCTATTAATTTAAAAATATTATCATTGTTGTAGTTTCTAATAAGTAACCTGAATTATAGTGAGGAGATCTATAAATCAACATACATGTAATTTTTTTATTGTAGTAAATATCGATTCGATTTATTTTACGCCCTTTTTACATCATGAACAGTTTTTTCATACAGTATTACTGCAATTTTTTTTTTTTTTGAATTGAAAATTACAATGTGTATATCACTGAAAAAAATTAATTGAAAACACATTTTCACGCCAAATTACCTCTTCCAACATGTTCAAATATTATTTACAATAATCCCGAATATTTGTTAGAATTATGGGCCTGAATAAAAAAAAACAGCTCTGTTCATCATGTTCAAATATTCTAAAAGAAGTCGACAATAGATATATTTTTATAAAGCTAAAAAAAATTAAATGGTTGCGTTCTCAGCTGATAATTAAGCAGAGAAGTCATTAACTAAATAAGTTGAAACTGACCAAACACGTGTACATGTATTACACAATCACAGCGTGTGCAGTGGGGCGTAGCTAATATCCTATCGGTCGCCCACTATAAGACTATGGGTTCTCGGAAAATTCACGAGATGATCAAGCCCTTTTACGATAACCGTGTTTTCAAGCTGTAAAAACTGTATGTATAACATGACCATATTTCAGTAGCCGGTCTTGACACCTTGATCACCCATCATACATATAGGTTATATCAACTGATCAAACGCAGTCCTGAAATCACAGAAATATCGTTATACTTCTTTAAAAAAAAATTTAAAAAAATAATAATAAAAGTCTTTTTTTTATTGGTCGGCGATCTTGAAAAACTTGGGACTGCCAGAGTAATTATTGAAACCAAAGAGAAAGGTTTCACAAAACTGAATACTTTAAACCATTTAAGGGAGTGGGTGTTAAATTACACACTTTAATTTCGGATAGAGAAACATGACGATTAGTTTGCACGGCAACAAAGTGTGTGTGCGTGTGTGTGTGTGTGTGGGTGGGGGGGGGGGGGGGGTTGAGGGGGGTTAAGAATAAAAATCTAAAAAAAATGGCGAGGGACATTTCAGAAAACTTGCCTGTACGTATATTTTTACACTGTATTGTACATATTTATTTAATCAATTAACACACTTCATGAATGCCCAAAATGTACATAGCATATCTTTAGAAAATAATCAATAAAATATGAACAGTCTGTTAAAACCAGCCCCTTCTCCTATCGTCGTCGATATGTGAATATAAGATACTATTAAATCTATTTTTCTATATCATATTAATGCATAACACTTGCTGTTTGTTCAAAGCCTTTAAAGTCTGGAGGAATTCTGAATGAAATTTCTTTATGTACGCCGTCCATTTCTTGATTTTTATACGCCGACATGTAACATTACTTATTTAAAAAAAAAAAAAAACTGCACTTAATACTGTCTACTCAAACTACAGGCCTGTATGAAAGTAATTTCAGTTTGGGGCAAAACTTAACTAGAAAGTTCTTAACTAGCAAACCTTACCAGAAATTACAGGGAGAAAGTTATGTATGAAAGATACAGGACGGTACTGGCTAAACGGCTAAATTAAGCCACATGTATATACATGTTTATACAGCCCTGCACATCAACGAGTATACACCGGGCATTTATTTTCCAACAAATCAGATGATCAAATACTGATAAATTGTTACCAGTCACAACTAAAATTCTGAATGCAATGGACATAATTGTAGGTTACCTACAATAATTATGGGCTTATTTTTATCATGTGTTTTAGGTCTTTAGCAACAGTTTCAAAATGGGGGGGGGGGGGGGGCTTCCAAAAAAAATCTGACAAGCCAAAAAAAACATGCCGAGAATTTAATGTTGTATTGGTATTGAATCAATGGAAAATTTTGTATAAAATAATTTGCTACTGATAGAATGGACAAATTATTTTATAGTTTGCGATGTATTTCAAGTTTAAATTTACGAAACAGACTCCTATTCAATATGAATGCAAAATTTTGCATGTCCAGGTATACAATACAGGTAAATCACAGCTTTAAGAAATCTAATCTATTGTTGTGCAGACGTATGTGTATATCTATTACATAACACTTCCTGTCTGTATCAGTGCCAAGGTTCTGACTGTGCGTACTACAAACTCGAATCTAGCCCGGGGACACATACAAACCTTCTGTTTCGATTGTATTTTATCAGTGTAAATTAAATTTCAAAATCGAATGTTG